TTGAAGTGTAAAATACCAGATATAAACTGAGTACAGCTTAACATTCTGAAAGCCTATAAAAGAAGAGGACCTCGAAGGCTATCTAGCTTTAAAATGTGGACACCAAAATGCCTAGGTCAAAATCTAGGTCAAATTCATAGTTTTTCCTTATTTTTGCGATTCTGACATTACACTTTAATGATTTGCTTCGAAATTTTGTACAAAGGTAGCAAAGAGTGTGCTTAAAGTGTTAGCCTTCTGCCGTCAGAAAGTATTTTGACCCACTTTTGAGATATGGTGTCTGAAAAGTAGGTCAAAATAAAAACTTCTCCAAATTTAACGTATAAGTTATGAATTAAGGGTAGAATTTTCTCAGGAATCAGTATCTTTAAACCAAATTTCGATCCAACTTCTGATTAGATAGTTATAGCGCACGGTTTGAAGTCTCGAAAAGTCGATATGATGATATCCCCATGTTAAGCCAATGGAGTCGAAGATAACATTCTTAAGAGTTGTCTAAATATCTATATTCTAGCTGACTCAGCTTATTCTGAATGACTCAGCTTACAAGTATTTGGATGACTCAGCTTAAAAAAGTCTGAAATCTGGAGTCTTAAATTGAACTTGTTCAATTTACATGTCTAGTTATTCTTTCTTTCTTCCTCCTAACAGATTTTCTCTCCAACTATAACATCTTACTTAATCCAACCTACATGGTTGACTAGGGAATGTATCTGGCTTTCTGGGAAATTAGGTCAAATTTTTATCTAGGTCAAAGGTCAAGAACTAGGTCAAATCTTACATTTTCAACATTCTTCATCATATCTTCGTCAATATTCTTCGTAACTCCTTCATCTTTTTTTCATCGTGTAGCTTAGAAAAAGGCGAATCAAAGGTATAACATCAGAATTTTGATTACTCTTACCGATTTTGAGATATGGCGTCCGGAAAGTAGGTCAGAACAGAAAGTTCTCCAAATTCAACATGTGAGTTATGAAATAAGTGTAGAATGATCTCAGGAATCCGAATCTGCAAACCAAATTTGGATCGGACTTCCGGTTCGGAAGTTATAGCGTTTTGAAAGCTCAAAAATCGCTAAATTTGGTGCCTATGTTAAGTCAATGGGAAAAAAGACTTTTTTGAAGTGTAAAATACAAGATATAGACTGAGTACAGCTTAACATAATGAATGCTTATAAAAGAAGGGGACCTCAAAAGCTACATAGCTTCAAAATTTGGACACCAAAATGCCTAGGTCAAAATCTACGTCAAATTCATAGTTTTTCCTTATTTTTACGATTCTGACACTACACTTTAATAATTTACTTCAAAATTTTGTATACAGGTAGCAAAGAGTGTGCTAATAGTGTTAGCCTTTTGCCGTCAGAAAGTATTTTGACCCACTTTTGAGATATGGTGTCCGAAAACTAGGTCAAAATAAAAAGCTCTCCAAATTTAACATATGAGCTATGAATTAAGAGTAGAATTTTCCCAGGAATCCGAATCTGTAAACCAAATTTCAATCCGACTTTCGGTTCGGAAGTTATGGCGTTTTGAAAGCTCAAAAATCGCTAAATTTGGTGCCCCATGTTATGTCAATGAGAAAAAAGATTTTTTTGAAGTGTAAAATACCAGATATAAACTGAGTACAGCTTAACATTCTGAAAGCCTATAAAAGAATGGGACCTCGAAGGCTATCTAGCTTTAAAATTTGGACACCAAAATGCCTAGGTCAAAATCTAGTCAAATTCATAGTTTTTCCTTATTTTTGCGATTCTGGCATTACACTTTAATGATTTGCTTCGAAATTTTGTATACAGGTAGCAAAGAGTGTGCTTATAGTGTTAGCCTTCTGCCGTCAGAAAGTATTTTGACCCACTTTTGAGATATGGTGTCCGAAAAGTAGGTCTAAATAAATAGTTCTCCAAATTTAACATATGAGCTATGAATTAAAAATAGAATTTTCCCAGGAATCCGAATCTGCAATCCAAATTTCAATCCGACTTTCGGTTTGGAAGTTATGGCGTTTTGAAAGCTCAAAAATCGCTAAATTTGGTGCCCCATGTTATGTCAATGAGAAAAAAGATTTTTTTGAAGTGTAAAATACCAGATATAAACTTAGTACAGCTTAACATTCTGAAAGCCTATAAAAGAAGGGGACCTCGAAGGCTATCTAGCTTTAAAATTTGGACACCAAAATGCCTAGGTCAAAATCTAGGTCAAATTCATAGTTTTTCCTTATTTTTGCGATTCTGACATTACACTTTAATGATTTGCTTCGAAATTTTGTATACAGGTAGCAAAGAGTGTGCTTATAGTGTTAGCTTTCTGCTGTCAGAAAGTATTTTGACACACTTTTGAGATATGGTGTCTGAAAAGTAGGTCAAAATAAAAAGTTCTCCAAATTTAACGTATGAGTTATGAATTAAGGGAAGAATTTCCTCAGGAATCAGAATCTTTAAACTAAATTTCGATCCAACTTCTGATTAGATAGTTATAGCGGTTTGAAGTCTCGAAAAGTCGATATGATGATATCCCCATGTTAAGCCAATGGAGTCGAAGATAACATTCTTAAGAGTTGTCTAAATGTCTATATTCTAGCTGACTCAGCTTATTCTGAATGACTCAGCTTACAAGTATTTGGATGACTCAGCTTAAAAAAAGTCTGAAATCTGGAGTCTTAAATTGAACTTGTTCAATTTACATGTCTAGTTATGATTAGTTTTAGATTGACAAATAATAATATATTATTGCAAAAATGTACAAAAAAATCTAGAGTATTTATTATTAATAATTTGGTGTAACAATAACCTCTCTAAAAATCATCCGACTGCCTACTCTTAAGTATATGTGCATGTTTCGCACTACACTGAACAGATGTCAGGTTACTGCCTACTCTTAAGTATATGTGCATGTTTCGCACTACACTGAACAGATGTCAAGTTACTGCCTACTCTTAAGTATATGTGCATGTTTCGCACTACACTGAACAGATGTCAAGTTACTGCCTACTCTTAAGTATATGTGCATGTTTCGCACTACACTGAACAGATGTCAAGTTAATGCCTACTCTTAAGTATATGTGCATGTTTCGCACTACACTGAACAGATGTCAAGTTAAGGAAAGACAATATATGTATTAAAAAATAGTACCGTGGGTACTGGGCTCACATGGTGTTGCTCAAAAGTGAATGATGACTAAAATGGCAGAAAATAAATAACAAAAAAATGGATGTAATTTTTGCCGATTTTTTGTAACAAAATAATTTCATACAACTGCTCTTTACATTGACATGACTTTTTACAATGCAGGACACCTGAAATTATTTGTAAAGCTAGGAAATGGGCCACAAGCGAATTTTGCAAGACAAAAATGGCGACCATTTTGAAAATAGGCAAGCTTTTGAACCAGGAGTTATAGGGGAGTTTTCTACATTGATGGTAAACAAAAATAACTTAAAATGGGAATCCTATTGATAGAGGTTTTAAGGCAAATGGTCCAAAAGTGGATTTCACGAGATAGATGGACAAATCAATGTTAACTAAAATGGCTGAAAAAAAAAAACGGATAAAACTTTTTGCCAATTTTTTGTAACAAAATTATTTCATTCAACTACCCTTTACAGTAACATGGCTTTTTACAATACAGGACACCTGAAATTATTTGGAAAGCTAGGAAATGGGCCAAAAGTGAATTTCGCGAGACGAAAATGGCCACAATTTTGAAAATAGGCGAGCTTTTGAACCAGGAGTCATAAGGGAGTTTTCTGTATTGATGTTGAACAAATATAACTAAAATGGGAATCCTATCGACACGGGTTTTAAAACTGGACAATTGTTGATAGACGGACAGACAGACGGACAAGTGAGTGACTGCAATAGCTCACCATGTGAGCTAAAAACAAAATCTGAACTGAACATAAAATGGGGCCCATATGGTGGGTTCACATATTGAAAAAGGCCAAAACATCTGAAACGAGAAGAGTAAAAGCCGGGACCAATGATGTAAATTAACAGTACTATGAACCACCATAATCTAGATGGACAGAGAGATACATCTGTAGATGACCAAACAGATGAGGGGACGGATGAGATTCCATAGCCTGAACATGTGATCAAAAAAGCACAAAGGTTCATGTGCAGTATGGCAAGTGATTTTAGACTGCACATGGACCTTTATTTCACATAAAAAGTAATAACAATTTTTAAAACCATTTGCCCTCTTAATTAAAGAATAATTGTCACAATTTCTTACCGTTCAACTCCCTTATTAGTCTTAATTTTAAATCTGGATAACGTTTGAGTTTGTTTTATTTAACACAAAGCCCTGATGAATTTTAGCAACATGAGTTTTTCAGAGTCCCATGTTTTTTTGTATCATTCAAAGATATTTTAAAATCTCCCTCTCCTCCAATTTTTGTAACACCTCCTCTTTGCAAAAGAATCCTGATTTTTCACGAGACATTCCCAGCCAAAGTGTTCAAGATAACTCAACTGTCAATAAGAAGTGTGTCAGCAGCAATAGTTTTTCTCTCAAATGTACCTCACATTTCAATCCTTTTTTCAAACAACCCTGACATTTTAAACCCTGATATTTTAAAAAAGAATTTTCATCATTTCATCATTTTCATTTTTACTTGAAATGTGTGCTATTTCCCAATGTTTTTGCCATCGTCATTCTATGGATCCGGATCCTTAAACTTTCAAAACTTTCCGATGTCAGCTTTTCAATTCTATATATTTCCTCAGATATCCCAATTCTTCTTGAAGAAAAAAATCAGAGTTCTAATTAAAACAATGGCATTATTTTGAAAAATATTTCACAATGTATATTTCCAATTTCTTTATTCATTTTAGATTATTCATCAGCAATGCCCAGTGTAACTATAAGTACTATTCAATTATCCACCAGCACTATATAACCTTTCATTAGCACATTTAAACCTTTCATCAGCACTGTCCAAAAGGATGAGTCTGGATATATGCCCTTTTGGTCCCTCAGTTAAATGTATGTGAAATATGATTTTTATAACTGTCCTAGTTATATTTGATAAGAATATTTACATTTTCATGAGTTTTGATGCATAATTAACCCCCTGCTGAGAGTCAAAATAAGTATCCTAACAGAAAACAAATAATCATTATCATAGAAAAAACACCAATGGCAACATGAATGACATATAAAGTAGAAATGACTTAAAGACCCATGAAGAATTAAAAAGAAAATCATGTTTTTTAAATATAATTTAGGATTTAATTTTTTTTCAAATTTTTGAATTTCCCGCCACTTGAATTTGAAGGGGAAAAAACAAGATGGCTGCCATTTGATGTGAGAAATATCAGAAAAAGTAGCTTCACTTTTGATTTTCACATTGACACACTACTATACCTTGCATTTGGTGTTCATGAGCAACCCATTTGGCTTATTAGTAATGATTATGTATTTGTTTTTTATTTGTCTGTTCCTTATGAATGGTTTATCGGTTGAAAATTAGATGCTAGTAAGGCACTTTCAAAAATATATTAAACAATCCAATTAGACAAACAAAGTATCTTATGCATTTCTAGGTGTTAGGTATAGTAGTGTGATTGAGCACAGTTTTCCGGTTTAGTTTTTTTTATTGATTCTGACTCTTCATCACCAGGGTCATGTATAGAGATTATAAAATCGAAACCAAAATGTTGTGCTCAGCATGAGTTTGACTGGAATATGTATAACTTCACCAACACAATTGAAGTGTCAAAACTTTTGAGTGACTATAATCCCTTGATTACCCGGATAAACACCAATTCACTTATCAAGAAATACCATTCAATGTCTATACAAAGAAAGTAAGCAATGTTTTGGAGGATATTTTTCAAACTTTTTGTATAAAATATTCATTTAGTATTTACACTTGAATTTTTTTTTCAATTGTGCCATAGTGATATGCATTCTCTTTGATGCCAATATTCTTCATTAATTGAGATACAATTTGACGTTTTTGTACTCTCAGAAGATGGATAAGATATTGAAGTTTAATAATATGTGTGATTGAGTTGGTTTTTCAGACATTACAATTTTCAATATTTTTAAGTCGATATCCAGACTCATTCCCAGACTCATCCTTTCTTCTGCACTATCCAACAATCCATAAGTATTATTTTAAAATCCATCAGCACTGTTTAATAATCCATCAGCACTGTTTAACCTTTCATCAGCACTGTTTAATAATCCATTAGCACTGTTTAATAATCCACCATCACTGTTTAACCTTTCATCAGCACTGTTTCAATTTATTCCGACTGTACACAAGTGCTTTGAACAGAGAGTACACAAATACAACACCAACTATGAACAGAGTGTAGCCAAATGGTCCGGTACCTCTCCAAATGTAAAACACACAGTACACTATAATCAGGAATATTAGATTCCTATAGTTTGCTAGAGATCGCAATGACACACGCGGTCTTTGATTATATTCATATTGTTCTCTTCTGATTGGTGGAGAAATTGTGAGGTCATGATTGGTAGGTCTTTGTCTTGGTGGGGAAATATACTGGAATGCCACTCGACCAACAAAATCATCCCGCTGATACAGATTGTGGATTTCATCAGAAAACTGGATGGAGAAAAAGAAAAAAAATATAATTGAGAAATAAGAGTACATGTTCACAAAAAAGGTCTGACTGATAGGAAATCCATATTGCAAGTCAAACAAAAACTTTCTTAACATTTTTGAGTTTTTAAGACATTGAGATGTAAAAAATGAATCTTATAAGTATATGAACATGTTCGTTCCTAAAGCATGATCACTAATATTTCTCAACTAGGCTTACAACAGTTAAACAACTATACTGGTATATCTGTATGTCTACTTCTTGAGAGGTCAACAATCAGTGAGAAATTGCATAATATTCTTACCCTACTATTTATAAATGAAGTGAGTTTGTACAGCAAGCGGACCAGAGTTGCATTCTCGTATGTCCTGACTGGTTGAAGGTCAAGGTCACCTTGGTAGTCTACTGGGAACCTCCTCAAACCATTCATTAGCTAAAATATATAATAGGTTTAACGAACAAAATGCGTAAATGAAGTCTCACTTTTGATCTTCATAGTATTTCAAACGGATTAATATTAATAAGTATCTGATCTTTAATTTGAAACCAAAAACAGCTCAAACAGATCACATCAGAGTTGACACAAGATCATGAAAAAATATTTTCGAACTATCAATTTATATATTTCAAGTTTTTAGCAATGCCATTGAAAGATTTTCAACCATACGCCATCTTTTAATCCAAGAGTTATTTAAAACATACACTTTGTGAAAAGTAGTAATTCACTTTTTTTGATCTCTGAACTTTAAATGCTGTTTTCTATACAAGTAAAATTTTTTTCAATTCAGTATTGACCCACATAGAAGTTTTTATCATATTTGATTGAGTGTGTGAGTAACATGTCTCAAATAATATTTTGTCCTTTTTCCTTCAAAAATAGGCGCATTGCCTGTTTAATGAATGAAAGTTATTCTGCCAAGGTTTCAATTCACTAAAAACTCGGATGATTTCACTTCACCAATACGTTTAAACTTTCAATTTACTAGATCTCCTTGTATAGTAAACTAATTGTATTTTCTGAGTTACAAATAACCTTGTCAATAAAAAATATAATTGGTAAATATAAAATTGTACAATATTCCATACTCAAAGTAAAGCATACCTGGTACCGGCCAAGCTGTGTTAACTGTGGCCCTGAATCTGTATTAATGTAATCTGGCACTGTGTCAAGTTTTTCTATCAAACTATCGTCTGCTTGAGATAACGTGGACTGTATGTTAGCTGGTGGTTCCATCTATAACAGAAATGTGCCTTCATTTAAAATGTGCTGTCAAGGAAGACTGGCTTCTAAGTACGCAACTCAACATTTTCAATAATGAAATTGTCAGAATGTCATTATTTTCTGACATTATAACTGACTATAAATTCATAATCAATGATCCAAAAGATTTGAACCAATATTTCAATCACTTCTTACATGCATTTTGTAATTTTTTGTTTGGAAATTAGACCAAAACTCTGGATTCAAGTTCTAAAATAAAAAAAGGTGGAAGTTTTAATTCGAATTTTGTAATCACGACATCTCTATCTATGGCAGAATATCGAGTTGGAACCCTGGGAGCCAATCCTCCTTGATGTGCTATCACATATAATTTGACAATCTCCCACTTTTAGAATCTTAATGGCTCTTTAAGTAGATTTAAGAGGGGAGATTTGAATCAATTTTGCAGTGAAACCCCTGCAGTCTCTAGCTAGTTCAAAATGGACATTGTGGGATTTGGTGAATTGTCAAATTAAAGTTGGCATTCAACTCAATTTACAGTATATACGAGAGTTGTCCCAGAAGTAATGCACTATATGCACTATATAAAGTTAGAGCATATAGTGCATTACTTCTGGGACAACCCTCGTATTTGTTGGTTCAATTTGATACAAAATAATTATAAACTGAATGTCATTGCAAAATGTGATTACTTTGAGAAGTTAAGATCAATCATATTTATAAACATTGGAATAGAGTGTAAAAATAAAATAAAAAGGACCCACGGTCCTGTGCTCACAGTGTAGAACCTTCAGAGGAATGTATATCCTGATTTCATTGACGTCTAAATAAGCAATTTCTCGGAAACCGGGCAAACTTGGGAAATGGCGATGATAGGTCAAATAGGCATTATGGATATGCATAAAATGAAAACAGAAAAGTGATAATATTTTGTCAGTTTTTATACATACTAGAAGTATATATTGCCTTCACTCACTCAAATTTGACTTACCCTGAATATATTACACAGCATGACTTGAGCACTATCTAAATGTGCCTCTGTCTTTTTGCCATCAATGGCTGTATAGTCATCACCATTTGTGCCTTGGTTGTATTCGACCATTGGACCTAGACCTAGCCAACTTAGAATCCCACCACTGTCTGTAGTCTTCTCTATTGTACTTAAAGTTGTTCTTGCCTGAGCAATGACATTCAGTAATTGCTGAGTCTAAAATATATAACGTTGAAATTGATTTTTACAGGCACTGTGTACAGTTTTTTGAATTGGCTTCTTTAAAGTTTTTGCTTTTTTATGTGAAGTGGAACTGGTGAAGCCATATTATAATCTAAAAGGTGTAAGAGAATACTATTTCAGGTGAATTTCACTGACATTGATCCATACAAATTGAAGATTCTGCAAAACCACTTCTACTTTCATATACTTAGTGAAACAAGGGGATTCTATACAATTAATAACAAAACTTTTCTTTTTTCTGAAACCATAACTAATTCCTCACATATTTATACAAAGTGAATCAAATGCCTTATTTGAAATAACATGGGCCTTTCTTTAAACAGACTAACATGCAATAAAAAACAAATCCTTTTCATTGCAGAAAAGAAAAAAATTCTTACTGATTTTCTCATATCCTCTGTAAAGAAAGGCTTTTTGTGAAAAGAGGTTTCTTTGTAAAACCAAGGCCGTTGCCATTATTGCAGACAAGAAAAAAATTCTTACTGATTTTCTCATATCATCTGTAAAGAAAGGCTTTTGTGAAAAGAGGTTTCTTTGTAAAACCAAGGACGTTGCCATTATTGCAGACAAGAAAAAAATTCTTACTGATTTTCTCATATCCTCTGTAAAGAAAGGCTTGTATAAGAAACCAGGGCCTTCTAGCTCCATAAAATGAAGCTGTAGATTGGTGGCCATATTTGATGTACTGGGAGCAATGTAACTCGCCCCAATGTCAGCTGATGTCATATGACGTGAGGATCCAGGGGAGGACATCGCAGGCTCGAACATCAGCATCTCAGCTGGAGAAAATTGATAGTATTATTATCTTGAATAAGCCATTGTAGTTAAACATTTTATATATCCAGAAGGATATCCAGTGGATTAGATTTATTGTATTAGATGTATGTAGTAAATTACTGCACAATAAAAAACTTTTTTCCATGCTTAGTCTTTCAGTATCATATTTTTAAAATTAGCTTTGTGAAGTTGTGAATTTTATATTTCATAAATCATTACTCTTAAACTGTTAGTGATTCATAAAACATATTTAAGTCATATTTTCCCATTCACTTTTACACTGAATTCTATTTCAAATTCAAAGCATGCAAGTATGAAAAACTAAAATACAAAAAATGTATTGAACAAAGAGAAGAAAAGTTAATTGCATTACATGCATTATAATATAATGAGCGAAAATGTTGCTAAAATCATGCAATTTCATACATGGAAATTATGAAAAAAAACAATTTTCAGTAATCTATAAAAAATCTGTTGTTAAAAATCATGATTACCATCTTCCATCATGTCTCTAAGATTTCCCTGGTTGAAGACTTTAGCAACTCTAAAGAGCATATATGCATTGCGGGGAGATGTCAGATCCATCCTGAATGCACGGCTAATGAACTCTTGGTACAGCGTCGTGAAGAACAATAGGTTTTCTACAATAAATGGCAACCTGGAAATTCAGAAAGATGCAAAAATGAAAGGTTCATGATAGGTCCATTTATTCGTTTTTAACCCCCACCCTAATGGCAAGCCACATAGCATGCTTCACATCAACAGATATTACAGTATTAATGCTTTCATTTTTAACTTTGTTTGCTTTCAATTTTAACTTATAGACAAAAATATTTTCTGATAACAAACAATATCGTACATGTACAAAATGTTTCAATACAAAGAGTAATTTCTTTTACATAGTCAAACACTGGCAAAGGAAGGATGACTGGCAAAGTCTTGATTCTATTTGTACAAATCATTTATTTTGTTCAATGTAAACCAGTTATGCCATTACTTCTTCCTTTAGGGGTCAATTCTGAATATCAAATTAAAAGAATGTTAATGCCCATATACATTTATTACTATGGTGTTCAGTTTTATCGATTCACCTACCAAATGGGGTCCACATTTTTCTCCTTTTGCTCAGAGTCAGTGCGACTTGTTGGAAGATTAACAGTGCCATCTATGAATCTATCTGCGTATCGCCATGGTTGAATATAGCTGAGCCACGTCTCTAACATCTATATCAAAAATATTACAGTGATGTCCAAGGATATTTTTAAACAGGGTGATTAAGTCCTAATTTTACCTGCTATGGCAAAGAATTTCGGAAGGGTCATGCAAACAGATTTTCACAAGGGTGAAAAATTCAGTTGCTCTAGTGCAAAATAAGTTGTGATATTAATTCCCCTCTACAAAATGAAATAACACTAGAATGTTTTATAGTAAAAGTCCTTGTTTTTTCATCAAAAATTACTATGAAACAATATCATTAAGATGTAACTAAAACTCAATGTAACAACGCCAATTATTTATACAAAATCTGTATCAGTGGCTTATAATGTCGAAAGACCGAGCCACAAATAAAATTAAAATAAAGAAAAAACTGGACTCACATTTCTAAATGATGAGTCCAGTGGCCATCTGTCAAATCCATGCCGTAAAAATGCATACATTTTCTTTTCTACATACTGTGATATGATATTCCTAAAATAAAGATGCAAATATATGGGTCGATCAAAACTTCGGTATCTAAGTTCATAAGCATGGTGACAATAGCAAAGTAATTTTGGTTCCTTATATCTCATTTAACAAACACTTATTTTAATAAAAATTTGTGAACTTGTGATATACCAATTTTTCTTGGTGAATTTCCGAATCCTTAACTGTGCCTTTTCAACAAAAAACTTTGTTAAACATAGTACATAGTCTTCTTACTTTTTGAACTCCTCAAAAGGTGTCTCTGTGTGTTGTTGGTATGGAGATGTGGGCACATTAGATGGCGCTGAACTTGCGAAATAATGCAGCTGTTTAACAAACATCCGAACAATCTTCACATGGTCTATGGACGGAACAAAGTTGTGCTGAAAATCAATTGATGATTTGATATGTAAATTATTCTGACTTTATCATTACTGTCAAGGCATTCAAAGCAAACATGCATTCAGAGAGACCAAAAAATGCACAATATTCACAAGTTATTTACTTAAAAAATTATCACCAGGTGTAAATGTGGTGCTGTTTGGATATTTTCATTTATAGCTCCCGTAATATATCCGAGGATTTATGGTATACAAGGGATCCATTTTAAAGTATTGCTTTATTAAAAGCAATGCAATATCATTAAATGTGAACTTAAATATTATTTGGATAAATCAATACAAAGCACGGAGGAGACAAACACTGAATTACCAGAGTTCAGGATAAGAAAAAACAGAAATTTGAATTGATGTTAACTAAGCCCAAAAATATGATTGCTGAAAAAGGCAAATGGTGAAAAATATTGTACCTAAAACTAAAAAATAGCCACCTTAACGTTTAGACCAAAGTCCAATCATTTCTAGATTTTCATACCAAGAGGCAAGAAACATCCCTCAAAATTTCAAATCAATCAGTTAAGGAGTTTGTTTAGATATATGCGGAAAGATAATGAGATTTTAGGCACGATGAAAATGTGGAAAATGACTTTAATTATAAAGCAAATGAACACTGCCTACTGTTCATTATTTTCTGTCATATTAATCCAAGCCCCAAGATCTATAAAAATCATGAAACCAAACACTGTACATGTTCCCAATGCAAAAAGCAGTGACATGCATACAAGTTAAAACCTTACTATGCCATACAAAAATCCCATACCAAATCCCATACCAAAACCACAAAAATCGAATGCCCAATACACAAGTCTGTAGATCATGTACCAAGCCCTAAAAATCATACTAAATATACTAAAGACTATGTTTAAACAATTCCTTTCAACCAAGCGATGACGCATGCAGACGAATCCATATTAACCTAAAAAATGGAGAGAACTAAAAATGGAAAAAGCGATACATGCAAACAAGGTAACCTCTACTTACTCTTTCAAAGAAATTATAGAAGAAATTTGGTGTCTGAAAATATCCATATACAATCAAGATTCTGAATGTATGAATAAACAAGTTTTAAGATTAAGTGTACTTCCTTAAATGGTATACCTTAAAAATGATAATATAATGCCTGACCAAATCAAAATTAAAATGTAAATTATAAATGGAATGAAAATAATATAATTTCACTGATTCCACCCATAAAAACATGAATTGCAAAAATATATAAGTATATAACATGAATGTTGTTTTTAGAATGGAAGAGACTAAGAGATTACAAATGAATGTCACTATGAAGTAAAACACCTTTAGAAGTGAGACAGTTCAAAGTCCCATTTCTAATTTACTTTATGATAAATAATAATCTAAACATGGAACACCTCTATAAGTGGAACACCATTTCGAGGAACCAAAGGTGTTGCTCATTCACATATAAGACCCTCTCAATTCCTCATGGAATATGTTTTAATTTACTTACTGTATGCTGCTGCATGATAGCATTCTTTTCAATCTCCAATGAGTTCTGGTTCAACCAAAATTCAACAAATATCTAGAAAAAGAAAATATATAAATTTTCAATTTATTTATTGAACCATCACCCAGTCATAGCGTACTAAGCACAATTTACGGTAATATGTCAGGACGATAACATTATCTATAATTCAATTACAGCCGAACTAATCTAACTGTGCAATTAACTTGAATACCAAAAGTAAGAGGCCTTTGTTCAATATCAAAACACTGTGCTCTTTATAAATAATAACCTTGTCACAAATGATTAAAATTTTAAAATAGCAAACACCCTGAGCCTCTGCAGATATAAAAAGTTTTGAGAAAATATATATTTTTGACCACATTGGAAACATCTCGGTAAGAAATAAATTCAGCATCTTAAAATACATTGAATAAATATTGTGCCAAACTTGAGGGGAATCTTTTTGCCAGTACATTATCTAGTGTAAAATAAAATATCAATTGTAAAATAAAAAATGCTTTAAAATTTTGCATAAAGATTATGCCTAACTGCTAACTGGAATGGGATCTGTCATTAAAAGTACAATCTAAAAAAAATATCTATTGTAAAACAAAATACCTGGACCATAGTCTCAGAGCGCCAGGTTTCTCTGTCTGATGTATCCACAATGGAAGCATTTTGCTGTGACATAGACTTCTGGAGTGACGTGTTTGCTGTTTTAAGTAATCCTACCACCCTTGGGGTGTTGCTAGGAGACCCACGATTGTAGGATTGCGGGGATTTCCTTAAATTGCAACAATCAAATTATATAGCATAAAATGATGACATTGAACTATATTTCATAAATTTTGTTTTTCAGTTAAAGTGGGGTAATCAGTCATTCAATATCATCCATCTTGGAATTTATTCCTTCAACATTTATAGGATTATTCAATTACCGGACTTTTAATTAGGCTGGAATCTGACACTTAATATTTGGAATGTAGATAAGAAACATGAATTTGGGACCTTGAAATGTAAAATTGATGTGAATGTACCAAAATTGTCCAGATTAATTAACAGTGCCTTTTTAACTAAAAATGGATCATTAAAAAGAACTGATCCAACTGAAATTGACAGATAGTCATTGAGGCTCACTCATACAATTTAGGGGTAATACAAAGGGCAAAAAGTGGGTGGGATGAAACTAAAATGACATTAAAATATAATCCATTATTGAAGATGTCATTAAAATGTGTTCTACACCAAAACAACGTATTAGCACAATTTATTTTTTGGGTTGACAGGAAGGCACAATTTGAAAAATACCTTGGTGTGTGACTGTGATGTTGATGCAAGGATATGGGAGACTGATGCACAATAGGACTTCTTACAGGTGAAGCAAACACTGGCATGGGGGGTAGATGTTTGCCATCCATTGGAAGAAAGTAGTCCAGATATTCCAGGACTATTACAGGATGGAGACCATCATTGTTTATACCAACCTGGAAAATATCCAATATTCGTCTTTTGTTTATTTATTTGCCATACACCTTTAAAACAGTGGCACAATGGAAATATTCCAGCGTAGCAGTACATATAACAGATTTCTTATCCTTTTTTTGAAAGGAATGTAACCAAGATTGAATTGTGTGTACTGTATTTCCAACTTGTCTGTCATGTAAGCTTAAATCTCTTAAATGACTTATAACTGTAGTGGGAATTTTTTCAGCTATGATATTTTGAGAAAAGAAAGTTTACGTCCTAAGTCTCTATTGCCTGTATCATTGAATGGCATTATGAATTCAAAATAGTTAACATCTATTTTTAGGGTGAGCAAGGCAAAATTAGGATCAAGCATCCTGCATAGAAAACTTCCTTAACTTCCTTCCACTTAAAATAATGAGATAACCCCAAGACATGTGAATTTTGATTCCTACCTTCTGGTGTTGAGGGTTCACTAAGAAGTAAGCGAAGTGGAACATGAAGAACTCAAAGGCATCTGGTGAATGGTTAAGGCTTATTATACAAAGAGATAAACAAGACATTAACATGCAAAATGTCACCAACTGCCATTTGTTACAGACACCTACCACCAAACACTGAATGCCAAACACCAAGAACCGAACAATGTCCACAATAAAGTTGAAGACTACAATAAAAATAGGACCCACGGTCCTGTGCTCACACAGTTTGGAACCTTCAGAGGAATGTATATCCTGACTTTCAAACAAAAATGTTGATTTGGATTTGTAGTCTCGAACTTTGAGAAACTATGACAGCACAGTTGTGTGACCTAGTTTGATGACCTTTGACCTTGAAAATTTCAATTATTTAGAGCTCAGTAGGGTCTTTTGTGATTAAGCTGAACAAAATTTACATCCAAAAATCAATTTGAAAAATCAACCTTTTGGACCTTTCAAAGGTCACTGGAGGTCAAGTAAAGGTCAAATCCTAAAACTAATGTCAGATTTGAACTTCTGGTAACTTGTAGATGATTTTCACAAAAAATTTGGTCAAATTGAAGCAAGTTGAAAAATAACTTATTTTTACTGTGTTTTTTTTTTACGTCAAATATCTCAAAAACGGTAAAAATTTGATGCTGACATATATTGAGCAATATGTAGGGAATGCTTAAATCTAGTTATGACGTAATTCATTGCAAGAAATGATCAAGTATAAGGCAAACTTTGAGAAACTTGTCAATCACAAAACCTGCCATTGACTTTATACATAAGAAAGTTTCCTGAAAATGACCAAGTCCTACTTTTTGTCATATTTTATAGAGTAAGCACCAAAAACTGTAATTCCTAGAGCTTTGAAATCTTCAGAGGACATAAGTTGCATATACAGCAACTACTACAAGTTATTTGAAAGTTCTACTTCAACAAAGTGTCTAGAATTTACAGAAAATTTGACTTTTTGACGTCAAAATCAGCAATTTCTCGGAAACCGGGCGAACTTGGGAAATGGCAATGATAGGTCAAATAGGCATTATGGATATGCATAAAATGAATGTGGTAATGACTCAATCCGAATAGCAGTTTTAATTTGTGCGGCCAATGTTGACGGACGGACCAACGGACGGACGGACGGACGGACCAACGGACGCCTGGTCGATCCCATAGGCTCACTGTGTGAGCCAAAAACATAAGGCCTTTGCAAAGCTTGATACCATTGGTTTGAACCGACACTCTTGAAATTGACTCATCTGATTCTGTCACCCACAAAAGAAATACTGAAGTATAAATTCTTAGTGCATCTATTTTGCCAAATCAATAATCTTGATACCATTCTCTGATATCATATGGCTTAAGACTGGATCTTTTCTGACTATAGGTTAAATCAAAAGAAGAATTGGTTTAATCAAAAGGATTATTGGTTTAACGAAAAGGATACTAAGTGTCAAATGACTACAGGGTGCGCCATGTGGTTGGAACTGCAGTTTATTCACATACAGCATTGGAATTCCTCCATCTTGAATCATCTGCCTTGAAGGGTACTGGAATATATAATACAAACTGAGAAGAAAAAAGTGAAATCAACAAGGAAGAAAGTAAGTATGTGTAGCGATGTAGGTAAAACATTCTAGATGACAAAAAATGAGGTAGTTCAATTCCTTACTGTTAATAGATTCATTTATATTACCAATTAGGCAGCATTAACTAGTTCTTACTGGTAGTATGTTAACTGGAAACTCATATCTGTAAGCATCTTCTTGATAAAGCTTGTACACAAGTGTCATCAAAACGCCCCTGGGGTGCAGGAACTGCTGTATTGGGGTGAAGTCACCATGATAACGGTTCAGTTTGTTGATGCCCCACCCGGGAAGATTGTTGAATCCAAAAATATTCTCAATCAGGGATGGGAATATACAATGTAGCTCCTGGAAATAAAGGATTTTTTTTTTATATATTTATTTATTTATTTATATGATATAGAAAGTACAATATAGTGCTGCGGCTAGGCTTAAAGCATTATTAGCCACATATAGAATACTTATATAAGGGGTAAACATAAAAATTGTAAGCCTAAATGGTAAAAGGATTAGGGAATGTTATTACATGTACATGTAAGTCAATGAGAAACACAATTAACTAAATGCTCCATGGTGCAGAATTCATTTTTCATTCATTAACATGAAGTACTTTTCCTTCTTTCTTATTCACACTACCCATGGCCTATTTTTCATTACAGATAAAAATCTTAACCGCATGCAGGTAATTCAGTACCTTGTTACTGGCATCATTGATGAGCCGTTCCAATTCTCTACACCTTTGTGCTACTGGCTTAGTAAGTGCAGCCTGATAACGACCCTGAAGTAATATAACATCATTAATATTCAAGTTTATATATAGACTAGAATTGTTTTCATGGTTAAAAGTAGCCAATAACGATGACCTTAAATAATTAATTGAAACAGAGAACTTAAATCAGATCACCTATATTTTCGAATTAAGGGATTATCTCAAACTTTCAGAAAAGGAAGGATGTTTCATATTGTATTGTACTTGTGATACAACCCCTCTTAAAATAATCCTATGTCACGTGATAGTATAGTTTGTTATTAGATTGTATTACATACACACCCTTCACATGTATGCTTGTAAGCTACCACTAATATAACAGCTCTTATAAGAAATAGTTATTACATCAACTCTATATGACTCGGCTCTTGTTTCATATGTAGTAATATTATGTAACAAATGCGTTATTTCGTGATAACTACAACATCTTCCCGGAAGTCAACATTGATGAAAAATGAAAAAGTCGGAAAAGCATTTACACTAATTTCTATCAAATGCTGTGTTTATGCATCATCATCGACGCAACAAAGGTGATATGGTTTCATTAAGATTCGGGTTCTAACCTTTAAAAGGTAAGTCAGACTCCCAAATGTCAGCTAACTCTTATATTTAGCATGTTAGCAACGAACTCAGGCCATGAAAACAATTCTAGACTTAGACTGGGTAAATATGTATATGTAACAAATGTATGGGAAGATCTTTTGGATTTTATCTTTTCTTTCCTGAGAATAATGTCTTCACTCTTCATTGTCATCACTTGTGAAATTTCACAGTGTAACCTAGTATGTATCCAACAGACCGAATATAATATTCGGTCTGTTATGATTGATATATTTCCTGTGGAAATCGCGGTGATATTTTTTGCACATAAATTTCTCGTTTATTACAAGAATGTTCACCTTGAAAATTGGTGAATATGTTGAAGAGATGTTCATCTTAAACTAGAAGCAAAAATATTTGTATAAGGCGGGTACAAGTTGATATAAAATAATGAAATGTTCAGACTCACCAAAACTTCAGGTTGTGTTCATAGGCAAAACTGCCCTAATTCACGTCACCATACTAGTCAATGGGCAAAAGGGCAAACGCCTGACTTTTTATCTCGAGTTATGGATTTATGTGGCCTCACTGGCCTATCTGAGGTTCTAAAGCTATGTCTAAGCTACATCTTGACACTAAACTCAATAGGGGCCAATCATCTACTTTTTGAAATAATTGGTCAATTGTGACACTACCCCCTCTCTCTGCAGACACAAATTGAAATTCACAAAAATGAAGGCAAAATTAATACGCCACTTGACTCGAAATTTTCCTTCAGATAACCCAAATAAACGCATTTTCAGAAGAAATGGCATGTTGCCATTGCAAAAAGATTACAACTGTGCCTACATACTAGCTTACTGACTCGTCATGATCACAATTGTGTTGGGACTACATTTATTTTTGAATACTACTTTTTTCTATTCAGCGGAAGTGACGTATTAGGGCATTTTGGCCTAATAGCCACATGGTTGGATGATTTCTGGCTTTAAATTGCGTTTTTCCAATTTACTAGAGTTTTTCAAGTTGTTTTGTGCAGTTTAAGAATATTCTGACAGCAATTGTGAAAAATATGGCTACTTCATTACCCCTGGGGTCATTTTTCCAGGAACCCAATGGTTTTCCTTTAAATTTGACTAGTTTTTCATTTACATCATGAAATCCACTGCCTGATGGTGATATTTTTCAGTATCGTGTCAAGAAATGGAGTATTTTATTGCATATTGCGATTTTTAGCCAAAATCACTGAACCGTGAACCTGAAAATTGGACAAATTTGGCCCACTTTTTGGCAAAATCTTACTAAAATCATCACTTTTTCATACTTTATTCCATTCAACAACCTCCTGATTTGAAAAATGATGACAAATTTGATCAGTTTTGACTCTGGCCTAGAGAATTGGGACTTTTGAGATATTTTTTAGCTCGAATGTAGTCATTCAGAGTGAACAAATACATCAAAAATTGACACTTAACTCACCAATTTCTGACTGCACCCCCGATATGTACCTTCTTTCTATACTGGAAAACTTAAGATGGAAAATTCAATCTTTATGATGAATAGCAACTCGTTGGCTTCCCCATTTACGACAACAAATGACATTTAGGGGTCACTAAGGACAAAATTGTAGCCAAATATCGTCAAAATCAGTGTTTTTTGGGGTAAAAAGCGAAAACTGCTGATTCAGCAAAAACATTAAATTTGTTCATGAAAATTCCCCTTTTTGCCTCCGTCCAAAATATGTTTCACACTAATAAACTTAAATTCTGGGCGATTCTGAGTAGTTTTAAAAAATTTTGGTCACTTTCACATGTGACTAATAGGCAAAACTGCCCTAATTCACGTCACCATACTAGTCAATGGGCAAAAGGGCAAACGCCTGACTTTTTATCTTGAGTTATGGATTTATGTGGCCTCACTGGCCTATCTGAGGTTCTAAAGCTATGTCTAAGCTACATCTTGACACTAAACTCAATAGGGGCCAATCATCTACTTTTTGAAATAATTGGTCAATTGTGACTCGTCATGATCACAATTGTGTTGGGACTACATTTATTTTTGAATACTACTTTTTTCTATTCAGCGGAAGTGACGTATTAGGGCATTTTGGCCATAAGTATATCGCGAAATCAATGTCAAGGACATTTGAGTTCACGAGATCCAAACGAGATTTGCAAATTTTTGAACTTTGACAACACATGACCACTTGATTACCTCGGCCTTCTTCATGAATATTTCCGCTCTATTTACTATAAATGACGAAAATTAATCGGGAAAATGATAATAAATGACTAGATCTAATAAATTACCGCACAAATGGAATTTATCAATACGCTTCCGTAATTTTGCTCCGTCCGCTCCACGTGTTATTTGTTTACAAATAGACTGACGTCACTGGCTAAATCTCGTTTATCGTGAGAATTGGCATTGCCAAAATGGCTTGACCTAATCAATGGCTTCGCTACAAGAAGCGTCTGTACATTTTATGAATATCTTCAGTAAGAGGACAATATACGAAAAAATAATATTGTAAGTTCTTTATAAGGTAATAATTTTATCATTAAACAAACTTATTTGTAACATTTATACAACACCACATTTTACAATAGGTGACTTACAGTCTGAATTTATTCAGACGAAGGATACAGTCTACAGTGTAACCTACTGCGTCGAAGAACCAATCGCATATTTGTAAATAGACACATGATGAATATCAAGAAAATATCTTTATTTTCAGGGCCAAAGTTGTAAAGAAGAATGTTGGATACCGAATCTCGTTTCCTAACTAAATCTTCAGACCAGATGTTTTCATCAGATATGAGAATCGATATCTAAGAGACTGCTATACTTCAAATACACTCTCTACATGCATTTTTCAATTGAAAAGTAATTTTGAATTTTTGCCTTGGTTCGGTTGGAAAAAAAGAACTGTCCGGTTCAAATTCAAAGGCAAAATGTAAATAATATGACCAAGTATACATCTCATATATACATCAAAATAAAGGGAAATAGTGTAATTTAGGTAAGTAACACCAAAAATCTTAATATTTATTCCAACTGGCCATTAAAAACACAAAATTGATACCCACATTTGCGGTAAGATTTGTACTTCCTGCCGCCATTTTTTATTCGGAATGACTGCGTTCGTATATTCACGAAATTTGACAGTACAAATCTCCAGAAATCTCGTCAGAAATCTCGCAGTCGACGTCAACAAGTTTGAAGAAGAAAATCTCTCATGATATCCAACTAAAAGGTAAATACGTCGATAAGTATGTACTTTGATGTGTAATGGTCGTTATATCCACATAAATCAGTGTATGTTAAAACTATATGACTAATTTTCCAAGGATATTTGTCTTTGTGGTTCATGAAAGAATGACTTCAAACATTGAAAAAAAATTAATTTTCATTTTTTTCACTCCGGCCGATTTCGATGTTCTATACTTAGAGGGTGTGGCTTACCTATTTCAAAGTCTGTCTGATCTGTGTAGGATAGCCTTTGCTCGCAGAGTATAGGTCGCTAGATAATTGTAACATCTGAAACTGAATTCAGAATGTTCCCTGCTTACACCTCCATTCTCAGGAGACGGGATTTAAGGTTCAGCTGGAAAGTAACATTTTGGTAAAAAATTGCTATACCTGCACATGTTATTTTCTGGTACAAAATAAAGTATGAAGGCATGTGTGTATTTCCTTGCTTTTTTCAGGAAAGTATCATTACACTGTCTTCTTTTAGAATATCTGAAAACAGATCAATGGTAGCTCCTGTGTTGCCTGGAAACTTTGAAAGAAAATTTTGAAAAATTGAAAGTGTGAAATATTAGAATTTCCTGGAGTTCTCATTGAACACCTACCAGATATTCTAAAAGAAGACAATGTAATGATACTTTCCTGAAAAAAGCAAGGAAATTGACACATGCCTTCATACTTTATTTTGTACCAGAAAATAACATGTGCAGGTATAGCAATTTTTTACCAAAATGTTACTTTCCAGCTGTACCTTAACGTGGATGGTGGTTTTACCATGGGAACAGCTTTTGCAAAGGGGGGATGAGCGTTTTGACATTATGCGAAAAGTGCTCAGAATGCTGAAAAACTGCATGATTTTGAAAAAATTTCTGGCCAGGGGAGCAGCTGCTCCCTCAGTTCCCCCTGGCTATGGGCCTGATTCTCCATACTCTGTTTGCTAAAGTCTGTAAGTTATCAGCTTCTTCTGTGTCGATCAGGAATTGTCTTTATCCCTAAAGGAAAATTTTCTAGCAAGAAATCAAAATGGCAGTTTTGATGTAAATTTAGGAAGTTAAGCATCTCTGGGGTAGCGTCCAGTGATTTCCAAATTAACTTACGGTAGCTCGAAATTTTAAACACTACTTCGTAACTTTCTGTTAAAACCACCATTTTCTGTACCCTGCAGAAGTATCGTTGTGACATGATATTTTAATGGGAGTAATAGCAATTAAGTCTAACATCATACTTAAATGATACTACATGTATTCTATCAGTGTCTCATCATGGGTTTTCTAGAGCCTCTGAGGTCCTGTGGTTCAATTGTATATTTCTTGAAGTTTAGATTGAAATAACTGTAACTAATTTTGCATTCTATATTCATCCCAGTGTAAAATCTGCTGTGTAAATATACCAAAATGTGTAGATAAAATATGTGTGTCAAAATTGGTCGCAAATACTACCAACATGCTATAAACATACTAAAAACATGATATAATTCAAGCATCACAGTGTAACTGCAACTTATCTAGGTTTAGCATTCTATATTGATACTGCAATAATATATGCAGTGTTCTCCCCAGGATTTTTATCAAGTGGGTGCAAAATTCTAGATTTCACAATTGAGACCAAATTGAGTCAAAATTTGCCAATCTTTCTGGGTTTGTAGAAAAAACCGGGTACCGGGTACTAAATCCTCCATACTGGGTTCCAACTTGGTACCCGGTACCCGGTCGAGAAAACCGGGTACCAAGTCGAAAAAAACGGGTACCCAGAAAAACAAAAAAATACGAAAATTTAACATATTAATAACATAATAACATATTAAGTTAAATATCATTAGAAAGCTTTTTATATTTGAAAAACATGGCAAATCAATGAATACTGTATTTTCAATAGTTCGTATATTGGTACGTGAATTATTTCGATTGTGATTTAAATCTGTAAATAGCTATCGTTACTTTAGTAGAGAGGTGACGTGTGTTATTTTACATGATGCAACGTGTAAGGTTTTGATTGCATAATTTAAGTTATCCCAATTTTCAAATGAGTGCAAATAAGTTCTTAGGTGGGTGCAAGTTTATTTTTGAAATCTCAAGTGGGCGTAGCAGTAGCACCAATTTGCTTTAATGCTGGGGTGATCACTGATATGTACACCTACTGTGTAAAACTCTATGTTATAAAAATATGCAGATAAAATATGTGCGTAAAATCACTAAATCACTGTGTACACAGACAGTTTAGAATGTAAGTCAATATGTTCTTGACTTATCAATGGTTCAATTAGACAGATAGATAAGTGGAAGTGGGTTGTAATGTAGTGATTTTAGGATAAGAGATTACTATAATTTAACTATACATTTCACTGTTAACATGTCCTTCCTTCTTCACATTTATTTTAGGATAAGTGATTACAATTTACTGTATTTCAACATGTACATTCGTTGTACATTTCACTATTTACGTCCTTTCTTCTTAAAGTTTATTTTGTGTTAATGTTGTGTTTATTTTGGGTTAATACTAGTATGTACAGTTTGTGATAATATTTTATGTAAATATTTGTGGCACAATTTGGAAACTGCATGTTACATGTAACATGAAGTAATGAACAAGATTTTGTTTGATGCTACATGCCATTACTTATCATTAATAAACATTTAATCAGTGATATGGGAAATAGGTATTTAATGTGGATGTGATGAAAGGCAAATCATCCAAATCTTATGATCTGTAAATTCCAGCTAATTTAGTGGCTTGTGTTACAAAACTTGGTGCAGGTTGATTTAAAACGGAATTATTTTTAATTATCTAATTTCACCAATATTTTGGTTGACAGCTCATTATTGTGCTTGTTTTAACTGTGAATTACATAATGTTTTTGGACACTCTCCAGGTATACCCATTCTGTTTTTGGACACTCTCCAGGTATACCCATTCTGTTTTTGGACACTCCATCTATACCCATTCTGTTTTTGGACACTCCATCTATACCCATTCTTTTTTTGGACACTCCATCTATACCCATTCTGTTTTTGGACACTCCATCTGTACCCATTCTGTTTTTGGACACTCCATCTATACCCATTCTGTTTTTGGACACTCCATCTATTCCCTATTCTATTAAATAATGTGTATATTATATGTTTCAATATGGGTTTTTAGGTTCTAATATGCTTGCAATTCTACTGATTAAGGGGATGTATGTTTTAATTTGGAGAAATTTATTGGATGATATATTTTTAATTTCTGATCATTCAGACATCTTTTCTTTATTGGAGATATCAATAAAGAATGTAACTGCAATTAAAATGTTTAACATTTTTAGTAAAGTAGATTCAAAGAAGTCCTTTGAGATATAAATGTTACATTTAAAACTTTCATAATTGCTTTTCTCACAAAATCGATAAAACAACAATGTACAGGTTAACATATGGTGTACAAGTGTATTACATGTGAATGATACAGGTGCTCACTTAGCTTCCAGGTGTAATGAACAATAAAGTTATGTAAAATGTAATAACCTCTCATATAAATAAATAATAGAATATCAGCTTCTTTCAACATCTGATGTTTATGTATGGTGATACATACCTCAAGTTTGATCTTGTTTACAAAAACTTACTTAGAAATGCAAAAAGTTATCTTAATATTTTCAACATACCATGCACGTTTAATATGAGGATCTATGTTGAAGTGAGCATACCACCGGCTCACTATTGCATAGAAGCCCCACTCCCATGACTTAGCCATGATGCCTTGTAAGTTCAAGGTATTGTGAGGTCTGGTTAGTACCCGTAATATATTTTTATTAGCAAATTATGATACGTTTCTCCTTTTTTCTTATTTCAGGAAGTTAGGTGGTTGACTAGATGCTTTATGGAGAACTCTAAAACGTCATATTACCATTGAATGATGTCAGAATACACTAGATGATGTCACACTACCTCTGAATGGAGCCGTTTGTCCTGCAGCTCACACAAGTCAACTTCGACGCTGATGATACTATAGAATATGAAAAACAAAGCCATGATATTGATTCTTTCAACAATGTAGTACATTACGACTCCCAACTTGTAAAATCAGCTGTATCCGAATTTGACTTTGATGATGACGATTTGCAACTCCAGCAGAATGAGAAAGGTAGACTCGGTTTTAATTGTGCGTTAGATTCTTAGTGCCAAAAGTGTTGATCTATCAAACTATCCTGTGAATCGTGATAAAGATTATGAGTTTATCTTCATACAGGGTGGGCCACCCTTACCCTTGTTATATTCTTGCCAGTTCAGAACTTTTTTGCCCATTCTGTATGATGTGATACTCTGGCTACAAGTTTTTGCATTCTGATACTTATAGCATCTTTCTGTTTCACCTGCAACATCTCAGTAATGAGATGTCTTGGTTTATCGTGATGCTATATTTGCATCAAACTAATACTACTGCATTTTTCACCTAAGTCCCCTCTATGTATTAAGTGGAAATCACTGCATGATACTTTTGTATTGTGAAAAAAATACTTGAGCATTGATTGTGATTGTCTAGAATGCATAATTGTTAAACTATGCATGGTGTTTATTTAAGAAATATAGACCAAAGAGCAGGGGTAATATTGTCGAATACACCCTGCAGGGCTAGGTACAAACGTTTTTCTTTGGTTTTTCTTTTCGAAAGCTTTTGTGCCTAGCCCTAAGGGGTGTACTCGACGATATTACCCCTGCTTTGAGGTCTATATTACGATTTGAACATGAACCCACCAAAGCATTTCGAATATTCATTATGGTCCGCCATTACTACGACCCGCCATTATGACGTCACACATTACACATATTACCAGGGGTATTCTTCGCGAATATACCCCAGGTGGAATGTTGACTTTGTTTACAGTTTATAAAAGGCGTGAATACAGTCATGTTCGAATCCAGGAATCAATATTTAGTCTTGTTTCATGTCCTTAAAATTACCCTGTGTGTCTCACTTACGTACCAAGTTAGTTGTAAAATAGCCAAGGGGCTCATAGGCTTGATGCAAGACTACTAGTGATTTAAATAGTATGAGTAATTGAATGCTTTTTGTGTGTTCCATAATCTTGGCTTCAGCATTTCAATTCATACAACATTTTTTTTTCTCTTTTGTTTCATCTTTACAAAATTATTTGAAACAAACTTAGTATGTAGTTACTACATCCAGTATTATTCAAAACAGAAAGTAAAAACAACTGCAACCGTTGTCTTCAATTTATTCAGATTTTTAGTGTTTATATAAAAGAATTCTGTTTGATTTCAAGATGACCCCCCCCCCCCCCAGTGGCAGAAGGAAAACGAAGGACTAGAGCTAAATGAGCACCGTCCAAATTACATGCTGCTCTTGTATCCTTCATTTTCCTACTACTTCCTATCAATGTAATATTTATTTTTTATTTCAGTTTGCAACATGCACACCATTATGGTAATTTTGAATAGATGTTTAGATAATTGTTGTTTCTTATGTCCCTACTTAATATTTTCATTTTAGAGTAAAGTTACTGATTTTACGCTTTTTGATTTTTTTGATTTTTCTTCTCTACTATCTCTTTCTCTATTTCACATCTAAATTATATTAAGATTTTATTGTCAGTCTGTTGTGCGGCACCCAGAACATACACACATTTTAGGTACTTTGCCATTATGACTGAATGGAGTTCTTGAGTTTGTGCACTGTATTTTGAGCTGGTCTGTCATGTTTTCTTTAATATTAGATTATGTTTTTATATTTTATTTAATTTAGATGTGCTTTGTATTTTTATAGACGTCCACTTTTACCCAATTGTACTGTAGTATGATTTATTGGTCATCTAGGGCATAGTCACAAAAAATTCATTACTATATTAGTAAGCTGTCCTGTATCTTGATGCATTAAACCTTGTGGCTTTGTCATGTAGATGCAATAGGCCTGAGTTTTATTGTATTTTGCTTGCTTTTTATGTCGCCACCAAAAGTGATGACATATTGTTGTTATAGTCGCCAACTTTTTTGTGGACGGTGTTTGGCAGTTGGTGTTTGGCATTTAGCAGTCAGCATCTGTAACAAATTGCAGGTGGTGACATTTTTTATGTTAATGCCTTGTTTATATGTGTATTTTGAGCATCTAATTTTTATTTCAAAACCAAAGTTACGTGAATTAACAAGTTTGTACAAATTATTCTAATATGAACATTTTGACTCTGGAATTTGCCAAAGTGAACCCCCCACTTGAATCTTTCGGAAAAGTGAACCCCCCTTGGAAAATTCTGGCTATGGGCCTGCTTGTATTAGGTCTTAGAATGCCATTTTAGTTTAACATATGATTTATTCCAATATAAATGTATTTTAATTATGTTTTATTTTAAATTAAATAAAAAACAACTGTTCATTTTCAGAAATCGAGAATGGATTGCACTTAAATGAGAGTACAACTGACGCCATCTATCATCATCCACTATCGCCAACTCTAATCGACACACATTCTAAATTCATCAATAATTCGGGAAAGAAAATGGAAAAACAGCACAGTGATCATCATCACGGGGAGGTGAAATCTCCTGGAATAGAGGGGAATTCCTTCTCAGCTTTTACATCAACTACTGATGCTTTAGCATTAAGGAACTCTGTCATAGGTATGTATCCTTTACCCACATCAATGGGTCCCAAAAAGTGGATTTCGGTTGCACTTTTACAATTGCATTTGGTGCGGAAGAGGAGAGTGGGACTACATCTAAAGTTCATTAGGATTTATGAATGCAGTAGAGGAGCCACGAAAAACCACTAATACTAATACTAATACTAATACTCGGGATGGGATTCTACTGTATTTCTAGTAGTCCAGCAGAAAACGTCAATTACTAACTTGGGGTCTTTAAAAATAAACATAATACAATCAACCTTGTCCTCTATGTCAGGACAAAATATTGGTGCTTCATCTATTAATGTTCATAGTAATTCCACTCAGCTTATCTTGCAACAACCTCGTATTCAGAAGAAGACAGATCGTGTCTGTCTATGTTTATCCAGATCAATGTTAATCTAAAACAAAACAACAGTTTGACATATTAAAATGTATAATTTCATCTCATCAAAAGAGAAATAGATTGCCTTATAAAAATGTACAATAGGGTCATTAGGATTTCATCCTTTTTTTGATTATTAGTAATTGTTTTACTTGTACATGCTGTGAAATAGCCATAGTCAAAAGTATCTGACCAGGGGTTTCATTAGCAGCAGGCAACAGGCGATTTTCACCAGTTTTTTTTTTACAAAATCACCTGTTGTTTTTAGGAACTTTTCCATGTTGAATTTATGATTTCCATTAATTTTGCCCGTTGTGAGAAATTCTAGTATTTATGTCACATCCTGCTTTTATACACATTTGTCCATTCATGCCATTTTCCCCATTCGTCATTTTTGAGGTCTCTTGTATTTAAAATACTGTACATAGAAAAGTCAGACACAAAATCTGAATACATGGTTGATTTCATTATCAGTACAAGCTGCTTCTAGATTCCCCCGTGATGCGCATATTAATATTGATTTATAAAAACAGTGAGTCCCTTCTGAATCTTATTGAGCAAATGGACATATTGTAATATTACTCATTTATTTCTTATAATACTGAATGAAATAACTCATGATATTCGTTGTGTTTATAACATGGTGTCAAATGTCATAGTGTTTTGATGTTAATTACCCTAATTTTGCTTTTAGATAAAATTAATTATTTTTGATTTTTTTGAAAGGGGTCCCATCATCCCACTTGTACTTTGTACTCACACAATTAATACATGCAGGTTGCATTCATTTTCCACTGTTTCACAGGTTGTTAAAATTTAGGAGCAAAATTTAATTTAATTTGAATTCATAAAATAACTCAGAGAATAAGTTTTACCTCGTACTCTTTGGGATCTAAGGTGATTGTGAATTTTGATTTGAAAGAACTAACTCCTTGGATTCAGAAGCAAAGTTTTCAGGAAAAATACTTTGTGTTTCTAGGACTAGATGTCATTAGTAATGAACTTGAGCTCATGATATCATCCATTTTGAAACTCAGGCCAACTTAAAAGAAGGCTGTTATCTCTCACGATGGATATCATCAACAAAAACATCTTGAAATTGATTTCATTTTCTTTTCGGCCATGTCTTTAAATAATATGTACACTTACATTGCAGATAACCCTAACATTGTGCCAGCTACTAACGATGCCATAGCACAAGCCATTGCAGCTGCCCAGGCAAAGATACAAGCAAAACAAGTAGATGATGAGGTCAGTGCAGATTGTCTGAATTTATTTTTCAAACATAGGTCTTTTATTGAGAACAGTGTAGAACAGTGACTTCCTTTGAAATTCTCAAGACAAAAAGTTTCTGTTGAGTTTGTACATGTTCGTGTTAGATTGTAAAACAAAATCAGTTAGACAATGTACATATATATTGGCCAATTCATAGCCAAAGGTGCCTATGTGTGAGCTATAAGTTTAGATAAATTATAGGTTGATTCAGTATGCTATTAAACACTTGAATATGCTTTAACTAACCTCTATAAAAACCCACAAATTCACGGCCATTCAAGTTCCATATAATTATACAGATCATAGGCCATCTTGAATCAAACTGAAACAGATTGTGTTGATGTCTGTATTACATTGTTAATTTTATGTATTTTTCGATAACAGTCAGTTTGTTGATGTCGTAAGCCATTCATTATCCCACAGATTTATATTCTCAATTTGCGACTTGAATTTCTCATAGTGGTCCTTTGCATTTACAAATACCAAGCATGATCCATCAAGCATTTTTTACAAGAAATGGCCAAGATTGTGCAAAAACCCATAAAGAGTATTTAGGTTTGGATGATCTCTATTCACAATGGATTGTGCAAAACTGAAAGGCTATGATATTGTAGTAGACTACAATAATAACATAACAATAAAACCGAAAGGCTATGATACATCATTTGAACTTTCAATAGAACAGCATGCAATAAGATTTTCAAGTAAAAATTACCATAAAACATATTGAATTCACTGGAGTAATTTTCATAGAATTGTACATTTGTTTCTTTTCATGTTTTCGTGTGCAATATGAAAGGCCAGGTGTCTCACGCTTTATCAGTTAACTTTTGAAAAATCATTTTCATATTAATTTCAGGATTCAAGCCACCATACATCTGAGCTAACAAAGACCCCACCAAAACACCATAATAAAGAGACCCCACCTGACCACCATAACAAAAATGAAAATGTAAACCTCACAGAGGAACATCAAAGTGCAATACTGATTGATAGTGCTAATGAACAATATGAAGGAGTGTACACTAATGTAACAGGACAATCAAATGAGATCAATATGGACAAAGGAATAGCTAATCATAAAATAACAACAAATGAACAATGTGATACCAAGAATCTACAATGTGACACTCAGAGATCACATCGTGACACACCAAATTCTCACGGAGATGACCCTCTGACCCATAAATCAAATACATCTGAACATACCAATGAAATAAACAAAATACCCAGTGACACTTTTGATAAAGATGAAAATGTCCTTAAGGAAACAACTCCAATGACATTTTATCCTCAAAACAAAAGTAATGCATCAAAAAGTAAGTACGATACTATGCAGTCATATGACCTTATAAGGGTTAGACCAGAGGAGATCATCACGACCACTGAAAGGGCTCCTTGGTTTCCTGGAAGGGCACCAACCGAAGTTCACAAATCAAATGAGAAAAAGAATAAGAGCTCTTCTAAAAGAAGGAAAGCAAAAGCACGAAGAGACAGCAATGAAAGTAATGCTTCAGTAAATTCAAGTATCGTGGTATCTGATTCAGATACGTCAGTCGTCTCTGAATCAAAATCAAATTTAGAAATTGATACCGTAAGTGCCTCTTCAGTGAAAAACCATGCTGATGTGGCTAAAAGTGATGTTGTTGTGAATGATGCACAAAGTGCATTAGGACAAGAACCAATTAAGACTCTTACTCAAGACCAACATGTTGTGACTCAGAGTGCCTTAAACCAATGTGTGGTGACTCAGAGTGGCTCAACTCAACATGTGGTGACTCAGAATGCCTCGGACCAACATGTGGTGACTCAGAGTGGCTCAACTCAACATGTGGTGACTCAGTATGCCTCGGACCAACATGTGGTGACTCAGAGTGCCTCAAATCAACATGTGGTGACTCAGAGTGCCTCGGATCAACATGCAGTGACTCAGAGTGCCTCAGACCAACATGTGTCTCATGAACACACAAATGCAGTGACAAAGATGTCTTCCAATGTTAAAACCACCACCTCTATTCAAAATACTTCATATCAGGTTGAAAATACTTCATACATGGCAGAAAATACTTCAAGTATACACTCTCTGGATATCACTGACAGTATAGTTATTCCAGAGGGTCAGAATGTACCAGCTTTGAAACACTCGCCACCTGTTAGGGATACCGACTCCCAAATACGAGAAAATGAACCAGAGACACATGATGCTAAAAGTGCAATACATGGGAACATTCCAGAAGCAAAGGAGCTGAATGTTGAGACGGGTAATCGAGATTTGGCCAATGAAAGTTATCAAAATCATCCACCTTTAAGTACATCAACGCCTATGAGGCCAGTACCTCATCAACGTTACAAAGAGCATAATGCAGCATTTGAAAATATAACCACCTCAAAACAAACCATTGAACATAAAGAGAAAACTGTCAAGTATAATATTCAACATGAACATGTGTTTGAGGGACTGGACTCTGGAGTCAAAATGGAAACCCCAAATCCAGCCCCTGTATTCAAAAGTGAGACCCCCACATCTATGTTTGATGATGATGAGCTTGATAAAGTACTGAGAGAGAAAGCTAAGCTTGAAGGACAATTGGAGATGCTTGAGATTGAAGCCAGAGCTGCTATCAGGGATCGTGCTGAACTCCAGACTCAATTAGCTTCCCTCCAAACCCAGTTAAAATCAAGGGCATCATATGATAATATGAAAGGAGATCGAGATCTGCAATCTGAATTAGATACAATGCGCAAAAACCGAACGAATCTAGAACTCGCAATCATGGATGCCCATAAAGTTATTGGTGACAAAATGGAGGAAATTAAAGCTGCGCAAGAGGAGGTGCAGATTGCACAAAATGCTAACGATAAGCTGAATGATAAGATTCGTGAACTTCGGGATGAGACCAAATCTAAAGATTCCACGATGCAGGATCTGAAGAGCAAAATAGCGGAGCTTTATGTCGAAGTTCAGACATCCAATCAGGCGAGGACACAAGCAGAAAATGAGAATAGGTCGATGAAATCAGATCTAGACTCCCTTATGAAGTCCAAGGAATGGTACCTGGCCCAGTTACAATTCACACAGGAGGCGCGTTCACAACTCCAAGGTATTCCTTCTTTTCTTTTTTTATTGTCACTTTCTTGAAATTGTACATTGTTACTGGATGACTAATGAAACATGACTAATTTTTTTCTTTTCAGTCAGTGACATATGATATATATTTTTTTTTAATCAACAATATTTACTTAAACTCTCCAGGGTGCAAAATTAAAAATTCTGTGATCCAGTATTGGAGATAATACAGCCTCTTAATCCCCTACTCTCATTTTTCCTAACGTGGGGGATTAAAATGTTTTCAAACTTTAAGTAAAAAGCGAAGTCTGACACCAATGTTTTTGTTTGATTGTGAAGCATAATTACGTCATGGTCATTTTATATATGCTCTCTTGTAATGTTATTTTTAAGCCTTTAAGGTGAACAATCACATTAATATTTTGATCATATGTTTTTATTAAGGTGACATTACAAGTGTTCAAGTTACATCTGTTTCTCAAAGTAACCAGATTGAGCGACTAAAAACTGAGAACTCAGAGCTTCAGCAGGAACTAGCTGAAGTTCAACAAAAGGCGATAAGTGAAAAGGAGGCTCTAGCACGCCATCTTGAGGCAATAGAGGCAGACATGATGGAGCGTGAGGCTGGATTTAAAGAGATGCAGTATAATCAGGTATTGTTTTATATTGATTAGTTTTAAGATAAACCAAAAGAATATGATGAACAGCCTGAAAAATGTGCAATATGCAAAGATTGAGGACTTTGCATGAGACCAATTTGGAATTAATGTTGTTATCATTTAAAAGTAAGAAAATGAAGTACAGTTTTTGGATTTGTCCGATTACTAGACATGAGTTTAGAGAATTTGGAAATCAATTATTCCTTGTGTCTTTCATTTAAAAGGTGACAAAAAGATTTCAAGTATTTTTATTTGTTTTTTGTTACTTAAACAATAAAAGTTGATACACAAAATGTACCAGGAATATAATATACGGCCTTGGGAAGCATTATTCAGGATTCACAATAAGCTTCATTCATCCCAAAGTACAGTAAAATCTTTAAATTAGAACACCTCTGAGTATTGAACACCTCCACTAACTTAATATAAGATAACCTCTGTAAGTGGAACACCTCCCAAGTGTAAATGTTTTGAGGGACCATATGTGTTCATCTTGAACAGGTTTTACTGTATGATGTAATTTACTTTCGTTTCAAGGTGGTGTCCGAGCAGGCCCTCAAGAGGAAGATGCTTGCAATGGAAGAGGAAAGGACCAAGCTTTCACACGTCAATGAGCGAATACTCGAACTTGAACACGATCTGCAGAAGGCCAAAAATGAGCTCCGACAAAAGGAGGCAACGATTGGGGTTTTTGAACGTGAGCAAGCTGAGCTTATGAAACGTCTGACTCTCTCCTCTGAGAATATAACCCAACGTGAACATTCCTTGGACTCGCTTGAACAACGCACAATTGACTTTGAAATGAAAATAAAGACACTTCAAAAAGATTTGAATATACGCGATGAGGAGGTTATGATTCTTAAACAGGAGAAATCGACGATCGCGATGATGTTGGCATCGGCCCAAGAGGAGAAGAAGACATTTGATGAAGCTCTACATACTCTGAAAGAAGACATGCTTAAAGTGGAGCAAAGCTTTAAACAGATGAGACAAGACCTGAATGAAAGAAATGAGGAGTTGAACATGGTGAAACATGAGAGAGATCAACTCCAACATGTTCTTGATAACACTAAGGTGGAAGTTGAACAGAAAGTTAAAAGCTACGAGTCTCAGAATGTTGAATTCTCAGAAAAAACGAAAGCTCTGGATGAGTTACGCATCAACAAGGTTAACCTAGAAGGAGAAATTGGGAAACTTAAAATCGATCTAGAGATAGCCAAAACTGCGCAAGACAGTCTTACCAGAGAAAATACATCACTTGAAAAAGAACTATTGTCGTTCAAATCTAAATATGAAGATAATGAGAGTACTTTAAATGTCACACTTGCTGAGAAAGCCAGACTAGAGGGGCAGATAGAAATGTTAACCTCAGAGCAGGAGAAATTACGAGTCATGGCAGAGGAAAATGAAGTTTTAAGATCTAAAGTTGGGAATCTCGAAACTGTATCTCACAAAGATGTTGCGCTTCAAAAAGCGAAAATTCTCAAACTTGGTGCTGAGATTAAGTCTATAACAAAAGAATCAAAAGAAAAATGTCAAGAATACGAAATGAAACTGGCAAATCTGGATGGAAAATTATCAGTTGCCATGGAAACCAAAACTCAGAATGAGGCTGAAATTTTGCAGTTGAAAAAGAGGCTGGAATCTGAGAGCGATGAAAAGGTTCAGCATGTCAATCAAAAACTAGAGGTAAGTGAATAAATAACTATTTTGAGATTGATTTATCCGAAAATTCAGAACTTAGGAGTTACTTCTGTTTTCAGTTTAAAATCTAATTTCATACAGTTTATACAGCCTAAATCAATTTGAGTTGTAACTATTGTATTATTTGACTCAAGTGGTTGTTCTGTTCAAAAAGTGCTAAAGGTTTGAAACAAAAGATACAATTCTTGCAGAAATTTTGAAATACTTCAATTTGTTGAATTGATTTATGGCATTAGAATGATTTCATTAAGAAATCCTCTTGTGTTATATTATAGTTGTTTTAGCTAATCTATAGCATATGTCAAATCCTTGGATCCACTTCAGTATCTGCTTTATCCCCAAAGAAGAGGTGTATTGATTCTGATACTCAAAGCATCTTTCTGTTTCACCTGAAACATCTCAGGACCGAGAAGAAATGAGATGTCATGGTTTATCATGATGAGGTGTATTGGGGATAACAAGTTCTTGAGGCAAATTAGGCTAAATGTTTGTTGCATTTTTACAGTAGAAGTTTGATTTTGATGCAATTGGCTTAAATAAAAAAACATATGTTTTCTTTGATTCAGACAACAGAATCAGAGCTTGAGACCACATTGATTCAAAAGCAGACTCTCGAGCACAAAATACACGAGATAGAAATAAGAACTCTGAGAGAGATAGAGGAGTATAGGATCAAGGTTAAAACTCTGGAGAAACAGATGGTGACGACACGTGAGAGCGAGAAGCAGAAATTGACGGAGAAAATGAAGAAAAAGATGGCGCTGGAGTTGGAACGAGAAAAAGGACGACTAGCAGGTATGTGTATTCAAGAAACGGTGAAACTTAGAATAGAGTATGCGCTTCACAAATTATTCAAAGTTTTCATTGAAGAAATGTTTTTTTTGCTCATGACTAATGACTTTTATGTTGATATTTAGTGAGTTATAGGGAACAATAGTTCTCAATCAATTTTTCAAGAACTTTCCTCTGATTTTGATGTCTCTATTTTCCACAATTATGTTACGCCCTTCTCTCTCCTTAGCTGTGGTCAAATACAAGGACAGGCAGTTGATTTCTCTGATGTATGTTTTAATATCTTTATGTCCTGTATTTTAATGTTGTTCCTTCATGTTAAGGTGTGATGCAGAGCCACTCAGCCTTGAAGCAGCACACCTCTCTCTTAGAACAAGCCCTGGCAAAGCGTGAAGGTACACTGGTGGAACTAGATTCTGTGGCGCAATCAGAGATGCGTGATAAGAACAAATTGGAGTCTTTATACAGAGGACGTATCACAGAGCTTGAAAGCATCCTTGAGAAAGAGCGCATGTCAAGTAAAGACGTGCAGAAACAGGTATGATCATTAGCCAGAGGAGGGGATTTCCCATAGTTCATGGATGCTGTCGTCTTACCTTAAAAATGATTAGACTATACAGGGTGATCACTAAGTTCTGGGAATTTATCTGTCATTTCATTATTTTTCAACCAATCTACTTGAAATTTTCAAGGTAAATGAAGAATGTAATTTTGGGTTGGATGAAATAATTTCATTATCATATGATGTCACAATGTATAATTATTGTTACTATAGCAACACGACAAATGGCGTAGCGGGTCAAGCAAAACTTGAATTCATTTTTATTTTACTTGATCCAAAAGTATGGTTAATTAATACCTATTTGGTAGACAAATTTCTGTGATTTTTTATGTTTTCAAATATTTCTAACTTTAGTTTCTAAAGTAACATCTGTATAGTGATATAAAAGTATACTTTGCTCAGTTTTCTTGGCATTTGTCTGACTCTCAAAGTCACAATCATGACTCAAAATAGCGGGGAGTTATCTTCCATTATGACTATGCTTCTTCCCACTCCTTAAATTGCCCATCCTACTCTTGAAGAATTAGGGTTCACACAAGTTGTTCATATCCCACACTCACCATATAATGTTCACCAGATGAACCACCATTAGGTTCACTAAATTTGACTGTTGAAGCATCATATGAGAGATCATCATAAGTTTGGTTCCGATGAGGGACTGATCTCAACAGCTTGAGCAAATTTTCAAGGGATACCAAAGGGAGGACTGGAAAGCGTCTTTATGGACTAGGTTTGACAACAATTCATGAGTGTCCAGCCCTATGGAAATCATTACAAATGAAATGATCCTCCAAGCAATGAAGAATACTTCTGAATAAATGACTTCAAGAGTACTGTTCTGCCTCTAGTACAATAAGTTTGAACCAACTATCTAGGCAAGATGAATATGTTTTGGCAGGAAATTTTCAAATTGACGCAGTCAAAATTTGCTGACCTGCGGACCACTTTTACTTTTTTATAATTACAATAAAATAAATTGTAAAAGTATAAAGTATATGAAACATTGTCAGTCAATTCGGAATTATGCAATGTACATTTGCTGGAAGTTTCAACTGAATTGGTTGAAAAATATTGAAATGACAGACCAATTCCCAGAACTTAGTGATCACCCTGTACAAGGGTGCTAGTGAGTGTCCAAATATTGAGAATTGTTACATTGTGTAAAATCACCCAACCCCCACCCTCTCCCAAAATAAAAAATAAAAATTTGCCATTCTATCGAATTTCATTTTAAAATCCATATTAATTTTTTCATTGATAAATTCTTCATATATGTGAAAAGGTCTATAGATCATGAATGATAATTCTTTCAGCTGATGGTACAAAGAGGCAACAACACTAAATATCGTAAAGAAGTGGAGTCCCTAAAGTTAGATGTGGAGCAGCTAAATAAAGACTTGGAGTCATGTAAATCTCAATTGGAGCTTCAACAGACTGACAAAGAAAAGGATACTCAGGTATGAAGATTTTAATTACAATTTTTGAAACATTTATTTTTAATTTTTACTTATTTATTTTTCAGTAATTGATTTTCCATTTTCCACATTTCTACCAAAAATCTCACATTTATTCAATTTAGCATTAGAATATTTTTGTTCTTCCATGTATAAATAGTTTGTAAAATAAAAATCATGAAATTAAGTTTTTAGGGCATGACATTGCATATTGTGTTCAAAAACATTTTTTGAAAGTTAATCTGTACTCATTTTAGCCTTTATTGCCCCTTTAATTAAGGTAATAATGAGGTAGATTACGTGTATATAAACATGAAACAGTAGCATTATAATAATCCATTACACAACAGCAATTAGAGACTGCAGGTCTATGATTAATTTATGAATGCCATATTGGTGATTAATATTTAATTAAGATGTCAAGAATATTACATCAAATTCAACATTAAGAGCTATATCTAATTCTAGTGAGTTTCTCTTAGTTTGACTCAATTCAAGATTTGTAAAGATGAGCTGATATCAGAAGATTTTTTCTAAATACTTTGGAGTTCACTTTTAGGATTTGCTTACATAGAATTATTATGCATTTGAAAGACAATGGTTTAATTAGAATCATCTGTAATAACCATACTAAAGATGATCCAATGGTGACCAAACTTGAGTATTCATACTTGACTGAAATAAAGGCTCTGGATCAAATATTTTCTGGAGAGAAAGGGTTTTAGGAAAAAAATTAAGTATCAAGAGAAAATCATACAAGAAGAACTTGAGTTTCGACTTCATATTATTGGATTTTATCACTGTAGCATAATGAGAATAGATAACCAAGGAAAAATATATGTAAGCACAGAAAACTATGGTTAAGTGGAACACCTTTGATACCTCAAATATGTGTACGATATTATTAGAGGTTAGTCCTTACAGAGGCTCATGGAAAATAGAAAATTGAACTTAGTTTGTAAAGTATTCCTCTTATGGGGGTTCCACTTTACATGTTTTCCTGTACATGAACAAGAGTATTTTGTTGTCATAGGAGGAGAATGTGAATATTGGAAGATAAAAGATGGAAATTGAACGAGGTTGAACAATTTATTATTATGTCACATGGGATTTTTTTCTAGGTGGAGCTCCAATACAAGACAGAGAGTGAAAGGTTGAACAGAGAGCTACAGGCCATGAAGATAGAAATTGATTGAGGTTGAGCGATTTATTATTATGTCACATGGGATTATTTTCTAGGTGGAACTCCAATACCAGACAGAGAGTGAAAGGTTGAGCAGAGAGTTACAGGCCATGAAGATAGAAATTGATTGAGATTGAACAATTTATTATTATGTCATATGGGATTATTTTCTAGGTGGAACTCCAATACAAGACAGAGAGTGAAAGGTTGAACAGGGAGCTACAGGCCATGAAGATAGAAATTGACAGACTGAGATATGATATTTCCGAGGGAGAAACTAGAAACCCACTTGTGCAACAACAAATACAGGTAAACATTTTATGCAGTAAAAAGATTGTAGCAATTTTGGCTACATGAGATTTTATTTTGTAAATTATGTTTAGATATTTTATTTTGAAAGTTATATTGTTATTTTCACAATTTTTTTATCAGAAGTATGAACAATTTGTTAAGGGATACATGAATATTTCTTGGTTGGTAAAGGAACTATTGGATTCCAAAAATTAGTGTGGCAGCTTTTACCTAAATAGCCATTGGATATATGTTCTGTCATTAGTTTCATTTCAGTTTTAGAGCTAAAGTTATAAATGTCTAAAATTCAAACAAGGCAACTGCCTTGCCTGCTTCTTGCCTTGTTACACCCATGAATGGTTTTAACTGCTAAGAGTTCAAATGAACTGTCGATAAACCAAAGAATATGTATGCACAAGTACCACAGCAAGAAAAAAGACCCATCTAAGTGTACACCTGTCATAAGGAAAACAAACCCCTACTATCCCAAATCATAATCTAACGTGAAAAAAAATGTTTAATACCCCCCTCTCACCGCCATTCAAATACCATTTCACAATCAATGAATGTTTGATTTCAGCAACTGGAGTGGCAAGTGAAACAGAAGGGAGAGGAGCATGTGGCATTGAAGAAACAGATGAGACTAATGGAGAAGAGACAACAGGTGGAGTTGAAGAACATGAAGAAAACTGTAGAGGTAAGACCAACAACTTGCATCAGTCTCTATACCGGAATCTGAATTTTGGATAATTTACTTATGGTATTTGGATTTCATATGATACATCATCACAAGAGCTTAATACATGCACAAAATTAGCGACGCTAAAGTTCCATGAAACGAGGACCAACCTGTATATAAACCAGAAAGCCATGACTAAGGACTTTGTCAAGCTTGTAACTGAGCTTCCTAAAATATTCTCACATCTGAGTATTCATCTCAGTTTGCGTGCAGTACTCTAAACCTCTGCATCTGCAGTGATCTCCCCAGCATTAAAGCAAGTGGGCGTAGCACCTACCTGAGATTTTGAAAGTAGGCTTGCTCCCACCTGAAAATCCATTTGCACCCACTTGGAAATGAGAAAAATAATGAAAATGGGCATATTTTGACCAATTTTGGTCTGAATTGTGATATTGTAATTACTAAGTGTATAGCACTCTTTGGAGAGTGAACTACTCATAAAATACATTGCCATATTGTTTGATTCTAGGCCAGGAATAAAGAAATTGAGCATCTCCGTCATGAGTTAGCAGTTTCACGGAAGGAAAAGTTTGACTACCAATCAAAGCTTGCCGAGTTGAGAGGAACCTTGAAAGCTCATAAAGCTCAGCCTATAGATGTCACAGGTAAAATAAATAATGGTTTGTCCTTTAAGAGATAATTCTTTCTATTTAGGAGACAGCAGTTTCTGCTTCAAAATATAATAGCATCATGGCTTGTTAAGGAGACAGGTGACAATATATAGCTTCTTCTGTGGGAGACAATAGTATCCTCTTTGGGTAACAATATGAGACATAAAGACATTAGATACTCAGATAATAGTCCCTTATTTAGGAGACAATAGTACCTTACTTAGGAGACAATAGTACCTTACTTAGGAGACAATAGTACCTTTACTTAGGAGACAATAGCACCTTACTTAGGAGACAATAGTACCTTACTTAGGAGACAATAGTACCTTACTTAGGAGACAATAGTACCTTACTTAGGAGACAATAGTACCTTACTTAGGAGACAATTGTACCTTACTTAGGAGACAATAGTGCCTTACTTAGGAGACAATAGTACCTTAATAAGGAGACAAAAATACCTTACTTAGGAGACAATGGTACCTTACTTAGGAGACAAAAATACCTTACTTAGGAGACAATAGTACCTTACTTAGGAGACAATCGTACCTTACTTAGGAGACAATAGTACCTTACTTAGGAGACAATAGTACCTTACTTAGGAGACAATAGCACCTTACTTAGGAGACAATAGTACTTTACTTAGGAGACAATAGTACTTAACTTAGTTTCATCTTCCTTTTTTTCATAACTTGTCATCCTGGTTTAGCTTTCAAGTGCAAATAAAGTGAATTAGCAAGGAATAATGTCAGACATGCATTGAATTCATTCTTTCATTTCATTGTGGTTTTTGTAACAAGTGTATCATAGGTATGACCATAAAGTTTGCCCAGGAGGGATTCTCAACAAATATATGTGTTACATACTGTAGTTGGAATTAATTTCTTTTATTTTCTATTTTATTTTACATTCTTTTATTCCACACAGGTGGTTCCCTTGGGCTCCCAGAGGTGGCGCCACTAGACACAGAAGCCATTGAGAAGCTTTTGTCAGATACAGAGAAACAGAAAGTTGACATTAGCAAGTAAGTTGAATTCAAAATTTGGAAATTTGAATAAGAATACTATACTAGCATGAATCTAAAGTCAGTAAGATTTTTGTAAATTTTCAGAATTTGTCTTCTTAATTTTTCAGCAAAATTACTTTTCTATTGAATAATGCACAAAAATTCTTGTGTTGGAGAATTTTTTCAAAGATTTACCTGTTACAAAATCTCTGACTGACTATCTTGTTTGATTTCTTTAAGAAGTGAGATATCCAAAAGTGAGACATAGTGGCATATCCAAAAGTGAGACATAGTGGCATGAGGAGGGTCACACTATAACTGTATAGTCTATAACACATTATCATGATATTTTTTAATACATTTCTCTTTGTTTTAGGCCACTCAATGTGCTGCAGACATGTTTGACATCTTTAAGAAGTGAGATATCTAGTCTACAACAACATGTAGAGGGTCACACTATAGCAGTACAATCTTCAACACATTATTATTATGTTAATGCATTTCTCTTTCTTTTAGGCCACTCAATGTGCTACAGACATGTTTGACATCTTTGAGAAGTGAGATATCTAGTCTCCAACAACATGTAGAGGGTCACACTATAGCAGTACAATCTTCAACACATTCGTGGAAGTAAGTGCATGAACATGCCGCAAATATTTATTTATCTCCCAAACATGGGAACAACTGAACAGTCATTTGAGTTTTCATATTTATTATGTTATTCCATGATTGCCACGATTTAACAGAAAGTAAAGTCGAAAGTTTATGTAAAGTGCAGTTACTTTTATGTCACCACCAGAAGTGGTGACATATTGTGATAGTCTCCAACTTTTTTTGGACTTTGTTCAGTGGTTGGTGTTTCGCATTCGGCTTCTGTACCAATTGGCAGTTACTGACATTTTGCATGATAATGCCTTGTTTGCAATTAAGATCACAAACTTGCAAGAACATGCTCAAAGTAAATAGGCGATTTTGGAATATAATTCATTGAATGCATTTTACATTTCCAGTCAAGTGGAAGACCATGTAAAAGAATTACGAACCATATCAACACCCAGCGATGATTCAGCACGTAGTCGATCCGCGTCACCATTTGATGATGTCACAATGGAGCCTCTGACATCAGAGGATAAAGCAATCTCTGTTTCTTCTAGTAATGAAGGATCTAGTCAGTTAGACCAACCAGGGGATAACACTATGTAAACGACCACTATGGGATAACACAAACTAAAAGAACACTATGGGATAACACAAACTAAAAGAACACTATGGGATAACACAAACTAAAAGAACACTATGGGATAACACAAAGTAAAAGAACTCTATTGGATAACACAAAGTAAAAGAACTCTATTGGATAACACAAAGTAAAAGAACCCTATTGGATAACACAATGTAAAAGAACATTATGGGACTAAAAAATGTGATTGGATATTACCCTGATTCTGCAGCAGTGAGACACACATTCCTCTCACTGAAACAGAGGATTTTGTAGTTCTGATGGTGATAACCCAATTATTTCAACTGCAGCGTTCAGGATCTTTCATAGTTGTTTGGATGTGAATTTGAATGAGCTTCCAAATCTAGTGTCATGATTTTCTACTGCATTTCTTATTGGATTTAGAATTCTCTCTGATTTAAGAGAGTATGTGAAGTACTCTACTAAAGGGTAAAGAATACATGGTTCTCTTAAAGAGAAAATCTTGGGAAAAACACAATCTAGTGGATATTTGATATCCACTACAAGGATAGATAACTATATAGGATAAATATGGGGAAGTGCCATCTGATATAATGGACAGCCATGAAAAATAAGAGTGGATTATTACATCCTTGGATTATCCTGTCTGGTGGAATATTATCCTTACTATGGATGACACAATCCAGTGGAATAAACTCCAGGATAACACACTCTTATGAAATGAACTTAGTGAAAACATGTATTTAATGGAATATACAAAACATAATTTGGCGGGGTTAAACACGTTTATATAATCTAGAGCACTACATTTATCTTAAACTGTATAGCCATGTTGGACACATTCTAGTGGAATAGTTTATCCATGGTTAACGGGGTTTTAGTGGACTATACCACCAGTACTTGGGGATCTAACATTATCTAGTGAAATCTATGTGGGTTAAACACCAGTATAAATGGATCATTCTGTTGTATATTCAGGGATATATTATCGAAAAATAATTATGGAAATTACTTTCTAAATGAGTATATCGAGGAATGACACAATCAAAACCAAAGAACATGTACCAAGTGCTTCTGTTCTTCCCAAAAAGTAGTTAAAAGACCCACAAAGGTACATGGATTGTGATTTATTATATTATTGTTAATTGTAAGATTTCGTAACAAGATAAGGTATAAGATTGACCTCCTGAATTTTGTTTTGAGAGGTCTTAATAACAATATAACAGAAGAAATCTAAGATTCCTCAATCCTCAGTAGACCTTTTATTATATTAGTCTAATTCAACACAATCATGAAATATGTAGGTATTTTCTCTAATGAACACAAAGGGGTAAGATATTGAGAGCCCAGTAAGTTATAACCATTAAATCAGTATCTTGTGTAAAAAATCTAAACTAATGCATTAACTTCCTGTTTATAACTTTGGGCCTATTAATTAGAGAATATGGTACATCATATTTCATTTCTTTGAAAACTCCAGAATGCTCAGAACTCACATACAATAAATGATATCACACTATGCATTGTTTCTAAAGAATTCACAGTGACCACAAAGTATTGCAACAACTGGCTCTCTGAAATTTTACAAACTTTTGCTTAAAATTTGCTTCTGCACTGTTTTGTACTTGCAAAATGTTTAAGATTAACAAATTCTATTACAGGTTTAACTTTAATCATAAATAGTGCAATATGAAATGATTATGCTCATTTTAAGGTGGGTTAGTTAGAGTCGAATGACATTTGAAAAGAATGTCTTTTAATATGTAAAATGATCTATTTTCAAATAATCTTGCCTGGTGTATTCATTTGTCATTTGAAACCCCTGTCATTTTTGAATTTTTTCTTGATAATTCTTTTGGGCTTCAATTTCAGTTTTTTTAATATATCAATTTTAAAATTGTCATTTACTGTACTTAAATGTATTATATGGAAATGTGGTCAATTAGGTTCATATTCATGAAATCCATGAGCCATTGGTGAGCGATACCATAAGTAAAATTGTAAACTGTTTGCAAATGTATGTGTAAATTATGTCAACATTTGAATCTGACTTTTGTGAATTTACAATTGGTATTGATGTTAATTGTACTTCAGGGGAATGACTTGAATATCATTGACGTTATTTGCGATTTTATGATAAATGTTGTCCCAATAAATATACCAATTTGAAAAGGAGGTAAATATTGAAGTTGGTATATCCTTCAATTCTGGGATTTTATCTTATTGATATTTCCAATAAGATTTATAGTTATATGAAGTTCAGTGGGGTTATTTGTATTTAATACTGCTATACAGTAAAACCTGCGTTATGGAACGCCCTCTGAACTGGCCAAAACTGTTCCCTGACTGGTGTTTCTGATAGAGAGTGTACAATGTACATTACATACAAGCCAATGAGATTTGGTTCTGGAAACTGTTCTTAATAGAAAGGTATCCCTTATAGGGATGTTCCATCTTACAGGTTTTACTGTATATATAAGGGGAATATTATACTCTGTAAAGCTAATGCACTATATGTATGCATGGATGTATACCCTCTCTTCACCTCAATACTATATGTGTGACTTGTTAATAAGGTGGTGGTGCTAATTGTTATTTAACCACATAACTTGTATATTATATTATTTTGTTTATTTATTCAATAAATGGGATTACAAAAACACATCTTTGAATTGTCAAATGTGCACTATTCAGGCCTCGTGTCCCCCCAGATATTTGTACTGCTGAATGTAGGAACACTATCTCCAAAAATTGATATTTTTCTTGATCAAAGTAAAAGAACTCCCATGTTTTAGGAACTTCTACTGTTGAAGGTATTTAGTCAGTCCAAAGTCGACATAAGTCCAAAGAGGCATAAGCAAAAGATAGATGTCAGATCTGAACCAGAAATAACGATTAATATAATGGCTAAATTCATTTCCTTGTTTTGTCATACTCAACAAATTCATCTGGTTTTGCAGCAAAACTGAATTGTATCCAATATTAATTGCATCCAATAGGTGACTTAACTTCCAAGGGATGGTCTATCATAACACAAATACGCACATAACTCATGATTTTTTAAGAACTGTACAGCGATACATGTTATTTATTAGATTTCATATACATACAGAAAACATAAAAATCCAGTTTAAATTACTGATTATATTTTACCAAACTTCATTTTGAATTTATTAATAATGGTAGTCCTGCACTTATTCTTTATTTCTCTACTTGTGTTAAGAATTGTGGGTTACACATACAAAGTCTTGATGTGGGACTATAAGAAAATCTATGAACACTTCAGTTTCACTGTATTTCGAATAAACAAGGCAACCAATTTGATTGCTTAATCATAAATCCCAATTCTCTTCAATCAATATATTTTTGTTGATTTCACTCAAAATGAAGTCTGGTATAGGTTTAGACTGGACAATCTATTTGTACATTTAATTTTCAATACACAGGAATCGCTCCCCATTCATTCAACAATCAACACACATGGCATTCTCAACACACATTATAATGGTCCATTCACCATTAGGATAAAAATAACTTAACACCCCTTTCCAATCACTTGTCTTATGATGTGGACTGAAAGGGAGAGCTAAATTGTGCTAAAATAGGGGTGGTAGGGTTGTTTTGATTTCACGGAAGAACACTGTAACAGTTATAGATCTAGACATTTAAAGTAGAAAAATAGATTATTCCTATTTACTCAAGAAAATTTATAACAGGTTTACAGGTTAACATTTTTGACAACTTGAGGAGGAACATCGAAATCTCCCAAAAATATATATTTGATCATTTCTCTTATTTTTCTCCCTGTAGAACCCATATTTTTTAGGAACCCATATTCAAACCCAGTGAAGCCATATTCTGACCCATGGAACCCATATTTATCTATTTGATGAACCTCATATTTAATAGCACAAAGCTCATTTATAATACACAGTATTCCAATATAGACACGAGTATCTTCAGTTGTTTTGATTGTATGGATTCACCATTCAAGCACTGTCGAATTGTTCTCTACTCTACACTTAATCTTTCGACAGGAGCCCCAAGTTTCACAATTTAGAGGCATCTTTCCTCTATACATTTGGCATACATTCATGGGAAATAGGCCATTCATTTTTGGGTATGTCCTACACTAAACATTATCGAAGACATCACTTTTTACCCGTCGTGACCTTAAATAGAGCATTGTTATTTTTTTAAGATTCACTGTTATTTTTTTTATGAGTGGGAGCCCCTATCATGGAGAATGTCTTCATATGGATTTTTATTATCAGAAGTGTCTATGTCGGAACAGTCTCATAAGAAGTATTCTGCTTGCGGTTTCCTAGTAGGTGGGTTTCCCCTCAGTTCCTGGAAACAAAAAAATATATTTATTATTTATTCATGTACGAACAAAAATATGGTAGTTTTTGCAAAAAATGGCCATCATGTATCTCAGAGACAAGTTTCAGAGTCACATATTTCAGCCAATGATCAAGCTTTAAAATCAAATATTTCACAAATTCAGTTATAAGTTTAAGTGCCACATATATCAGCTATTTACAAGTTTTAGGGTCACATATTTCAGTAAATGATGAGTTTTAGGGCCAAATATATACAAAACTTCTATTAACACTTTTTAAATAAATAAATAAAAAATAATGAAAAATGACCAAATATAATATGACAATTTTTCATAATTTTTAAAAAGTCAGCCAGACCCAGGAGCAACTTCAACCTTCAGATGAGATTTTCAAATAAATTCTCATTAAAATGAGGTACTACATTGCTCCAGCAATGACTACATTGCTCCAGCAATGTGAAACAGACAATAGAACTCTTACCTGAGGCGCAGCTTCAAATATTGTAAAATCTCGCTGTAAATGTTCGTCTAATTCTAGAATAGCAGCCACATTCCCGCATCTGCAAATAGTAAAATTAAAAGTAAAATTATTTTAAATTAAAAGTAAAATTATTTTACTTACATAAATCGCATAACCATTTTTTAAATGTCAGCTTTTATTTATGCCTCGTATATTCCAATGGTTCACGACTCCGTGCCTCGAGTTCTTTCTCAATTTGGTAAAATCTCAACAAAGTGTTGTCAATGTTGGAAGGGGTATGTACAAATCAAAAAACCAATGATGTGACATGATTTCATAATAAATTCCTTCTTCAGTAGGGATCTCAAAAACTCGTGAAAAGTATTATTTGAAAGATTAAACTATATTCACTTTGCACAGGGCCTTTAAAAAAGGTCTAGGCATCAATAGAAAAGATCTCTTGAATATCATTTTAAATGCGTGAAAGTAAACAGTCAGTCTCATCACAAAGAATAAAGTAGGATCTGTGATATTCTAACAACGAAAATGGTAAGCAAAATAGTAGCTTTTTCTCATTATCTAAATGATTCTCTTCACTCTATGGACTCCTTAGAAAAATATAATTTGTGTTAAGTTTAAAAATGGAAAAAGAGTGATGAGATTTGGAATGGTATATATGAAAACATGTGGAATGTAAAGCCTTTAATAGAGCTGACATCAAAGAAATAGGGCTTTAATTATATCATATCTTCTACATGCTTCATGGATTTGTACAAAGGGTTGACATCAGTTATGCATGATAAATTTCCACATTCAGCTGAGTAAACAACACAGCATACTCAATTCACAAAAATAACAAATGCTTGAAATGTCAAAAAAATTAAGTAGATTGAAGATTGTAATAAAGGGCAAACCATAGTGGGAATTCATTATCATTATACTATGGTCCTCAAACAGGGAACAAAATGATCTGAAGCTAGATGGATGAATTCATATTCAAGTATTATTGTGACATTTAAGTTGGAACAGAAATGACAACTACTTGCACAAGTAATATATCAAAGGAACGCTATAATGAGTATTAAATATGAGTCTGTATCTATATAATGCAAGTCTGAACAATGCAAGTTTTACCTATGCAAGTCTGAACAATGTACATCTGAACTATACAACAATATCAAAGGAACGCTATAATGAGTATCACGTATGAGTATGTATCAATATAATGCAAGTCTGAACAATGCAAGCTTCAGCAATGCAAGTCTGAACAATGTACATCTGAACTTTACAGGCTTACTGGACAACAACAATACCTATCTGAATAACAGTTTGGACAGAAACGAAAGCCAATTTGACAACTTGGACTACAGCGACTATGTTACACGATTTTGGTACTTTAACATTGTTATATATACTCTTCTAATAGTTGCGATTTTATTCGGATTGATAGGAAACATTTTAGCACTGATAGTTCTATCAAAAGACAAAACAAAAAGCACACGTGTGTTTTTGCTAAAAGCGCTAGCTGTCACAGACTTCTTTTTTTGATGTGTTATACCATATTTGCATTGCCAGTGGATTTAAACATTGATTTTGACTTAATTCCCTATATCGATCCCAGACACAATTTCTTCAAAGCTGGAAGATTGTTTATTAACATCACTTGGATGCTGTCAGTATGGACGGTTGTCATAGTGACGGTTGACCGATATATTCACATCACAAAACCACTTGAAGCTACAAGTATTGCTACCATCAAACGTATGAGAATAGCAGTGGGACTTTTGACAATTTCATCTATTATATTTAACTTTTCATTCTTTGCCTGTTACTTTAAAAACTGTGGACCAAATGTGTATATAATTGGAGTTCTTATGAGTATCCTCCAAAACATTGCAGCACTGATCACAGTTTCGATACTCAACTTTAAACTGGTCCAGTCTGTCAGACAATCAAGACAGACTGTTCAACAATTGAGTGAAGCTTCGGCTGAGGACAGAAAACAAACTTTAACAATGATAGCTATTGTGTCTGTATTCTTGTTGTCCTCGTCTAGTGTACTCATACATGACACAATGAGAATACTGTATCATAGCTCAGTTTCCATAAATATTCCAAATCACATATATTACTTTACACAGAAAATAACAAAATTGTTGCTGGTTTGTAATTCGTCTTGCAATGTTATATTTTATTTTATATTTGGGAAAACATTTAGAAGAGAACTGAAGAGAATTCTGCCGTGTAAACCAGCAACTTAAATATGCATGGAATAGAATTAACAATAAATATTGTTCCATAAATTTATATTCTTAATATTTTTCAATTTATATTGCCAAGGGTTCTCCAAGTATATATATATAATATCATATGAATATTTCCAGGCCCATAGCCAGAATTTTCCAAGGGGGTTCACTTTTCAAAACCAGAACAACGGCAACGCCAAAGCGTAGCGAATCCCATCGAATAGAAATGGCTGACATTTTTACAAACGAAATATATAGCAAATATCATAAAATAACACACATAAGAAAGGCCACCATTTTCAAAATGGTTGCTCACTAGCCAAGTTGTCATCCAGAGGGGGAGAAACACCAGGGTTCAAAGATGACATACGCTTATAATGTAAATCTGTATTGAGATGACATCGTCGCTGATTGGTCAAAAGTCGACAAACAAATGACGTCACCAATGGCGGTTTCAAAATTTTCGAAATACGCTTCGAATAATATTATGTTCATTTCTGGCGTGTTAACCAATATCATAGCTTCTCATTTCACATCAAGATAAAGAAAGGTGTACGGAATATGCCTATATCAATTAAAACATCCCATCGAAGTGTAGTATTTGATAACTAGCCGATGAATATTCGAACGAACGAAGGTGGTAAGCAAGAGAGGTGATTATGTCTGTCATCTTTAAACTCTGGGGCTTTCCCTCCTCTTTTGTCATCAGAAGAAGTAATATGCTTTTTTTTTATAGTATTCACATCAAATATGAACAAAATCGCTCCACCACTTTTCGAGTAAAATACTTTAAAATTTTTCAAAATGGCCGCCTTCTACCAAAAGTGTCATTAGACAGTGTGCCATGCTTATAGTATTCACATACCAAATATGAACAAAATCGCTCCACTACTTTTCAAGTTACAGCAAAACTCGTAAAATAATGAGTAAAGGCCGAGTAAAATACGTTTAAATGGTGGCCATTTTTCAAAATGGCCGCCTTCTACCAAAGGTGTCATTAGACAGTGTGCCATGCTTACATAATTCACATACCAAATATGAACAAAATCGCTCCACTACTTCTCGAGTTGTAGTAAAATATGTAAAAATGGCGGCCATTTTTCAAAATGGCCGCCTGGAAAATGGCCGCCATTTTTCAAAATGGCCACCTCCTACCAAAAGTGTCATTAGACAGTGAGCCATGCTTATAGTATTCACATACCAAATATGAACAAAATCGCTCCACTACTTCTTGAGTTATAGCAAAAATCGTAAAATAACGAGTAAAGGCCGCCATTTTTCAAGATGGCTGCCATGTGCTTCTTTATAATCTACATTTCTAGCTTTATCAATGTCCTATATAATTTTTTTTACATTTAAAACATATTGCTATTACAGTTTTACATAATGTACCTAAATTACTGTAAAATCGGCACTAAAATGGCCGCCATTTTAAAATGAGCGGCCATTTTGAAAATCGACTTTCGAGCAGAACTTCTACCCCCATAGGGTATATGTGTACAAAATATGAACAAAATCGGGCCAATGGTATTTGAGTTATTTCCCGGACGGACGGACGTACGTACGTACGTACGGACGTACGTACATACGGACGGACGGAGGCGTTCCCTATATCCCTCCGAACTTCGTTCGATGGGATAAAAATTCTAGGGGGGGTTCACTTTGGCAAATTTGCCCAAAAATCACTCAAAGTTAGAATGGTGAAATACTCCATGATTTTGAAATAAATTTTGGCCAGTGGGGCCTGATTTCAATAGAGCTATTAATTCCATTTCAAACAGACCCTACGCCTACAGAAAAGTAAGCTAGCTAAGAACACAAGTGACTTCAAATAACCAAGTAGACTTTTGAACTATTTAGAACAGGTGGCAGCACCAGGGTTATATGTCTCAATCTTTCAATTTGAGCTTGGTCTATAACCATGGTGGTCACAGGCTCAACTCAATCTTTCCCAGTCTTATTAACGGGAAGTCGAGAAGCATGGAATATATGTCAAATAGATATATACAGGGTGGTCAAAAAATGGAAACCCTGCATTTTCCTCATATCTTTATCATTTTGGGTAATTATTCCCTGAAAAGTGGCACATATGTACAACATTCAATTTCCTACCATTTATTTGACCAACCTGTATTATATTATTACCAAAACTCATATTTATTTATTTACAACTTGTGGTGGGGACATAATTACTAGTTAGACGAATTCATATTCTTACCTGTAACAGTAGTTTGGTGCAGACCACACAGTTAAAACTGTTTCGTTAAAATGCCATTTGTACCCCTCCATCACTAACTGATGGGCTCGACATATAAGATCTACATTATTTGCTGCATTGAATGTTTGTACGACGTCACTACCAAAGAGGTATCCTGCCCCCCTTGGACTGACTCCCCAGCCTTGTGTATCTGAAATATGAAATGTACATTTATTATTTCATTAATTAATATTTTGAAAATACATCTGTTGATGATGAAGAATTGATGTACATTAACTTGTATTTCATTTCAAGATGTACATGTACACACCACTGGGGTCTTTCATGTAATGTATGATAAAGTGCATGGCTAAATGTTAACTAAAATAAATTGAATTGATTTTTTTCAAACTATATGAATGTGTCGATCTAAGAGCCTTGTTCAGCGGTAAAAAAGTCAACAACTAATATATAATTGAACACTTGTACGAAAAATTAAAATAAAGTTCAATATGAAAATGCAACAAATGAATACCTTCAGGATCCGACCATAACAAGTCACACATAGGACCGTCATGCGGCACTTCCTGTTTACGATCTATGGCTCGAATTTGGTCTAGTGTGTTGATTGATGGTGATAGGCCGCCATGTACACAGAATATCTGATAAAGAAATAGAAATGTAACAAATGAATTTAACGAACATTTTTTCATGTACCGTAATCTCTCCAATGAGCATACAATGCGCTTCCCAAATTGATATTTAAAAAGGTAAGATATTGACTATTGAGAGATTCAAATAAACGCATGTTCCCAAAAGTTTAGAAGAAAATATTGCCAATAATTTTTTTAGTTGCTAGCACAAAGGTTTAAATACACTACAGCTCCTGGATTGCTTTCTCTGCATTTATCTTCATGTTTCTTCAGACCATATTCATCATAAAAGTCGCATGTGCTCATTGGAGAGAATATGGTAAGTCAACTCTAAAACATCTCAACTTAATTTTTTCCTCTCTCATCCATGTATTTCTAAGATGTTTTTGAACTTGCAAATTCTCCATTCCTATTTTTTATACAACTTAAGTGTTCTCTAACAAGTTACTTTACTTTTTATTGGTTTCACTCCTTTCTAATTCCCTTCACCATGGAATTATGACAACATCTCTTCCTTAAATCAAACATCATCCCCCTATTATTTTAAAAAGCTATTCCATAAATCACTTACCTTCCCATCTATTATTGCAGAAAGACTGAGGTAGTCAAATATTTCTGTGCAGTATCGCCAAACTGTGATAGAACCATATTTCCGTAAGCATTCATCATAAAATCCATAGACCTGTGTGATTTGTCGACTTTCGTGGTTCCCCCGTATCAACATTATTCTATCAGGGTATCTGACCTGCAAGGAAAGTATGAAATGTTGGTTTACAGTTAATGTATTAAAATTAAGTTGATAAACAATCTCTAATTGTCTCTAAATAGAACTGATCTGCTAATTTTGATGACTTCAATTCAATTAAAAGTGCCTGTTAATTTTTTATTCTTTACCAATATTACTATTTTACAAAATTTTGCATTTCTTTGAATATTGACCTTTCAAATTTATCAGACATTTTACTATTTTAGGAAGTCCTCTATAGTAAATTCCATGTCAAATCATCCATTGAAAAACAAACTTTTACTGATGTAAAATGAGCCCAATAAATGGGAACAAAACTTCTTCTAATGAGTATAAATAAATGTTATCAACAGGCCAGGCATAGCCAGGGAACTGAGGGAAGGGAGGTGGAGGGTTCAGGGGGTGCAAGCGAACCCCTTTGGCCAAAAATTATTTTATAATTATACAGTTTTTTACCATTTTGAGACTTTTCAAGTGATTTTGTACCAAAGATGTCAAATGTGGACTGCCTGGAGAATTTTGAAAAGTGAACCCCTTGACAAAAGCTGGCTATGGGCCTGATCAATATACATCAGGGGAACACTCATAGAAGAAAGTTATATTTGTGCTTGATGAATAAATAAATAAATAAGCAATTTGTAAATGGTTGTTTAACTTACTTTTAAAGCTAAAAGAAGTAAAAATGTTTCTACACTGTAAAATCCTCTGTCTACAAAGTCTCCCATAAAGAGATAATTTGTTTCGGGAACATCTCCTCCCACTTTGAAGAGTTCTTTTAAGTCATAAAATTGCCCATGTATATCGCCACATACCTGGAAAATAATAAGGCACATGATATGATTAAAATTACAACATTGAATTGAAATAAGCTTTAAATAAAAAATAAATAAAAAAATGGCTGCCAGAAATCAAGGATGCCATTGAAAAATGAATGAACTGTAGAACTTGGTACTGTATTTATCATTGATGTACTTAATTTACACACAAGATGTATAACAAAGGCATGAAAAGATATTCTGATTGTATCTAAAGAACCTGCGAATGATTTTTTAACCTTTTAAATCCCAGGCTCTAAAATCGGTTAAACCAGAGAATTTTTCATTTTTGCCACCATTTGACATTTTACTACATACCTATACAACTATCGAAGCTCAACTTAGTAACTTTAGACGGCAGAGAACATTTCTACACATTTTAAAACAATTTTTGTGTAAATTGGATGAAAATTGTTCAAATAAGAGCAATTTTAGTGAAAAAATTTGTGACAGATTTTCTCGTCACTTTGGGTTTCAAGGTCATATCTGAGGTGACGAGAAACCTCGTCACTCCAGGTAGTCAAGAGGTTAAATACATGTACTCACTGTGACTGGAGAGTCTACTCTCTGTACATTGCTTTCTTCAACTAGAATTTCTCTGGCTTTTGCACATAGTGCTTTAACTTCACTTTCTTTGATAATTTCACATCTCCGCAGCTGCTCTATTTGTCTACAATGAAAACAACATATAGCCTAGCATACATGTTACATAGATTTATGAATAATTATTCTTTAGGTTGATATGTTTTTAATGCTTAAATCAGAAATTTTGCCTCAATTTTTCAGTTTTTAAAGAATATAATAAACAATGAATTTAGGCATTAAGTGAAAATTGTTCATATATTCTGATATGATATGTGACGTCACAATAGCTAGAACAATTGATTTACTGGTCTATATTGGAGAATGTATGACCGCTGATTTGCATGAATGCAAACAGTTATGTTTCTTGTCTGTTTATCATATTAGAATCGAAACAAAGACCTCGATTTTATGATTTATGTCAAATATATGAAATTTTATTCTGACCATTGCCAAAGTTTAACAATGAACAGAATAAAAAAATTTGGTCATATATTATGCCATAAATCATAAAATCTTGATCTTTATTCCTTAATTTATAAATAGAGCAATCCCAAGGGATTCTAATATATTGTAGATACATCTTAATGCCTAAATCAGAAATTTTGTCTCAATTTTTCAGTTTTTTAAAGTGCAAGTATATTTCATAGTAAATTTGGACATTTTAACACATGATCATTAAACCTGCACATACTTCACAAAAATAAGCCAAAAGTATGAATTAATTAAGGATTAAAGACCTATTTGCATCTATGAATTTCAGCGGTCATACACACTCTAATATAAACCAGTAAATCAATTATTTTCGCAATTGTGACGTCACGTATCATATTAGAATATCTAATATGCAATACTATAAACAAAGATGATTAATAAAATTGATTGAGTGGAATGGTGAATGAAGAGCCAAGGCCAAGGGATGTTATTCTTACCTGTCTAAATCACTGCAGTCTGACATTGTTCCTGAAAATAAGTTAAAATGTCAATCAGAACACAATTTGTAATTACAGTAAAACCTGTGTGCAGTGAACACTAGGGGTCCCGCGATTCATCGATATATCGATGCATCGGCTCGTTTGGTGACGATACGAGCGTATCGATACGAAGACTCAAATATCGATACACCAAAAATATTATTAACATACCTGAAGTCCATCATATTTTGCCGAAATCTACTGAATATTTGACTTTTTTGAGAAATTGTTCTTATATTTTCTGTTTGGTTTCTCGCTGGACATGACACGCCCAAAATGGTGTATAAATGCGAACAGAATGCTTAGTGGATTGACAGTCAAAATGCGAACAAATAACTCGTGTCTTGAAGACACTGTCTTCTATGTCTTCGTATATCAACGTACTTTGTTTTATAATTATTCTATATACTTTTTGACAATTTAGTATGAATAAATATAATCTTTGAACTTTTTATTCGATAGAACGCCGCGTTAAAAAATTGCCTACTAATATTGATAACTCTAATAAAAAACGAACAATATTTACGTTCGGAGTATTAATGTTGACCGGAGTTTAGAAATTGAAAATTTTTGAAAGTTTTGAAAACAATTGATAGAATTATGGCCGTGTAAATATCAAACATGGGTAGAAAATAGAATAGAAATATAATAGATAATAATATAATAGAAAATCTACTGTAGTACTTGTAACATTCCTCAGTAAAGGGAAAGCACAGCCGGACTTCAAAAAATATTGCAAAATATGCATAGCTGGCTACTATACAGCAGGTAGGCTTGATACTTGACAATAGTTTTTATGCTGCATCTTAATCAAATGTCACAGCAAGTGATAGACTTTCAACTCGACCTCAGCTACGTCAGTTTTGCACCCCCCCCTCCCCCGGTTCAACTACACTATTATGTATCGTATCGTTGCTCGTATCGTGACCTGAGTATCGAGATACGTATCGTATCGTTTCATAATGTATCGTGGGACCACTAGTGAACACCTATCGAGACTCAAAAATGTGTTCTATTGAATATAGGTAGGTGTTCACTATAAAGAGGCAGTTAAAATACAAAAGCGTTACCTTCTTCTAAGGCCACTGTAATGTGGCCTTCCAGAATAAAGATATATTCCTGCATGAACAACTGGTCATGTCGTAATCAGAAAATTTGAAATCATATGTCCGCCATTTTTCCACATCACAATTTGAATTGCGAGTTTTGGTCTTATTACCTCACCAAAAATTCCAAAACACACATAAAGTGATCAGTGTATTAGTTCACATCTTCTGGATCGCTAACTTAGAATTTACAGCCAGTTACTAATGTCAGACGTTAACGACATTTCGTCCAGTTTTCGAACATCGCCATTTTTCTTGGAGCCATTTTGTTTTAATTTTAGACGAAATCCTGATAAAATCATGTCATATCTCATCAAGGAGCCGAGCGGGGTCGGTTTTGATTAATAATTTATTTACAGTGCGTGAAATAAGGATTTTTTTAACCTAGACATTTTGGCAGGCCAGCCAGATTTTAACCAGCCATATCATTTTTTCTCAGGCCAATTTTTTGCAGCCTGTTTCTTACTTCTCTGGCCAAAAATTTCATTTTCCATATTTCTCCACAACCACTCTAAAATGAGATTTAGTTTAGTACAATATTAACAAAGTAAAACTAATTCCATTGCATGTCATGTATCATTCACTATACTGTACTTGATGACTTAACCAACAGCCTGGGTGTGTTGATTCCCCCTAGATTCACCTTACAAAAACATGAGGAACATGTACATATTGATCAAACTAAATTGTACTGATTTTGGTCGGTTTAGAATTGCTCTCAGAAGCTTCAAGGTATTCAAAAACACATACTATGTACACAGACTCCACTAACAGACTAAAATTCAAGGTATATGTTAGAGGTGTCATGGTCCAAATAAATTTCGGTACGGTACGGAACGGTACAAATGGTCTCGGGACACGATACTTTCGAGACAGGACGGGACAGTTTCACTTTTCAAAATCATATTCAGAAATACGTCAATTAAAATCGAATATAAAGCATCTGCCGTGAATGTGATCGGCATTTCACATAGTATGCATGGTGAACTATCACCAATTCGTTTACCTTGTGATATCGGAGTCCCAAAATACTTCCAAACTGCCGACTTTTTGGACTTAGATGCCGGCTCGATTTTTCAATTTCTTTTCTACATCCGGCATACTGATAATGCACTCAATTTGCGAACGACGATGAAGAAATGAGTCATCCATAGCCAATCAAAATCACCGTAATTTCAACAAACAACAACAGCCAATCAAAAGTCACGTTATATCTTGAACTTCAGTATGAAAACAAAAATATTTGAAATTTTTTTAAATCTTCAACAAAAGTCATGGAATAAGCCGAAATCGCGGGGAATTTGGAGGATTTCCGGACTTAAATGTGAGTTCTATTCATGGGCAATCTAACGAATGCCACAAATGTCTGGCAGGCCAAAATGTCTGGGTGTTTTTATCAAAACAAGCCATCTATAATTTTGTCAGGCCAATGGCCGATGTCGGACGTCTATTTCGCGCACTGATTTATCTGGCGATTTTTAAAATATTCAATAAATTTATGACACGGCGGCCAGCTTTTTTCAAATGGAGTTCGCAGTATTCCAGATGAAATCCCCTCTAGCCAAGTATTCAGACTAGAGACTCGAGTAACAAAAGCGCATGTACTAAGAATTAAATTTTCCCTCAAAGCCTGAGTACAATACAAGTGTAACCGAAATGAGTTTATATTTGGTTTCCTCGGGAGCAGAGTACATTACGAGATTACATCCCGTCAGATATGAAAATACCAGACGTAACCGCATTCCGTAATGATTGAAGTGAATAGATTGAGCCCTGCAATTTGAAACGGATACTTTTTGGGCTTTGAAAGATTGACGTAAGAAATATGTGCGTAGCTAGCGCCAATATGTTTTGACTTTTGAAATACAATGTGTGAAACTATTGCCCAGAAATGGTCTTACAAGAAATCAATTCTTAAAATCGCGGATTCGGTAGTATTGAATCTCTAATAAAGATGGCGCGAAAGTTTTTCCTTATAAGGTCAAAATATTTCCCATGATGCAGTTCGCGGGGGAACAAAATTTTTCTACCTTGTTTTTCCCCGTTGGTTTAACATGGGGATTTTCATACCCATTTTTCAAGCGATATTTTCGATCGAATCTCCATGCGATCGGAGAAAACAAACTATCAGAAACAATTAGTCTTTTAATAATCTTTATATAACATATATTTTTTTTCATTTTATTGGCTCCTAACGGGGTGAAAACAATGATTGAAAATGGGAGTATATTCCGGAAGAGAAGAAGTCACGTGACTAGTCGCCATATTGGAAAAAGCAATTCCATTCGACTTTCAACACGTTCATGCCAATATTACCGCACTACAAACTGTAACATCGATGCAACAACTGAATAAAAGTACTCATCTTCATATTACATTATAGAGTTACGTTGAAAACCCACAAACAACTGAGCATTTGACCAAAGAAGACACGTCGCTATTATCTAGGTCAAGTTTAGTGGTTCGAAAGCAAATCTTACATACTCGTTTCCGAATTTTGTTGTTAATTGTATAATCTTTTATTGATTAAATCTGGTATACTTACTATTAATTCAATGACAAAGAAGAAGAATTCCGATGGTGTCATTTTTTTATTTAGCTTGCGGGTGTAAAAACAAAATTGCGTAATTAATTTGATTTAGAACTTTCGGGTCTCACAAATAGCTACACGAAATGCATCGTTGAAAAATATTGACCAATCAAATTTTGTCCTTTTTGAGTACATATATGCACCATATATGCGAACGTTCTGATTCAAAGAGCGAACAGCGAAATGGAGAATTGGACTTCCTTTCACTTTCAAAAATTTGGTTGAAAATTAAATGTGAAAGCCAACTTGAAGTCACTAGAAATGAAGAACCAGCCCATGTGAAAAGCCCAAACCTGATTGATTGTGTACTTCATTTACACATTTATAAGTATATTTATAATTTTCTTGAACTGAGGGCATCAATCCTCGATAAAATTGAGAAAACGTAGAAGAAAAAATAACGAACCCTTTTTCCGATTTTCTGTCTGTGTGTCTAAGCCGGTGACGTCATTTTGGCAAATTTATATAAATCTATGATATTTAGATCATAAAACATTGTAGGGTAGTTCAATAAGTTATTTTGTATTTAGAATCAGTATTCCATGAAAAATGGATCTAAAACACCTGAATTATTCCAGATATTTAAATCTCGCAAAACTCTCGTCATCTCGAGAACGCCATTTTTGTTTTGATTCAGGATCATTTCTAAATTTCGCAATAACTTCAAGGAATATCTCTGAATTACTGATTCGAGTGCTATATTTCTAGTAGCGGTAACAATGGGAAATATACATACTGTTGGACCAAATGAAGCTCTTGTAATCTCAGGTAAAGTAACAACCCAATATCGAGAAATTCTCTGAAGTGGTCAAATATTTTTCCGATTTTCGCAGGGAGTGGATTGACTCCCAGGGTTCCAACTCGATCTTCAATCTCCGAGCAATTTGTTTGGTGCTTATTGTGCCTGAATATTTCTATGATAAGAAGTGCATGTTTCAGTTCATTCAAAACAACATTTGACCCACACCAACGACAGTTGAGTATATGCAATTCACTCAAAGTTCAATAACGTAATAACGGAGTGTCAGACAAATAGTGATTATAGTTCAAAATGCTACAATCTGATTGATCAAAATATTGTTTAGCTAATGTTTCGATCCCTGATATTATAGGTAATAAGACCATAGATACAGGGAAGATCCGTCAAACTTCAAAGTATGGGGTTACTTCGTCATGGAGCTATTTCGACCATGGGGCTATTTTGACATTGGATTATATGCTGTATTTGTTTTTGAAAAATTAAAAAAATAAATTGAAGTCTCCAACAGGCGAGATCTAATCCAAGATGGCTGGCCCCTGAAATATGAATTATCGGCAATTGTCGGAATAAACCCATGGTTGAAGTCGCCCCATGACAAAGTAACCCCATATGTCGAAGTTTGACGGATATCTCCTTGACAAAACTCCCCTTTTGATTTTTGTCATCATGACATATAACACTTCCATGACCAACAAGAAGATCAGAATGGAATACTACGAGCCAATCCTCCTAATTTTTGGGGAATTTTCCAAAATCTGAGATCATTTATAAGGGATTTGATGCGTAATTCTGTCATAAATTATAGAGTTAGATAAAGGCTACATTGTACTTTTGGAGTACGAAATGAGGTATTCTGCCTTATCCAATTCCATGACTTATAGTCCTGTACTCCAATGATTGTCAAATAAGTGTTTCTACAACGTTGTAGAAAGTACTACGCATTGCACACACTAAAGGAGGTGGAAGCTAGCAAATTAATGCTATTTGACCTGAAGTCAAATGATATCTGACTTCTACAAAATGAATCCCTTAACATATCAGAGCTCTGAAGTAAGCTGCAATTAGCATCAGATTTCAAGATCGATATCACGCACACCCAATTTCGTACCTATCGGTATTCGGTATCACATACACGCAATTTCGTACCTATCGTTATTCGGTATCACATACACCCAATTTCGTACCTATTGGTATTCGGTATCACATACACGCAATTTCGTACCTATCGGTAGTCGTTTGAAAAGGACAAAAATCAGAAAAAATTTTCATTTTGAAATCCCAATGAAAACTCTAATCTTTATGTATTATTCTAATTCTGACCCTCTTTTGACCTTCTTTATGTGCCTCAAGTTTTGCCTATCATACTAAAAGAGAGTCTGAATGAGAGAAGTTAAAGTTCTAAGTTGTTAAAAAACAATAGCGATCTTTATTTTGAGCCTCTATTTTGAATGAAGAATATTTGAAGAGCAAATAACCGAACACTTCCGGATGGAAAATTTCGATTCATGTTGTTTAACAAAAGAATAATGCAAAATCAGAGCGTAGCTATAGTTCATTAGAGGAGAGATAAGGTATGGCATCTTCTCATTATTCTGTTGTCATCACATGGCATCCAGCATCTATCTGATTACAATACCGGCACTGAAGCCTAGTGCTGCTTTTGCAATATTTCCGGTAATACCGTGATGCACTACTCTGAAGGGATGAAGTTTTGTAAAGGAAGGGAAGAACCCCAAACTCAAAATTTCTAATTGATGACTGTGTTATGTACTACAGGAGGATGTTGTGGGGCACAGTCAAAGAAGACTACAGTTGGAGGCTGGGGTTGGGCTTGGTGTCTCGTAACAGATGTACAGACGTAAGTACAACTTTGCATTTGGTTAACATACATTTGTTCTTTCTCACCAAATTGGGAAATTATCATTTTCTAATTCTATGTAGAGTAGAAATCAGATCAAAACTGGGTAATATACACGCTTTCTCCCATATTCTCAATTTTATACATGACTTTTAACTGGATTGGATGCAAACTTCAGTTTTAACCAGGAAGTAAAAGTGTAAAATATTTTATAAATATTTAAATAATATGCAGTAAATATGAGAGACTTTATTTTTATACTGTTGGTATTGTATTCTCTATTCATGATTGGAAAGTTGATATGAGTTTGTTGTCATAGCAACCCCTAAAACTGTTAAGTTTCTTGTCTCCGAATCTAGAGTTATAGCTCTCAATGTTAAATGTCTTATTTAAGAATTTTTGCTAATTGAGCCACCATGTTAAATTACTTATTTAAGAATATCACCTGAACATGTTACATGTATTATATCTCTAATTTCAGAATATCTCTTGAAGTTATGACCCTTAACCCCATTTGTGAGAGTGTAGAGACATCTGAAGGTGTCCCTTTGACTGTGACAGGCGTGGCCCAGTGTAAAGTTCTCACAGACCCCCACATGTTACAAACTGCATGTGAACAGTTTCTTGGCAAGAACCAGCATCAGATTGCTAGTGTTATTCTCCAGACCATGGAGGGTCATCTTAGAGCCATCCTTGGTAAGTTTTCATGTCTTGTTTAAATATTTTTTTCAACACTTTCATTTGATTTACTAACATGTTGTTTGATAACTTGCGGGAATATGGCGGAACTAATGGACATAGAGGACAAATCCACTTCATTCCTGCTCCTCCATTTCCTAAAAAATTCCAAAATCGGAATAATGCAAAACAATTAAGGAAAGTTTCTTTAGGGTTTATCCCCTGTGAAATATATATCATCTAAAACCTTCCAGTACATAACCCTGTTGAACATTCCAGGAACACTTAGTGTTGAGGCCATATACCAAGACAGGGACCAATTTGCCCAGCTAGTCAGGGAGGTAGCAGCTCCTGATGTTGGTAGAATGGGGATTGAAATCCTCAGCTTTACCATTAAGGACGTCTATGATAACGTGGAGTACTTGCAATCATTGGGACGTGCCCAGACTGCCAATGTCAAGAGAGATGCTGATATTGGTGTTGCTGAGGCTAACAGAGATGCAGGAATTAGGGTAAGTTGGATAGCTTTATCGTGGCATTATTCACTTAGTTGAATTCCCTGTAATTTCGTGATAGTTCAAATGAAGCCGTTGCTTGCAGAATTTATCGCGGAATTCTTGATTTCATGCAGAATTTAGCGCATAATTCGACTTTTTCATGCAGAATTTGCATTTTTCTCATGCAGAAAACTAGGATGTGTGATTAGTTGAATAACTTCCCTATATGGAGTATTGAAAGTTTTATAGATTTGATAAGTTATAAACATTTTGAATTACATGCTAACTTAACTCTCTCCCCTTTGCATTAGTCTTAATGTTATGCAAAATGAAAATTCTCATTTTGTCTGGAGTAATTTTGCTATGTACAGAGCAATTACCTAAAAAAATAGAAAATAAGCCCATTCTTAAATTATGATAAATTAAAATGTATTTTTATTCTTCTTTCAGGAGGCAGAATGTGAGAAAGCCAGAATGGACTCTAAGTTCACAGCAGATACAAAGATTGCTGACTCTGCTAGGCAGTACCAGCTACAGAAGGCAGCTTTTGATATGGAAGTTAATGCCAGGGTAAGTGGGAATTCTTATGGGGGTGGGCTATTGATATGAGGTATAAGAGACCCAAAAGTAATTCCAAAAGAGTTTGTATTGATTTTAAGTACAGGAATCTCTAAATAATTATTTGATCGATATGAGGTATATATAGAGAAGGGGGGGGGGTTGATGTGAGGTATCAGGGACCTAAACGTAAGGTAATAAGACTACATTACTACCTCTCAGTGTCATGTCTAGCGGAATATGGCATAATTCCACAGAGAAATGAAAGACACAAGCTCTGATAACTTTTCACTGTGAACACAATCTTTCCAGTAGGGTTCTATGTGTTGGTCACTTTTCATGTAAATACATTATCTTCCAGCTGTTGTATACAAGTGAAAGGCAATGATCTCCGCAGTGTTGAAGATAATTGAAATTGAAAATTGAAAATAAAATTGCACTCACTTGGAAATGTGAAAAAATCACAAGAATTTACAATTTTTGACCAATTTAACCCATTTAAAAAATCCTGGGTCATGCACATAAAGAGTTGCAATCATCTGATGTCATGGGAGAGCTCTTAATTATATGCAATAAACTGTGACATTTATGTCACCATAACAAGTGACATATTGTTAAGTCTCCAACTATTTTGGGTGTTCGGAAGTCGGCATTTGTAACATACATCTGTAACATGGGGTCTGTAATATTGCATCTGTAACAAATGGCAGGTTTTGACATTTTGCATGTTAATGCCTTGTTAATTATAGCCACATAGTAAAACCTGTCTAATCCAAATGTAACTTAAAATGTCCAAAAGTGTTCATATTCGCATGTGTTCACATTTTAACATTTTTTACCATGGAAGTCTATGACAGATTAAACAAGGCATTAACATGACAAAATGTCAGTGTCTGTTAGTGATTGCAAATTGTTACAGACCCCAAACTCCAAACGCTGACTGCCAACCGCCATCACAAAAAATGGAGACCATAACAATATGTCACCACTTTTGGTGGTGACATAAAATGGAACACAAAAAGTGTTCACATTGAGGGGTGTTTGGAGAAAGAGCTGTTTATATATACAGGTTTTACTTCACTTCTTATAATAATCATTACATTGTAAAGCCTAATATCTTCATGATATATAAATGCACAATACACCTACTGATTGTTAATGAAATCCAGGTTTGAGCCTTGCAAAGGTCGGGCTATTGATTCCAATAATGTAAATAGGCACACATTTCTATTGTGAATCTGAATGAGCATTACATGTAATTAGAGAGCACAAATACATTGCAGAGTTATCTGCATGGTTATATAATGTTACCCAACCAACCCACTTGTTTCCAATTCCACCTATTGATCCATGTATTTATTTTTATTTTTGACAACCAAAAATGCTGCTTTTCAAAAGTTAAACTAAATGTTAACGATTTTTATAATCTCTTGATGTAAATTAATCAAAATATTAATGTTATCCGTAAATGCTATTTTGTGAACCACTGTCAGACTGCAGGGGCCTTAGTATTGGCATGCTGATTTAGAGTAATTGATAAAGCAGTAATGTATCAGAATAACCTTCATATCTGCGTAACATCATCTCTAGCATTAAATATCTGCCTGTGTCTGTTCTACTCAATTTCTCTCTCAAAGAATGATGTATCAGATTTTCCAGCGTGTCAACTTGACCTTCTGTCTAATTCCCTTCTTTTACTCTCATTTTGCATTTGAAAAATAGTGATATTATAAAATGAGATTTTCCACGTGGGTTAATAACTTACTATCATTGGATGCTATATATTCTGTCACGGTAGATACTCGTTAATTTAGATCATATTTTCTAATGTAAATTAGACTGGTAAATAGTTAACTCAGTATGTTATAAAGTAAGCAGGTGAGCACTCTTAATTGTATACAAATGGCATTGGACATCCACATCTTTTGAAAAGAATCCATACAAAATATCTAAGTACTCTTTTCCTATAAACGTTTCCATTAAAGTACCCACGTTCCGTTAAGTAAGCAATGATAGTCAATTGATTTCTAAAAGATTCTTCATGATCTCAAAAATATCAATATTGTTGGACCTACAATTTTACTCTCCCTTTAGATACCTCACCAATGTTAAATGAATGCAGCAAAACCTGTGTTAGTGGAACACTTTTGGTAAAGGTGTTCCACTTCTAGAGGTTTATTTAACATTTATTGAGTTATTCATGGAACTCTGGAAAATGCTTCCTGGAGGTGTTCCACTAACAGAAGTATTCTACTTTACAAGTTTTACTGTACATATAACTATTATAGTCTAGAACTCCCAAATTCTTCACTGCTATTACTGCTATGCCTCCATACTATTTATTAAGCAGTATATTCCCTGAAGTATTATATGAAATGCCTTGGATTATAAGAATTGCTATGATTCAGAATTTGCAAGTTCGATGTTGCACTCTGCAATATTCCACAAATTGATCCATCTGCTAGCCAAACAGTTTGGATTTAGATAACTCTGCAATTCTGGAATAGAGCCATAATTGCTATAATTGTAGACCCAGATCCATTCCCTTGTAATAAAATACATATGCTTATAACATATTTTATAAGAATAAGTACACATACAATGATTTGACTCACAAAATTTGGGGTATTGCTTAAGAGCATTCTCTCTCCGATGATATTTTGTAATTGCATGTTTTTGGGAAGATTTTAACATATTTTGGATATTTTTTTGTAAGGGTCGTTACTGGTTTATTAACCTATTTCAGGAATCAATGATTGTTAGTCTTATATACAGTCTAGTGAAATGCAACCAGAAAGCATAGCCTGTTTAGTGGTGTGTATATCAAATGTACCAGAATTTATTGTCAGGGGTTTTATTCCTTTCATGTTGGGAGGGCTTATACATTATCATCTATCTCATAAAAGTTTGAAGAAAATAATATATTTATTTTGTTCTATACATTATCAAACTTTAGATATGTATATATATATATGTATATAGAATATATATATATGTATATATGAATTGACATTCACCCCCCCCTCCCCAGTTTTGGATTATACCTAGTTTTTCAGAAAGCAGATACCAATGTTTTTCTTTAAAAGTAGATATATGCTCACAAAAATTTAATGCAGTTTCTCCCTTTCATCCCATGCAAGGGTTGGTGCCTAAATTTAAAGAGTTGTTAAAATGAAGTTAATTTTTAGATTTGAAAAATAACATCCTCCATCCTTTCTAAAAAAAGAAGTTAAAATATTAAGAATCTTACATTTCCATTATTATGATGGTCAAAAATCGGATGTACATGTCTTACTATACTAACGAAATCATCATTTAATTTACCTTCTCCCTCTGATGAAATAAATGTTATTTTTCCACAACTGAAGCTATTTTAACTCCATCTGAACACACTTGAAATAAAAAATCAATAAAAAATCGTATGAATTTCATTTCTGCAACTTTCAGAAAGCAGAATCTGAGTTGGCCTATGAGCTCCAGGCAGCTAAAGAGAAACAGAAGATCCGTAGTGAGGAAATTGAGATTGAGGTCGTTGAACGTCGTAAACTCATTGATATTGAAGAGAAAGAGATCTTACGTAAAGAGAAGGAGTTGACGGCAATTGTAAAGAGACCAGCTGAGGCTGAAGCCTACAAGGTGGAACAGTTGGCTGATGGTAACAGGTATGGATGATTTCGGTGTTCTACTCTCATTTTGTATTGCACTTTTTCAAAGTGCTATATTGGTGATTTCTTGTGCTGATGACATGCATGTGTGCAGGAATTGAGCTAAGGGCCATTCCACTAGGCATTGCAAGGGCACTACTTTACACCATAAAAATATTGTTATCAAAGCACCGATCCAGTCAACTTTACGACAATATCTGATTTGATTTTGGGCATGATGGGTAAATATTCTATTTGTCACTGTGTGTTGTGTCAGCTTTGACAATCTTTTTGGGTATAGTATTCAGAGGTGGCGTTAACGCAATTTTTTACGTTTTTTACTCACATTTTTGCAACTCTGACGCAAATATTCATTGTCTACCGAGTCTTTCTGACGCACGTTTGTTTCACATGCAAAATCCCCGCTTGGTACTTGGTTAAATTGATCCCTATACGTGAAAATACGTGATTGATCAAATTTATAATTTTGCTAATTCCGGAAATCTAACATTTCGTTCAGCGCAATCGAGACTCCTTCCTACCGATCATTTTCTCATTTCGGTATTTCATATAATTTTTAAAGCCCTGTGATTCAGATTCAATGATAAACTTGAAAACATTGATCGATCCCTCGATTTGTTTATCTCGTGAAGCACGTTGCTAGGGGGCGTATCAAAAATGCAATAAAACGAACATAACATTGAACAATAATTTATTAATTTCATACTCCCTTCTAAGGATTTTAGTGATCGTATATTTATCTAAATTACCATAAAATCTTCCCTTGAATGTTCACACGCTAGATTTACGAACCTTTAGTTTCCTTCGCAAGTTCGCAAAATTCCTTCGCTAAGTTAGCAAGTTTCCTTGAGCCGTCCCCTTCATCAGCATGCGCAGATGTAATGCGCAGTAGGTTTATTAATGGTGCTCACAGTGACCGATCTATCGTAAGTTTTCACCAAGTATTTTCAATAACTCCCTCAAGTTAAGATCTTCGATTCACTAGATTTGAAGCTGATCCTATGAAGATAGATAATGGGCACATGAAAATCCAGTCGATCGCACATTAAGGGGGGTAATGATGATAAATTAGGTATGAAAACAAATCTACTTTCGGTTTCATTTGATCAGCTATAATTACAAGATTCTACCGTATTCAATTTAAATGATGCCCAGTATTGTGGTCGGACTTATATTGCCGTTTTAGACTTTGGAATGATTGCAAACATGTTGAATTTCAACATGAAACGCTTTGACCCCAATTTGTGTAACTCCACACAGGGAGAAACTCCTCTCCCACTCCATTCACACCCATGACTCGCTGGACCAGATAATCAGATGATTAATAGTGACATTTTTCTTGCAATTGCCTAATTAATTAATTGTTAGTTGTTAATGTGCTATAAGAGTACAATAAAAGGTATGCACAAAATCAAAAAATAGATTTTGTATGTGGTTTCTACATTTTGTATGCATTTTTACTCAAGAAAAACACTTTTATAGCTTTGACTCAACTTTTTTTCTTGTGACTCACTTTTTTGAAACTACCTGAGTCATGATGACTCACAAAAATATATGCCTACCGCCACCGCTGAGTATTGTTTCCCCCATTTCCACCTAAAATAGGACCCATCTCTTAAACTTCAAATGCTGTTTTCTTTGTGGGTTATTTTTTCTCACTACAGTATAATCCAAATTAAGGTTTGTATCATATTTGATCGAGTGTACTGTGTGAGTACCATGATTATATGATCCTTTTCTTCTAAACTATGCATAGCCCCTGTTTAATAATTTTCCCTATTTCTCCTAATTAGGACCCAGACTGTTGAAGCAGCCAAGGCTGATGGTGAGAGGATCAGGCTTGTTGGTGCAGCAGAGGCTGCAGCTATTGAGGCTGTTGGTAAGGCAGAGGCTGAGAAGATGAGACTGAAGGCTAGTGCCTACAAACAGTATGGAGATGCTGCCGTTACTAGTCTTGTACTGGAGACTCTCCCCAAGGTATACCTCCATATTCATATAATTTTCAAGATGGCCACTAAATTCAAAATGGCCACCATTTTTAGTAAAATAATGCCTTTTGGTAACTTTAATACTGTATAGAGTTACTTGATTTGGTCCAAATTCGAGGTTAACTTAAAATCTTTATCGTAATATAATTTGGTACTGTTGCACTGTCAAACTGAAGAAAAACCATTTCAATGTCGAACCACTGTGGAATGACACCAAATTCTTGGATGATAATTGCATCAAATGAATGGCCGCAAATTGCTGGTGTAGTCCTTTTGTGTCACATTTTACTTATTGTATTCTGTATTCACAGCTCCCTTCAGTGATCAAAGAAGAGATTCCTTTATAGCTATAATATGAAAAAGATGAATGCTTTTGTCAAAAGTATACGGATTGTATGCTAACTTATTCCTTTGTACATGTACAACATGAAATAATTTCTCATTCATCATTTTCACGATGGCTGTTCTGATGTATATTATGCAACCTGCTTATCAAAATTAGAGATCTCATATTCTGACATCCATGGATCTTTGCAAATATAATTTATTTATGACTATAGGTAATCAACGCATTACATGTACTATAAAATTACTTCTTTTTTTATTTGGGAACATTGTCGGTAACAAAATCATTTACTTGTAGATCGCAGCTGAGATTTCAGCTCCATTGGCGAAGACAGATAGCATTGTAATGGTAGGAGATGATCGTACAACAGCAGAGGTCAGCAGACTGTTGAGTGGTCTCCCACCAACTGTACAGGCACTCACTGGAGTTGACATCACTAAAGTAAGTTGACATCATTAAATTAAGGTGACATCACATAAATAAGTTGAAATCATCAAAATAAGTTGGCATCATTTTCATGAAGTCGTTAAGTAAGTTACAGTAAGTTGACATCATTTTAGTAAAGTAAGTTGACATATTTTTAGTTAGTTGACATCATTTAATTAAGTTGACATCATTTCAGTAAATTTACACCTCAAAATTGGCATATTTTTGTAAATTTTAATATTTTGACAATCCCGTGATAAATTGACATCAGTCAGTAGTATTGTTGATGTCAATAAATTGAAATAAATTTCACACAGAGTTGGCATCATTTGAAAGTTAGTTTACTTCACCTGTAATAACAAAGTTGACATCACTGTTTAAGTTAACATTGTATTGAGTTAACATTACTGCTAAGTTAGCATTCCTATTGTATACGGTTCACATTGTTAAATAAATAATGCTGGTATATGTTACCATACATGTATTATTTCATTAACATTGTATTATTTCTATTTGTCTACTTACAGATCTTAGCTAAGGTTCCAGGAGCCTCATAAGTACAGACCCCTTGGTATCTGTGCAATCCATGCAGGGAGACTTTCAACATAGAATGCATACTAGCTATAATGTCTTCAGTGTTTAAGGGTCTTCAACATGTCTTGTAAATACACTTGTAATCTTTACAAACTGAAATTCTTCTACAACTGACTGAGTGGATTTTAGTACAGGGTGTCCCACGATACATGCCTTCGAAAGTGAACAACCTGTTTGTGTGATATCTACAAGGTGTTCATCTTTCTGTAGTGGATGTCCTTTATATGTTTTATACCTCAAAACCATATTGATAGAAAGTCCTATATGCATAATCTACAGAACACACTGCAGCATCATTCATCTACAAAATTTAAAGATCACTGATCGTTATCGTGCTCGGATATTTGGTGATATTAGGAGTATGGAATCAATGACCAGTGTGGTACCTGTGAGGTCATGATACACTTGAAAACCTCTTTGATAATACAGGTATTATTCCTGATCAAATAATAAGACCATATAGTGCATTTTATGCCAGTGTATGTATATCTTCTATGTCTGGGTTGAAAGAGTAACAGAGATTCTTAACAGTATTATAACAGGCAAGATCAAAGTAAAATATTTCAATAAATGTGTCTTATATAAATGAAATGAGCAGCTGTAGTAATTGAATGTGCAGCTGTAGTAATGAAATGTGCAGCTGTAGTCATGAAATGTGCAGCTGTAGTAATGAAATGTGCAGCTGTAGTAATGAAATGTTCATCTATTGTAATTAAATCATACTCAACTATGTTTCTTAAGTTTTGAAAAATGCATAAATATGGTGTCAGTTTATGTTATGTGAAATAATTCATCTTTAATTATCTTCCTAAAAAAATCCATGTCTCTTATCATTTAAATCTTTATATCGAAACAACTGAATAATTGAAACATCGCAATGAAATGTGATAATGTTTTTGTTTTGCATGGATAGATAGATACCTATCTATATGTATATAAATCTGCATAGTATTCAGATTTTTAAGTAATTCAAGTTATATTATCCAATAAGTTCATATTAATAGTATTCACACAATAATTTAATATATAATGTATTTGTATTATAAAATATGACAAATTACTTTTCAAAGCATTGGGTTTAAAACAGTACATAATTCCTTATTAAAATGACCAATTTTTAAAACATTTTGTATATCAATACCGGTTTAAAGAAGTTAAGCTGTCTTTAGAAGTGGGTTATGATATTTTTAGCTAGTAAATGTTATTTTTAATTTCATGTGTATTGTATAATGTATAGTAGATTTCAATCTAAGTCTCATACAAAGTATGTCAATCCCAGCTGGTCAGTATTTTCCTGTTGCTGGGGTCTACATACCTCCTTCAGATTTTAAAATGAATTCTGGGGAGTTTTGTGTGTTAGTCTAATTCACTGTATATAGCATGCTATTGAACTTTCTTATTAAAATATGTAATATATTGAATTTAACCATTTTAGCATTGTTCTATGATAGTACTATATTGTTGTTGTATTTCTGCCCTTTCATATTATGCAATGAACAAAGGAGGTTTCATGGGATCAAAATACTTTTCAAGACAAAGTCCATTAAGTGCAAAACAAGGAAGGGACATTTTTTGGTTACACCAAAAATGACATTTAATATTGTGTAATTATATATTTCATTCTGTAGATCTACTGTTACAATTTTTGTTATCATAGACAAGTTTTATTATTTTCATTCAAGACCTTTTGAGATTCAAGTTGTATTTTACGAAAAATGTTTTCTGTACTAAACCTAAGGTCCAAATAATGTATATCATGCAATGAGACACCATAAACAATGTGTTTCTATGGTAATATTTGGTCTTTTATATTAACTATTACATTGCATATACTTGTAATATATACTTAATATTTAATCTTTAGTCTCTTTACTACCTGTACATCTAAGTCTGTGTATCATATACCTGTAGTACAATAATGTTATCAAGGTTTCAACCTAAATTGTACATATTTACAAAAGGAGTGTTTTTATTATTAAGATAGCTGACAATTTCTTATATTGATAGGTTCAGGAACATCTTCTTGAAATCTAATCCTTATAAGGCATCAATGGTGTGAGAGAGGTATATGAGGATGCCATATTTGGACAGTCTAAAAATAAAACATGTATGGAACTATTTATCTCTTGAATTCAAAAGATGAAAAAATCAAGTTGAGTCCAAATCTGAAAATGGCCATTTGCAATATTTAACTTAGCTCATTTGGCAGTCATTGACAGGGGCCAGTTATCAAATTTGCCAATTTTTCGAGTCTGTGCACCACACTGTCAGTGTTTTATTCTTAGTGTATGATTTCTTGAAGAAGTTCAACCCTATAAGAAGTCTTATGTAATGTATTATATATTGTAACAATATAAACCATGAAATCACTGATATTATCTTTTTCTATAGGGGCTTTCAGCTTTGTACATCTTAGTCATCATTTTTAATTTGCAATATTTAATATGCTAAAGGCCCTTAGATGTTTTCAACCAACCCCCTCCCCCCCCCCCCCCCCCCCCCGACCAAATATCCTTTCAAAACCATGCAGTTTTTCACCATTCTGAGCACTTTTTAAGTGATTTTGGCCATTTTGGATCAAAATTATCAAAAGTGAACCTCCCCTGGTGTTTTTTAAAAAGTGAACCACCGTTTGGCCGAACGCTGGCTAGGGGCCTGTGCTTAAAATTGATGTAAACATGATTGATAGTTTAATGGTACTCATAAATGAAGAAATATAATACTGTGTTTCATAATTTTGAAAAAAGAAAGAGAAAGGTTATGTATCATGCCCGTTATAGTATTCAAGACAAGATAGTATAATTTCATATCTATATAGTCAATCCATATTACTCAGGTCCTAATAATATTAATAATAATTTATGTTATTTACAGTGCCGGTGGAGACAGACTTTACATAGTGAAAATGTCTGATTTATCATTCATAATTTGGTAAAGTTTGTTTTCAGTTGCACTTAATGTATTGTACTTTGTCTTTCATACAATCCTTCTTGTTCCTTATGTTAAAGTTATGGCGAATGTTGCATTACGTCTGTCCCCCCATCCTCTACTGACCAATCAGGAAAGAGAAGGGGGTAGCTCCAGTATATCTCCGTGACAACATAACATGGCCCTTAAGAGGTACAGTAATACTCAATCACAGATTCTTATTTTACTGGTATGTTTCCATTAAAAACCTTTATCTCGGACATTAATGTGGAGTTTAACACGATGGAATGCAACACAACAATACTGTTCAGCATGCGGAGTATGACCTAAGTCTATTCATAATGCATCATAGCTTTTAACACTGTAACATAAGAAATGAAACACCCTGTATCAGTTTTCATTTTTATTTTTGATATCTAATCATTGTACAGTCATATTTCATACATATGAATAAATATATAATATCAGTGTAAATTGTGTTTTGTTAATAATATACCTGAAAATTGGTTAATATTTATTACTAAAATGTATTCCAGTATTCTAGCTCAATATAAACAACACCTACACGTTATACTAATATACTGCACTTGGTTTAATTCTCCATAAAAGGATAAAACGTATAACTGAGTAATGGGGTAACAATTTCAAATGGTCAATATTTGTTTGTTTCTGAACACCCAGTATTTAAAACGGATGTGTTCAAAACCTTGTAATTACTAAAAAGAATACAATACAAAAAGATAGAGTATCATACCCACCATTCAGCTTAATCATCACTGCACTTGGGCTTGACGACTCATTATACAGATCTACCCTTGTGAGACCAATATATTTTATTCTTTTGGACCAAATCGGATTAAAACTTGGGCTCAGAGTCACATGCAAACTATCCTTATCAGAGTGTTTATAGACTTGACTCCATTGACTATCCCTATTGGAAAATTATATTTAGCTCACCTGAAGGGTTGAGAAGTATAGCCCTTATATTATCTAAAATGTCCTCACAATCAACATAGTCTTATGGTAAGTCAAATTCCTCAACCACTGTGATTGAAGTCCAATGTATACTACTGTATGCAATTCAAGTCTTTCAAGTCCAATGTATACTATCTGTGCAATCGATTCTGGCTAAAACATCACTACATTTTGCTTTGACCATAACATTCGCAAGATGGTCTGCTCTGGTAGACCCAATATTCACAATGCCTATAGGTTTTCTCTGCTCAGCTGCCCTCATCAGGAACCTGTACCCTGAGTAAACCTGAAAAATATGAAGATGAAGTGGACAAAATATTAACCATTGGACGTCTGCTATAGCAAGTGCATTATGGGATAGGGTTTTACTGTTCATCCCAAACCAAGTTACTGCACCCTCAGACCTGTAAAATGCACATCAATATAATACTGTACTTCTACTTCATTTAGTTCTACTTTATTTTGGTGGATTTGCTGTTTTGAACATTTGGGGACTACTTAATTTGGTGGACTTTAACAATTTGGTGGATTTGCCAAATTAAAATGGCTACCAAGTTAACTAGAAGTACAGTATACAATTGTTGACCTCTCCAGAGGTCAACCGTCAAAATTGTATACCGAGACTGTAAACCGAGAAACTACTGTTGACAGAGACCGGAGGTCAAGGTTTACAGTCGAGGTATATGATTTTGACAGATGACCGAATGGAGAGGTCTACAATTGTTTTGTTAGTCCGAAGAAACTAATAATACACATATAGACGACAATCATCAATCAGCAGGGATTCATTTCACAATCTTTTCTCCGAACCATGCCAGCAATGTGTACTCAATAGTAAATTAATGTTAATTTTATGTTTTTATTTGTATTTTTTGCTATACTTGTCATCTAGTAAAGTCAAATATCACTTTCATCAACGTTTACAAAATGTCCGACTACCATGTTTTTTCTGTGTAACATTATGACGTCATGAAACTTATTTTTCAAAAGTAGCGGTCAACTGTACCCAGTAGTAGTACAACAGTACATATTGTTGACCGCTAATCAACCAATCAGAATCGAGTATTTCAGTTGACTGCACAATCAACTCTTTGGCTGTTGACAGAGTTAACTGTCAGGGAGTCATTAACAGAAACTTCATAAAGTTACGAATTTGTAAATCAATTGTTGTAACCATGGATATAATGACGTCACAGTTAGAGAACACTTAACAAATTCTTTACAAAGTTTCTCTTAATGACCTCCAGCTAATTTTTGTGCACCAAAATATGAATATAGATGAGACCCTGATGAAAGTGCTAAATTAAAGTTTATCGTCATTGCAAACACTGTGTACACTGACCTGTAGAGATGAGCCGAGAACCAGAACGCTGTCGCATTCTTCCAGTTTATTGAAGACAAAGCTAACTTTATCACGTGCAACATTATCCCCAAAGAATGTTATGTCTGGTTTCAAAGTACCTCCACATTTATTACAGTTTGGGACCTGAAGATAAATTTCAAATAAACATGGTTTTATTGATTTAAGAGGCAGTCTGTTTAAATTGAGAGTAAAATTCCATCTTATAAATACATGTATGGTATAAAGGGGCCTATAAATTATATGCATTTGTTTAAATTAGATAGTATCAATCCAGAGGGGGAATGCCCCATAATTCATTGACAAATCCCTTAAGGTCATCTTTACGTGACACAAGGTTCAGCTATGCATTCTGGGGCATACCCTCCTCTTATAGTAATCCATTGACCAATCGTATCAGATCCCAATATTACCTTGAATCCTGCCACTTGTTCAGGGGAGAGCGCTACATCCCCATCTGGAGCATGCTCCGCAGATGCAGCAGACCAATTAGGATTCTCTGCAGCAATCATATCTTGTAACTGAGTCCTCGGGAACATATTATCGCACCCTAAGCACATTATTCTATAGGTCGAACCATGTAATTCAGTCAAATTTTTACTACCAGCTTTAAAATGTAACGAATCAACATTCTGCGTGACTAACCAGTGAATTTTGCCTTCATTTTCCCAATCTGCTAAAGTTTTATGAGTTTGATTCGGTTGGGTTGATGACCAACGGGGCCAGGCAACATAATTTCGTGCCCAATAGCGCTGTCTTATTGTGCTACTCTTTACATAGTCTTGGTACTGAACTGGTCTGTTCGTACTTCGGGCGTACAGACCAACACCCTCCGAGCGATAGTCAGGAATTCCACTTTCTGTAGATATACCAGCTCCTGGAAAAGAAAATAAGTGGAACATTATTATCTTTATCTTATTTTGAAAAAAGATAATAAGTAAAACACCTCTGTTAGTAGAACACTGTTTACTGGATAACATAAATAGCCGTCATAGCTAAAACAAAATGTTTTCCATACAATATTAGATAATGTCATCACTGGTTAAGGGTGCAGCATACAAAAGGACATACTTAAAATCTTCATGAATTAATGAAATATTGAAAAAGTCTTTGTTTTACTTTACCTGTCATGACGAACATCTGCTTTGCATCAGACACAAAATATTGTAATTTCTGCACATCTTCAGTCTGAATGGGTTGAAATTCTGGTACAAACTGTGTAGAATGGTGTTGTTTTTGTAGTATTGAAATCAGATTTGTTGTAATGAAATTTTGGGCTTTCGATGAGATCGTGATTGTTCTCATCTTGCTAATGTTGTAGTTGTAGATAGCTTTGGTGCAGCCAGCCATAGGGACTATTAGTATATACAAGTTTTCACTATTCAGTTGATGATCAAGCTATACATATCAGTCTCTTTCAGTTTGATGAAATATGTCTAGATGTTCTCTGCTGCTGTCAAGTTCCATGAAGACAAGGGTTTGGGACGAAATCACATTGTGAAAAATAGACCTGGAAAAGAAACATTTTACATTATATTTTATTTATTCTCAATTTAAGTAATCACTCCTTCCAAATAATTTTTAAAAATGTGTCAATAAGTCATGCTTGTTGCAATTGTTTTATTAAAAAAACAAAATCTTGGTGATATATTTTCGACGTTTTCGAAGCCTGGAAGGATACCTGCGAAATCTCGAAAAAAAATCATTACTCATATTCTTTGAAGTAATGAACTTGAGTAATTAAATATATTACCAGAGTGACATCCTCCGATAACAGGGCTTCAAAATCCAGAATATATTCTTTCTTTTTACCCCCTGCGATAAGCAGTTACCATTTCCCTGATTAAGAACTCGCAATCTGATTGGCTGTCACAACACTGCGACAGAAATCATGGTCATTGCGCATAATTAGATCAAGTGATTCAGTATAATCGGACACTTCCAAATTGGTTGTAGCAGGGGGAAGAAGGAGGTATGGATTCTGGACACCTGCTTAGGAGGATGTCAGAGTGATGACAGAAAGATCTTAGTGATTAATGATTAATCAAATCGATAACACCATTACAAAATTTTTCAAAATGGCTGTCTACTACTATGGCACCGTGTTTTTATCCATTCCATTTAGCTAGTAACAGAGTAGTTCAAGGCCGTTTTTTATTATTAGGAATTTTCTTGGGGCCATTATTGAGTTTAACCTCTTTACTATTCTTTCCTTTGATGCAAGTTTTGGATCCACCGAAACCATTTTTCCACGATAACATGCAACTGATACTTGACAACAATATAAAAAAAAACATAACGTTAAGCGATTCAACATAATATTATTGTATTAAACGTTCGTTTATACGAGTAAAATGAGGTTAAACTTACCAATCTCTAAAATGACATTCCCGCATGTCCGTCATTGTGTCTGTTCGTCCCGGGTTAAAATCTAAACTATTAGCGAAACGAAATTGTTGTCAAATAGATTGATAATTATCACGCGATTACTCGGATAAAAAGATCAATTTTGAAGATAACAAGTATCTTTGATTGATTTATATAGCACTTGTAGACACGCTAAATAGTTATTAATTGTAAACCTACTGTTCGTTGATGCAGAGTCGCAATGACGGTTAATTCCTGATACAATTTTCAATTTAGATGTTATCGGGGCTGACCGACATTTTTGTAAAATTCCAAACCTGTCTCCGATACTTTCGTAATTATGCATCAATAGGGTCTAAGGGGGATACAGGATGGTGTGTATGTATTTATAAGGTATGTATGCATGCTTGAATCACATTCTTTATGTAATATGACCATGTTTTCAGAGTTTAATTAGTTCGGCTTGTCGAAACCTGCGGAACGATTAAATTAATGCATCAAGGGCAAAATGATCATGGAGGTTAGACATAGCCGGGGCCATAAGACATGTCAGATAAGAAACGAGGCCCAGGCTAGGTCTAATGTTGTTGGACTCGTAACAGAGATACTTGAAAATCTGTCATATCAGGCTTTAACATTACCACGGTCATGACAGGCCTTGCGATATAATATAGAATATATTGTCACTGTTAGACCAGGCTTTCACGATAACAATACCACGGTCATGGCAGGATCCTTGTGAAACTTAAAAACACTTAATCACATGGTGACAGTTGTGCCAGGCATAAGTCTTGCAATAGATAGCATGTGATATTAGCTTTTTTCTACTTTGAACATTTGGAATGGCATTGGTCCTATATTTGGGCATTTGGTATGGCTTTTGGGGTTAATTTTGTTGGTATGAGAACACATTGAATTTGACCGATTGGTATGGGAACATATTCATATCATGGGCGTAGCACCGGGTACGCTGGGTACACACAGGCGTAGATGGTGTCAAATTCTCTCAAAATACAACCAAATTTCTAAATTTTCCGAGGGGGAGAACCCCACAGACCCCCTGATTGCTTTTTTGCTTCTCTCAACTCTTGCTCCCATGCTGGCTACCGTGGTGGAGTAGACTCCGGGCGTAGACTACAACCAAAGTCAGCACTATCAATGGTATACTCTACCGTCCTTTAGTTATAGATATTTAGTATATATTCCCTATATTTTTAGAATATTATACCATTGATAGTGCTGACTGTGACTTACAGTTGGGGACAGAAATAAATGACAGGTCGATTTTCGATCACCATTTCCTAATTATGGTGGTCTGAAAGCCCATAATTTCCAATATTCACTGCCCCCAGGATTCCGTGTTTGCAGAGCGCGGACGGAATTTGCCTCTGCCCGCGGAATTGCAGAATCAACTATTTTGGTCAATTTCCGCGGAATTTTCCGCAGAATCCATATATTTTCCAAAAGTTTAAAAAGTCAGTCTTACCTGTAACAATTTGACACGTTTTCAGTCAAATCCCTTGCAGAAATAACCCAAATTATGCGAAGTGAAAATTCTAAACGCCATCGTTTGATTTCTGCCGTTAGATGGCAGCATGTATGTAGTGACTGACTACCTGACTATCACGATATTTTCCCGTTTATTGGTTCGAAAACCATTAATATCCGCGGAATTTCTGCAGAATTAGCCCTTTCTTCTTGCAGAATTCACTAATTTCACTTGCAGAATTGAGCATTTTAACTTGCAGAAAACTGGGGGGAGTGAATATTGTCTAGATACATATCCCTTAAAATTTGTATATTTTACATTTTGTATAATCTCATCCACTGATTTATGGCCTATTGTAAATTCTCTTATTTTTAACATGGGAAATCCTCACTTCAGCAAATCCACCTGTCATTTATTTATGTCCCCAACTGAAAAATGCAAAAATCAAAAATGCCAAAGTCTCAATAAATTTGAGAATTTGATGAGCAATTTTCATCTCGAAATATCTTACCGTCTTGAGTAACGTATTTATAGCTAGCATACTTACCATGTAACAACAGGGACGCCTAAAATACTTTTAAATTCACAAATTTGACGTGACGTTTTCGTAACTCACCGGAAACTTCTGTTAAGCTTACACTAAACGAAAATCATGAAATGAATGACCACATTTAGAAAGCCGGGAAATATAAATTTAGTAATTTCTATTTATTTTTGCTGTCGATTTATCAATAAATATCAAAAATAAATTTATTCTTATCATAATGATGCATTTTAAACTCTTCTCTGATCGATGCAGCAATAATAAATCGCCCTTACTTATTTTGAACAAACCCGGGCATAATTTTCGTTTAGTGTATAATTTGGCGCATGTGCATTGATAAACCTTCCATTTTTTTGTTTAGATTTCTTTGGTTGTGGTGTGAACTTTTCTTTCCATGGCTACTCCTGTAGACCAGGGAGCTTTGCTACTGAAAAGGCAGCTAATTGGTAAGGTTTAATATGTCTTTTATCAGATTTCTTGATTTTCATTTTTAGATTTCCATAAGGCCATGGATGGCATTTTCTTTTCGACTTCGACAAAGTCATTGCGTCAAATCTTTGTCATTTTGTTCGTCATGCACTGAGTTGACCCAGCGTTTCCGATAAAATCGAGCCTGCAAAAATTAAAATTATTCAATTTGTCAATAGATCTATCCTTCTCTTTTCAGTGAATTACAATAAACTCAGTGTGCCTATAAATTCCTAAATCCTAAGTTTTTTTGAAAAGGTGTAAACTAAATTATTTAAAGGTCAGGCCCTACATATCAGCTGATCCTTTCTTCAAGACTTGTTTGAAAGGCTCATAATAAGGATACTTGTCTACATATTCCACCATAATTATTAGGCCGTAGCTAAAATCTGAGTCAAAATGTTAGCAAGTAATTTGAACAAGAAAAAATCTATACATACATCTTTATACAGAGACGGAGTTCACCCAAACGAAAGGGGTACATCAGTTCTATGTAAAAACATCCTTGATTGCATCAGGAAACTATGTAACATCACTCCCCCACAAAGGTTTGGTCCTAAGAGACCATTTCAAGGCCAGAGAAAGTGGTTTGATAGATGATGAAACTAACCATCTAAACACATCATTTGTCAATTACTGAAAAGTACATGTAGTGTTGGGTATAAAATACCATTTATATTAAGTTTTAGTACAAGTACATAACGATAATATAGTATAAAATGTTTTAGAGTATTGTGTTAAATACGTGACTGTTGTATTGTAAGTATCACATATCAGTTTAAATATTATATGGTGAACTTTATACATAATTGTTATAACTCATTAAATATCACTAAATCCTTGACAGACTTTGTAAAACACATTGTAGCATGAATAATAGATCACACTTATCTACAAGGAATTAAAAACAATATGTTCAATAAGCTTGAAAACGCTGATTTTACGAAAGAAATCAAAAAGCATCACATTATAGGTATGACTGAAACACATGGTGATAAGGGCAGTTCGTTTTCCCTAGAAGGGTATACATCATTTTGTTCAAACCGTTCAAAAACCGGCAATAAAAGACATGGTGGTGTCGTGAAACCACTCAGTAAAATTAAGATTTCTCTGCACCATGATGTTCAATCAAGATCATTAGAGTACCTATGTGCTCCTGACAAAGTTTACCCAAAGTTTGCATGCCATATTGAGGTAATTTATGACTAAAATCAGGAAGGCAAAAAAGTTGTGTGATATGTTCAACCAAAATCATTCAAGTACCTATGTGCTCCTGACACGTGTAGGCATCCGGAAATGACAACGTCTACCCAAAGTTTGCATGCCATATTGAGGTAATTTATGACTAAAATCAGGAAGGCAAAAAGTTGTGTGATATGTTCAACCAAAATCATTCAAGTACCTATGTGCTCCTGACACGTGTAGGCATCCGGAAATGACAACGTCTACCCAAAGTTTGCATGCCATATTGAGGTAATTTATGACTTAAATCAGGAAGGCAAAAAAGTTGTGTGATATATTCAACCAAAATCATTCAGGTACCTATGTGCTCCTAACACGTGTAGGCATCCAGAAATGACAACGTCTACCCAAAGTTTGCATGCCATATTGAGGTAATTTATGACTAAAATCAGGAAGACAAAAATTGATATTCTTAAGAATTGCTTATAATTACTATCTACAAAAATGTTCCCGAGACACTAATCCATTTTGGTAAGGGTTTGTTTGAAAGTCAGAAAGCTCCAATGAAACAATACAAACCCAGGGAAAACCTAGAAGACTGCAGATTTCATATTGCAATGTTTTACATTCAGGTAAACAAGTAAAGTACATCTAATCCCCATATAAAATTATGTTAATATAGCCTGCAAACTGTGGGAAGACATTGTCATTTCCGGATGTCCAAACGTTTCTAGAACACAAAGGTACTTGAATGATCTTGATTGAATAAATCATGTTACAGCAGGGATTTCATTAGCAGCAGGAAACAGGCGATTTTCACCAGTCGTTTTTACAAAATCGCCTGTTGTTTTTAAGTACTTCTCAACTTTTCCATGTTAAATATATGATTTCCATTAATTTAGCCTGTTATCATTTATTTAGCCTGTTGTGAGAAATTCTATTGAAACCCCTGGCATAAAAAATTGTAATTTTACTGAGTGGCTTCTCAAGAAAATAAACATGATAATAAGCCAGTTAATTATCCCATCGAACGAAGTTCGGAGGGATATAGGGAACGCCTCCGTCCGTCGGTTTGTCTGTCCTGGCAATAACTCAAATACCGTTGGCCCAATTTTGTTCATATTTTGTACACATATACCCTATGTGGGTAGAAGTTCTGCTCGAAAGCCGATTTTCAAAATGGCCGCTCATTTTAAAATGGTAGCCATTTTAGTGCCGATTTTATAGTAATTTAGGTGCAATATGTAAAACTGTAATAGCAATATGTTTTAAATGTAAAAAAAATTATGTAGGACATTAATAAAGCTAGAAATGTAGATATTAAAAAAGCACATGGCAGCCATCTTGAAAAATGGCGGCCTTTACTCGTTATTTTACGATTTTTGCTGTAACTCGAAAAGTAGTGGAGCGATTTTGTTCATATTTGGTATGTGAATACTATAAGCATGGCACACTGTCTAATGACACTTTTGGTAGGAGGTGGCCATTTTGCAAAATGGCGGACATTTTGAAAAATGGCTGCCATTTTAACTTATTTTACTATAACTCGAAAAGTAGCTGAGCGATTTTGTTCATATTTGGTATGTGAATATTATAAGCATGGCACACTGTCTAATGACACTTTTGGTAGACGGCGGCCATTTTGAAAAATGGCCACCATTTTAACGTATTTTACTATAACTCGAAAAGTAGTAGAGCGATTTTTTCATATTTGGTATGTGAATATTATAAGCATGGCACACTGTCTAATGACACTTTTGGTAGAAGGTGGCCATTTTGAAAAATGGCCGCCATTTTAACATATTTTTTACTATAACTCGAAAAGTAGAAAGTAGGGGAGTGATTTTGTTCATATTTGGTATGTGAATACTATAAGCATGGCACACTGTCTAATGATACTTTTGGTAGAAGATGGCCATTTTGAAAAATGGCTGCCATTTTTGCTACATACTTTGTTTGTAAAAATGCCAGCCATGGCTGTTCGATGGGATTCGCTACGTTTGGCGTTGCCGTTGTTCTGGTTTATAACAAGGAATTTTTGTATATTTTCAGATTTGCAGAAAAAGCCAGTTGAAGGTTTCTCAGCAGGGCTTATAGATGATGATGACATCTATAGATGGGAAGTTTTAATTATGGGACCTCAGGATACTCCCTAGTAAGTATAATGTTAGACTATTTGCTAAATAGATACTGTAGATTGGGTTAATTTGGCGCTCGCTTTAATTTGGCGAAATTGAAAAATTTAGAACGAATCCCCGTGAATTATCTAGGGTATTTCGTCCAGTGTATTTAGGTCACTTCCAGTTTAGTTTTTTCCAAAAATATGAAAAAATGTCTCTCATAAATTGGCTCAGAACTGGTCAGTCACTCATTAATACTCAGGGAAAACTAGAAAGGAAAAGCGCGGTATAGTAGCAGTAGTAGGCAGCAAATGGGTCATACATATGCCAGAGTGTTGAAACGTAGTCAAACCTAAACTGCGTTATTTTGACTTAAAGATATGAGAAGGAAATAATAATTATTTGCATTTCAGTGAAGATGGCTTTTTCAAAGCGCACCTGACATTCCCAAAGGAATACCCTCAGAAGCCTCCACTGTTAAAGTTTGTGTCAGAAATATGGCACCCAAATAGTGAGTATCTACTATAAATGATTGGTCAATGCATAGTCACATGACATTCACAAAGCATTGGTATTTAATCCGAGTGGTTAATTTGCCGATTTGTCAAAGGTTCAGGTAGGTTATCACAAACAATTTCAGACAGTTATATCTTGGATTATGACTATTTTCTGACCATGATCATCTAGATCTACAAGTTATCATAAGTTGAAATCTGACTTTAGATCTGAGATTTGACCTTCAATGACCTGCTCAAGTTCAAAAAAGATTTGACCTTCAATGACCTTCTAAAGGTCAAAAAAGATATTTTTTGAACTTGCTTCAAATTGACCAATTTTTTTCAAAATCATCTACAAATTAACAGAAATTCTAATCTGGCTTAAGATTGATGAGAGCAACTAGGTTGTGACATTTTGTCATGTTAATGGCTTGTTATGGACTTAAGTATGACCTAAACATGTGATTATTATGAATTAAATGGAATGTCATTGTCATGTCATTTAGTCATTACTGCACAACATATCTCAATAAGTTGATGTGAAGTTTTGCGGTCATGAATATCCGATGCCTGCATTATTTTGCACTCTGATGTACATTTATTTATACATTCTGATGAGATACATCACCTACATCCAAAAAGCATGGTATATCCTCTATCATTTAACACCCTATACAGTGATCACACCAATTTCAAATGGTAGTGGTAAAGAGGAAGCATGGCGACTTAAGTTGACTTTTTCTGACCAGGTTAGCATAGCCTAGTGTATATACAGGGTGGTCAAAAAAATGGAAACCCTGCATTTTTCTCGTAGCTTTGTCATTTTAAGAAATAACTCCCTGATATTTCAGACATTTGTAAATCATTCAATTTCCTAGTACCCTGCATATTTCATGACCATCGGACTGATAGTCATGATTTTACAGCACTGTGAACAACATGCTGTAGGTTTGGCCATCATTGCGCTGTAGGCAAAACTGCACAGTTGTCAATGACCCAAATTCATTCCTCAGCAGGTATGGCCTGAATAATACAGATGATCTCACTTTTGAGGTCTGCAATTACTTAGATGCGAGTAGATAGTTACCACTTTCGCCACCAGGTGGCTGATTCGGGGGAAATAACATGGCAGGGTATTACAAAATTCCCTTAAACTTGAATATTTATCAGTTTTAGTGCTTCTCTTTCCATATTACTCTTATGTATCTGATAGTTTATACAAGTTAAAATATGTCCAGTGAAAGAAAATATTATCTACCCAACACAAGAAAAGATAATTTCACTTTTTGTGATTTTACAACATTGTGTCTATGGGGAATCTCCCCAACCTAGAAGTCACATTTTCAAAAAAAATAGAATTTTCAAAGTATATTAACTCTTTTCAAAACCACATTTTTAGATGTAACTTTACATGTATATTCCCAAATATGACATCGTTTTGACTGAATTTTGATTATCTAATGAAGGAAATCATGATTATTTCTACTCGCATCTGGTGTATTGTCCTGAGGTCATTATAAAACACCCTATCTCTGCCATATCCCTATAGGTAGGGACATTTTGGACGACATATGCAGGTTTCTCTATAATTTATTGCGGTGAATTCAAATTGTATATTTAAACGACTGTTTTATTATGTCCCCACCACATAGTGTGGGGCCATGTTGTCAGCCTAGCCGCGTCCATCTGTCTGTCTGTACGTCCGGCAGTTTTCTCCATAACCGCTACAGGTATCACCTTCAAATTTTCAGGGATAACTTACGAGTGCATACAGATGTGGATGAAAAAAATTTAATTCGATACCTACTTCCTGTCGGCCATTTTGAAGTCAAATGCTAAAATCTTTGTCTGCAAACTTTAAGAAAAACGGCTTCACAGTTGCTTTTAAAACTTTAACATCTTGTTCAGCTCACTTCATTCTACATCTGATTAGGTTTTGGACCTGTTAGCTCAGTCATGTCAGCCATTTTGCTCAGTCATGTCAGCCATTTTGAATGTCTTAAGAAAAATTAGCGTGCGATAATACTTTGTATCATATTGAAATAATTTCAGGTGCACTTTGTTGTAAAAATCCTATGTTATTGTTAACAGTAGTTATATGTGATAATTTTTTTGTAAAAAGAAATCAGCAAAAACTCATAATCACTTTTTTATTGTCGACCATTTTGGATTTTTCCGTCCTAAAATCTTGTCTGTAAAGTCTTGTCTACGCATTTTTAGTTGAACCATTTGGTAGATCAATTTCAAATTTTGAGGGATGATTCTTAGTATGAAAATCTAGATCTGATTAGTTTTTTGGCATTCTGGGTAAATGTCAAGGCAGCCATTTTGGATTTTCCGTCCTAAAATCTTGTCTGTAAAGTCTTGTCTACGCATTATGAGGTGAACCATTGGGTAGATCAATTCCAAATTTTCAGGGATGATTCTTAGTATGAAAATCTAGATCTGATTAGTTTTTTGGCATTCTGGATTTTCCATCTTAAAATCTTGCCTGTAAAGTCTTGTCTACGCACTTTTAGTTGAACTGTTTGGTAAATCAAATTTCAAATTTTTAGGGATGATTCTTAGTATGAAAATCTAGATCTGATTATTAGTTTGTTGGCATTCCGTGCAAATGTCAAGGCAGCCATTTTGGATTTTCTGTCCTAAAATCTTGTCTGTAAAGTCTTGTCTACGCGTTTTCAGGTGAACCATTTGGAAGATCAATTTCAAATTTTCGGGGATGATTCATAGTTACAAAATCTAGAAGAGATTAGTTTTTTGACATTCTGGGTAAATGTCAAGGCAGCCATTTTGGGTTTTCCATCCTAAAATCTTGCCTGTAAAGTCTTGTCTATGCACTTTTAGTTGAACTGTTTGGTAAATCAAATTTCAAATTTTTAGGGATGATTCTTAGAATGAAAATCTAGATCTGATTAGTTTGTTGGCATTCCGTGCGAATGTCAAGGCAGCCATTTTGGATTTTCTGTCCTAAAATCTTGTCTGTAAAGTCTTGTCTACGCGTTTTCAGGTGAACCATTTGGTAGATCAATTTCAAATTTTCGGGGATGATTCATAGTTAGAAAATCTAGAAGAGATTAGTTTTTTGACATTCTGGGTAAATGTCAAGGCAGCCATTTTGGATTTTCCATCCTAAAATCTTGTCTGTAAAGTCTTGTTCACATGTTTTCTGGTTAACTGTGTGACAGATCAATTTCAAGTTTTCAGGAGTGGTTCTTAGTATGAAAATCTAGAAGTGACTAAATTTTTGGCATTATGGGTAAAGCATACCAGAATAAAAATTTATTTTTCTCTGAAAAAAATAACAGCATGACATAAGTATTACCCTGATGTTTATGAATAAATTAGTTTTATTGCACAGGCATGTAGCCAGCTTTTGTCAAGCTTTAGATTTTTTAAAAGATTCCAGAATTCTATTTTGACAACTTTGTTCCAAAATCACTTGAAAAGTGCTCAGAATGATGAAAAACTGCATGGTTTTGAAAGAATTTTGGGTCAAGGTAGGTTTGCTTGAATCCCCGAACTCCCCTTACTACAAGCCTGTTATATGTATTTCCCTAAATCAAAAACTAAAAAAAAATTAACATTTTCAGTTGATGAAAATGGCGAAGTCTGCATATCAATACTACATGAGCCAGGGGAAGACAAATATGGTTATGAAAGACCCGAAGAGAGATGGTTACCAATTCATACAGTAGAAACTATAATGGTTAGCGTTATATCGATGATAGCAGACCCTAACGTCGAATCTCCTGCTAATGTGGATGCTGCAGTAAGTATGAATTAAATACAAGATATCTACTGGGAGGGATTGAATATGGGTTGTATTCATAGACAATGGCGTAGCATCATACACGCATAAAAGATACAGTATACTCTCAAAATTTATCTCAAAGTTTATTTTTTGCATTGAATTGACCCACACCTTAAAACTGGCCAAAAATTTCAGTTTATTAGTACATATTAGTCGGAAGTTTGTATTTTATATTCTCAGCTCCCAAACCCCCTCAAAGTCTGTTCGCTTCCCTCACTCTAGCATACTTTCACAAAATACGCACGCTACGCCACCAATAGAAACACAATGGTATTTACTGAAGGGGCTTTTCTTTTTGGAATACATTATTCAAATAATTATGAGTTTTTCATATGATCGAAGAGAAAACATGTCTTTTTCTCGTATGTTTCTCACAGAAGGCTGAAGAAAAGTGTTGGGAGGAGTTGTTCAATGTGAATTTAAGCTGTGGATTGATTTAAGCTGTGTAAGCTGTGTAAGCTGTGTGTCTCTATGTAATCAATGTATATAAAATATGTAATGCTATTTTATCATCACAAAAAAAGTTTTGTTCACTTGTAGAGCAACAATTTTTTGTATTGAAATGTTATTTCTTTTTGTTTAATATTACATTTCTACATATAGAAACATTTATTCCATATCATTTTTGTTCACAGCCTTGATTATCATTTATATGATTTTGGATTTGCAGAAAGACTTTAGAGACGACAAACCTCAATTCACAAAAAGAGTTACCCGGTGTGTGAAAAAAAGTCAAGAAAATTTGTGAGGTGGGGTTAACTTATTCCAAAATATGCAAGGTAGGTCACATTATAAACTCCAGGTTGGAGATTTCATTTATTATGTCACCACCAAGAAGTGATGACATATTGTTATGGTCTCCGTTTTTTATGGCGGCAGTTGGCAATCGGCGAGTGGTGATTAGCGATGGCGGGTGGTGGTTGGCATCTGTACCAAATTCTTAAAACTTCCAATAACTTAACAAATACTGTTTAGACTGACTTCAATGTTTCCAAATCATCTATAAGTTTTAAGAAGTTCAAATCTGACTTTAGATTTAAGATTTGACCTTCAATGACCTTTTAAAGGTCAAAAAAGTCCTTTTCAACTTGCTTCAATTTGACCAATTTTTTTCAAAATCATCTACATTATCAGAAGTTAAAATCTGACTTTAGATTAAAGATTTGACCTTCAATGACCTTCTCAAGGTCAAAGGAAGGTCAAAAGGTCTTTTTCAACTTGCTTCAAATAGACTAGATGCGAATAGAAATAATCTTGACTTTCGTCATTAAAAATTCAAAATTCAGTCAAACTGATGTCATATTTGGAATCTACACTTGTACAGGTACATGTAAAATTACATCTAGAAATGTTGTTTTGAAAAGAGTTTATCAACTTTCAAAGTTCTTAGAAATTCAAATCTAACTTAGGATTAAACTCATAATATTGTGAGCAACTAGGTGGTGACATTTTGTCATTAGTGAGATAAATAGTGTCAAAATAGTTCATTCTTGGAACGAAGCGTGAAACTTTCCATATATCATCAGTATACATTTATCTTTGATTTAAGAGCATGAGACATTTTATTGGTCAACTAGAACGATAAAAAATTACAATTATCCCCTCCCCCCCCCCACCAAATCCTGGGGGTGGGGGTGAGAGAATTTTTTTTCTTTTTAAAAATATGTTTGAATATACTCATATTGCAGTTTTAGTATGCTTTTAGTATGCTCAAAATAATAACTAAAATTACATCAGCATTTCTCATGGATATCCATTGTTAAAGTCTGACTGGGGGGCGACGCCCATATTATCAACGAGTTAAGTATGCAAGTTAGTGAATCTTCTGATTATGAATAGGAAAGTAACCTACTTTAGCTGAACAAAATGGATAAGGATAAATCAGTTGATGATATTTATATAATATATGCTATAGGAAAGTCAATTCTGTTGTTAAAGGCTTGTTATTGGCCACGCCCACTTTTAGTGATTAAGATATAATATGTGTTAATCACAAATATAAATTGATTCTGTTAGGTTTTAATGAAAGCACTCTCTGACTAGTTGACCAGTTACCTTATTAAGTACCCATATGCACTCAAGTATTATATATGCCATTATCAATTAATGTTCACATTCCCCATTACACAAATGCAGGGTAGTACATTGAAGATTGGCTTTAAAGCACTTGCAGCGTTTAGTTGAACTTTGTTGCTTCCAAATGCATTTTTAAAAGCATCTGAGGCTTGGGGTAGTGTCTTCCACATTGGAACCAAAATCATTTTTCCAGTCTTGGTGTTGATTGATTCCCAACCCCATTGTGAGGGTGATGGAATAACTGGGATGGCTATAGTGGACTGCCCCCTTACATATACTGCCTGGTAAATGACACACTTGCTGCTCTAAAGCGTCTAATGTTGGGGGAATGTTCTCAATTTGTTTGGTTTTCTTCATGAACATTTCTTGTCTTGCAGCATTTATAGTTGTTTTGTTGCTTTCTGTATTGTATAAAATAACAATGAAAGGTTCAATGATTGGCATAGCTACGGCTAACTTATTTGGATCTTTAGCCAAAATTGGGCGTTTGTCAATTCGGGATAAGCATTCCATTGTTTCCATGCTGTTGTTTTGGATTTACCATGGAATCCAGATGTGGTGTCTTAACCAGTGAGGGCATGAAATAAGGGGAGACAAGTGGCCATGCTAAGTCCAAGGGACCCATTTCATGGGTTGGATAATTTTTCCAATTTCCAAAAGCTATCCATCCACTTGGCGTTGTTTGCCTGTTCCTTCTTTCTGTCTGGTTGATAGTTTAAAACTGTTTTCCAGGTACTGATCCCACACAATGTCTAGTCGTTCCACTCATGCTACCTGGGAAGAAATATAGTTTTTATTCATTGAACACATGATCTGAGTACTGTTTGAATATTTTGGCCTGTTGGAGTTTCAAAAGGTGCACAATAGCTGCACCATCAAGGAGCAATGCTTCTACCTGTGGGCATTCAACTTGTTGATTTCCAGTAGGTAGCTGCTCTAATGGTTTGAGAATGCCAGACTTATTTGTCATTTTGAGAAAAGGGCACAGTCATTTTTTAATGTTTCCTTGTTTATATTCATCTTTGTTTTCTGTTCTTTAAATATTTTGTAGTTGTTTCTCTTCATAGTGTCTGCTTAAGGGTTTGTTCTGTCAACCAGTCTTTCCTTAATGTACAATGTGTACTAATCCTGAGGGGTCATTCATCAAGCTATCGCAATCACTGCGACGTCGCAGACACTGCGACGTCGCAGACACTGCGACCACCATGCGGGGTCGCAGTCGCACTATTCATTAACAAATCGCAGTCTGCGATGTCCATGCGACCAGTCGCAGTGATTACCATGTGGACGTGCTTGTACACGTGTTAGTTATCCTTTCGAGATCCTCTTGTATCATTTCGTAAACTTTTATAATAGTTAACCCTAGGCATATGACATCGCAAAATAAGGTCTGCATCATCGTTTATTTGAAGAGGATCTGTACGATCTCTAAGTACGCGTTCTCTACGCAGAGCATTACGGTTGAAATCAACCATCAGTTGCGCCATTTCGAACGAATAAACGCTTCCAACGGACGATTAACGTGTCATGCAAGATTGACAATATGGATACTGAGTGGGCACAGTCACGTGGGTCAAAACCACGTGTAACGCACAATCACTGCGACCGGTCGCACGGTGAAGTACTTAAAAATACAAGCCGAAAACTAGCTGTTTTTGGTAGCATCACAAACATGTTAAACATAACGCATATGCTCTGCAATTTTAATATAACATGGATCGAATATCGAACTATACGTCCTAGAATTTCTATATAATTTTATAAAGAAATTCAACTAATTTAAGACATTTTTCGTGAACTAAAATCACTGCGACTGGGTACTACCGGTCGCTTAAATTTGGGCCATTTTAGGGGTATTTCACTGCGACGTCGCAGAAAATTCTACCGATCGCAGTCGCACGAGATTGATGAATAGGGCGTAATCCCTAAAAAGGGCCCTTGCGACATCGCAGGCTTGCGACGTGCTTGCGATAGCTTGATGAATGACCCCTCTGGCCAGCTTGCTCCATTTCATATAACGGTGTTGATGATACAACTTCTTTGTTGTCTAAGGAGTACAAGTCTGTTGATGTCTCTTTTGATGAACTTTTGTTGAATACTTTTGCTTTGTTCATGATTAGATAGGTCCTCATCTTGATGATCAAATATATTATTCTCAAACTCGGTGATCAGTCTGGATAATTCAGGCCCTCAAACCATCCACTTCTGTAGAGCTGTCTGGGTTATCAAAGAGCCCCACTGCTCCACCATCTGATTTAACAAGATTGTTTTTCTGCTCATGAGCTTGATCGATTGCTATGGCAGAAAAGCTTCGTCTCAATTTACACACAGTGAAGTAGCTCTTCAGGAAGGCTTCATAGATCTCTGGGTGTTTTTCTGGTAGTTGCACCATATCCCTTAGATGTACCGGAACCCATCGAGCATAGTTGGAGTGGTCAAAAATGAAAAAACGGGAGAAGCTTGCTTATTGATTGGAGGTAAAGCGGAAGTTTTCCGATAGCCCTCACATAGTTAAGGCAGAGGAGTTCAATTTGAATAACTAGAAACCAAAACATGAAAACTGGTACATGCTGTTGGGCATTACACCAATCATCAAACTCTTTAGGTATTCCATTGTCAAGATTCTCAACAGATGTATATGTAGCATAGACTTTCTTCAGAAGAATGTACTGAAGCTGTCACTCTGTGGCCCTTCTGGTTCTGGTTAAAGTGTGTCACTTTCAGGAAGGAATCTGCTTATAAGACTTAAAGGATATTTAAAAGCTTGCATCTTGTTCTCATCCATTCCTTCTAATAAAAAAAATGACCTAAAGGCTTTAAAGTCTCAGGGAAGTTATTGGGAATTTACACCAAACAGGAAATGAAAAAATCATGTAGATTTTAGAATTTTTTGAAGTAAGATAACAGAGTTCTGCTTTGATCTTCAGTCAGTTGTACTACTCCCATATATCATTTACATTGCCAGGATCACAATGGTCATGGTCAAAATGACCCTTTCCATGCAGAAATAGCCTTTTCAGTGCTCTGAAAATGTGACTGAAAATAGTAAAAAGTTCGTGTTTCTAAAAGGTCGGTGAACAGAATAATATAATGGGCACATTTTCTGAAAAATTCAATATATTCTGTTCAGTGACCTTTCGGAAGTGCTAACTTTTAACTTTTTTCAGTCACAATTTCAGAGGGCTGAAAAAGCTATTTCAGCATGGTAAGGGTCATTTTGACAATGACCATTATGATCCTGGTCATGTAAATAATATATGGGAGTAGTAAAACTGATAGAAGGTTAAAGCAGAACTCTGTTATCTTAGTTCAAACAATTCTAAAATCCACATGGTTTTCTCATTTCCTGTTTGGTATTTTCTGATGACTACCCCAAAACCTTAAGCAATATAACTCTTAGATTAATTGCAACGCCTAAGATCATAATTAGGAAAGGAATCTGATGTTATCTTGCTGAAAGGTGAATAGCAATTATTTCTTAGACCGAAAATGGAGATCTGATGAATATATTCAATATAGGAAAAGTGGGTGTCAACCTCGGTCAGGCTTTAAGAATGTTAAAATTCATGAGAAATCATCTTATTATAATGCCAATCTGTCTTAACTAAGAAAGAAGTATGCTAAATCTGCAATATGAGCATATTTAAACACATTTATAAAATAAAAAATAAATTCTCTCTCCCCCACCCCCCAGGATTTGGTGGGAGGGGGCATTTGTAATAATTTTGGTCGTTCTAGTGCACCAAAAAAATGTCTCATGCTCTTAAATCAAAGATGAATGTACATGTATATAGAAGATATATGGAAAGTTTCACGCTTCGTTCCATGAATGAACTATTTCCCTGTTTATTTGCACTATTGATCTCGCTACATGTTAATGCCTTGTTAATTTATATACATGACAGACATTTGTAATAGAAATTATGTGTCAACGTTAAAAGATATAAAGTATAAAATGGCTGAGAGAATGCCACATAAGGTTAAAATCAAACAGACTGATATCTTTTTATCGCACTTTGAAAAAGTGCTATATTGTCGTCGTCTTGTGCTGTTGGGCGGGCGGGCGGGCGGGCGGGCGTGCGGGCGGGCGGGCGGGACATAAACCAAATCTTGTCATCAAATTTCCAGGATAACTGCTTACCTGTTCAACTTGAAATTTTTACAGATGCAAGAGCAGACTAGTACCAAGATCTGATTAGGTTAAGGGCATGCTGGGTAAACTATGTGGCGGCAATTTTGAATTTTTCAACAAATCTTGTCATCAAAATTCCAGGAAAACCACTTATCCGTTCAACTTGAAATTTTTACAGATGCAAGAGCAGACTATTGCCAAGATCTGATTAGGTTTTGGGTATGCTGGCTGAATTACATGGTGGCCATTTTGAATTTTTCAATTTGGCGGCCATTTTGAATTTTTCAACTTGCTCCAAATTGACCAAATTTTTTTTTTAAAAACATCTACAAGTTCTCAGAAGTTCAAATCTGACCTTAGATTTCAGATTTGACCTTTCGTTCACCTTCAGTGACCTTGAAAAGGTCAAAAAAGTTGATTTTCTAAATTGATATTTTGGATTTAAATTTAGGTCAGCTTAATTACAAAACACCTACTGAGGTCTGAAAAAGTGAAATTTTCAAGGTCGAAGGTCATCAAATTAGGTCACAAACAATGTTATCTAAATTTTCCAAAGTTCAAGACTACAAATAAATTCTTGTCATCAAAATTGCAGGAAAACCGCTAACCTTGTCAACTTGAAATGTTTACAGATGCAAGAGCAGACTAGTGCCAAGGTCTGATTAGGTTTTGGCCATGCTGGGTAAATTGCATGGTGGCCAGTTTGCTCTTCAAAGTGCGATATTTATCACTGTGTGTCTTGTTAAGCTCTATTGTAGATTAGAATTAAAATGAAAATTAGGTTGGCAATTATTTGATACGTAATTTCTCTAAAGCAAATAGACAAGTTGTGCAATTCAGAGTCGAATATATAGGAGCCCTGTGTAATTCTCCCTAGGATTTTTTCTCAAGTGGGTGCAAAATTTTCGCAATAAAGGCAAAAATTTAATCAACATGCCTATTTTTCACAATTTTTCTCAAGTAGATGGAAATGGATTCACAGTTTGGTGCAAGCCTATTATTATGTCACCACCACAAGTGACATATTGTTGTAGTCTCCAACTTTTTTGTGGATGGTATTCGGTGTCTGTAACAAGTGGCATCTGAATCAAATGGGCATCTGTAATCAATGGCGGATGGTGACATTTTGCTTGTTAATGCCTTGTTAAAATCTGAAGTGGAGACAGCACCTACTTGCTTTAATGCTCTAGAGGTCACTAGAGCCTGTCAGTGAGTGATTTTTTATGATTAAAGACCAACTTTGGGAATTTTAAACATATACAGTATAGTACGCCTATTTTTTATTTAATAAATGCTTTCTCTTTCCAGTCCAAGCTGAAGAAATGCAGCAATAATAGATGCATTTATTTATCAAGCCTGAAAATAAAATCTGAACAATGAAGGACTTGTTATATGCATCAAGCTTGGGATATATTTGTTTCACTGGAGCTTGCATACGACATATTGACACCCCTATGTCATCAAATGGACTGGTCTATTATCAAAGAATGGAATAATCCATATGATGTTATAGGGGTGTTATACATTGCATTATGGAAACTGGTCATTCATTGACCATAAAAAATAGTTGACATATTTGGTGCATTGATATTTTTTTCATAATGTTTTAAAAGATATTCTTCAAATGGTATTAATCCAAGTTAAAAAGATTGTCATGTGGCCAGATTCCATAGCGACAAAAAATGGAGAAAATATTAAAAATATGGAGAAAAACAACAACTTATGGACACGGCAGGATTCATTAATACAATACAGTGAATCTGGAGAACCCTTAAAAACAAACTAATCATAGAGTATGAATAGAACTTAGAAACTCAAGATTTTGGAGTCGTCAATTGATTTCTGAGGCATTTGATATTTTGATGTTAAATTTGTTTTGCATGAATGGAACACAAGCTGAATTTTGTAACTACATGTACTCACCATAGGATTGTAGCCAGTATTTGAAAATTAAAATTTGCAAGAGGCTAAAAAGCCGATTTACGGCAAATATGATCATTGAAAAATCTGCCTCATGTCTGGCTAGTTGCTACACACATGTACCAACCACTTAGGAGTCGATTGAAAATGGAATAAAAAGTCAAAGTGTAATATATATTTTGCCAAAAAACATACAGATGCTTGAATGTTTCACGCTGTACATTACAGTATTGCTATTTACCTATTTATATTATTTTGAGGATATATTTTATTGTGTTTTGTTATTATTACATATTTCTCACTCACAATGGCTTCCCATATTAATTAAAATACTGTAACTGTCATTTGTTTCACATCTTTTAAAATTTAGCGAATTTGACATAAACAAAATTAATTGAAAATTGACACAAACAAATAAAAATGTCACTTCAATAAGTCAAGAAAGAAAAAACACTAAAATTTCTGGATTTTACATCAAAGACAACTAGACAACAGCAACACCAAAGCGTAGCAAATCCCATCGAACAGCCATGGCTGGCATTTTTACAAATAAAGTATATAGCAAAAATGGCAGCCATTTTTCAAAATGACCACCTTCTACCAAAAGTTTCATTAGACAGTTTGCCATGCTTATAGTATACCAAATATGAACAAAATCGCTCCACTACTTTTCGAGTTACAGCAAAAATCGTAAAATAACGAGTAAAGGCTGCCATTTTTCAAGATGGCTGCCATGTGCTTCTTTAACATAATTCTAATTTCCTATAACTTAACTTCCTATATAATTTTTTTACATTTAAAACATATTCTATTACAGTTTTACATACTGCACCTAAATTACTGTTCGATGGGATAATAAAATGTAAGAGAACTTCCGGATCTTTACATTTGCATGACACCTGCTGGTACTAAAATTGAGACATTGGTTAATGCATGATCATTTTATGATATTATTCCTGTTGCTATGGCAGTGAGTATCAACTATGTTTTCGAAAAATTGAAAGATTTGGCCAAAGATGTTCAGTTGTTTTGAATTTGATGAACTAATTTTGGAATTCAGTAATTGCTCTGCATCTTATATATTTCAGTACAAAGGTTTTTTTGAATAGGAGAGAGTCTTATAGATTAATAATAGAGGCCTTTGGGGTATTATTTTTGTGCCATTATTTTTGTGCCACCTATGGACCCCTTTGTTATTAAACCTAAGACCATGTTGTTTTTGAGATTCCGTTACCGTGACAAAAATCCTGGAATTCCTGCTAGATATATACTCTGAAATTAAGCATGGGTGCCATGACGTTTTGTGTTATGATAAAAAATATAACAGTATTGCCAAAAAAAGTTAAATAAATTATTCACTGTATTGTAAAAAATATACATATTTTGTTTTGATGTTATATTTAAGCACAACCACCGCCACCACCACCACCATTCAGCACCACCTCTCCTACCTATTGTAAATACTTCTGAAATTTAATAAGTGTGATGAATGGATGATACTGACTGTCTTTCCGCCACCAAAAGTGAAAACTAACAGTTTGACACAGTGGCATTTTGATTGTGAATTAAGAGTTTCAATGTCAGTATAAGCCAAACAACTGGGATGTGTTCCTCAAAAACTATGAACTTCAATTTAGCAAGTCACAAATTCATAGTTTCCAAAAGTTATTTAAGACCATCGTGCATATTTATGACGGGATTTAGTTTCTATTTTGATTTGAGTCCACAATTAAGATCACAATGAACTGTACAGCGAAAACTGTAACATGAAAGTGGAACACCTCTTAGAAGTTGAGACTAGCTGACATAATGTTAAATGAACCTTTTTAAGTGGAACACCTCTTTTAGTGGAACCCTTCAGTATCAAGACCAACTTACTTCATGTTAAATGAACCTCTGTAAGTGGAACACCTCCAAGTGGAACACTTTAGAGGTACCAAAGATGTTCCAATTGACAGTTTTTACTTAAGGTCCACTTCTAGTGTAGCCTTGTAGAAGGCTTTAGCATTTGTTGATTTTTAAAATTTGGATATTTGTTTCCAAATGTAAAGCCTTGTACTACCCTGGCTCATAATTAGTCATGCTACCCTCTGACTATTATGATCTGTGCTTTGACGTTTGATGTTCATATGATCTAAATGGTCTGAAAGGTATTATTTTGACCTTTTTGGGAGTTTGAATGTGAAAGGAATGCAGGCTAATCACAGACGGTCAGTTTTCTGACAACAAAGTCTGACTGAGGCAAGAAAAATTATCTCTAATTTAAACAGCAAACATAGCATAATGCAAAGTATCGCCACCTAACCATTTGTTATAGACACCAACTGACAAACATTGAACACTGTCCATAAAAAAGTTGGAGTCTAAAACAATATGTTAACACTTCTGTTGGTGACATTAGAGCTATATCTAATTTGAATAGTATACAAAGCTCTTGCATAATATTAAATCTACTAGGTTAATTGTGATTATTGATATCAGAGTCACAGCTGCAATGGACTATGACTCAACATTTCGCTGCGGTCCAGCACCAAAATGGAGGAACAATTTGTCATGCTCTCTACATCTGTCCAATAAAATTTAAATGTTAAATGGGGTCCATTTGGTGACAAAGAGATTAACCTTTATCCTATGGTTGCAAGAATATAGATCGAATATTATTGTGAAGATATATTTTATATATGGATCAAGATATCATATTTTAGCAAAAGAAAACAAAACATCAAATATCATTTCTAAAACAGTGATATTTGATGGTTTCGGTTTTTTTCAAATAACTTTTTTTTTTAATTTCCCAAATTTTTTCAGCAACATTGTCTTTTTTTTAAGTTGCATACCCTGTCCCAATCTATCATTATCAATTCATCATTGTCTACAAAAAGACAAAGCTGGATGTTACGTAACATCATAATAAGTTTATTTTACTATAAAGTAATAAAATTAACAATGGTAATTTGTATTGAATAAATACATGTAATTTATATCATAAACTCTAATTAGCACCAAATATCAATTTAATATCAACAAAATAATTGTAGATTTGCAATTTTGTGTTCTGAATTCAGTGGGGGTTAAAAAGTAGTGACAGAGCCTTGTGTAGACATATGCCCCCCCCCCCCCTAGTCATTCAAGGGTTAATCTTGGGTCTAATGTTGTGGACCTATAGTGTTCTCCACAACATTAGACCAACTGGAATAACACAATTTCTTATTCAGAACTAGAAGACAGTTTGTAAGCCAGTTGAATGAAATATTGGAGAGAACACTGTGGTCTATATTAAGACTAATAAATCTTTTTATGTTCCGAAATTGGGCCTAATTCATGCCAAAAATGTGTGTTCCATGAGTTGAAATTTTTAAATGTTTGTTATGTCTGTCTAAAATGCAGATGACTAGATTCACACTCAATCTGTTTATTTTTTCTTCTTTTTCGAATCTTTGTTTGATTGTGCCCCCATTTGTGGTGACATCACGTTTAGCGCTCGTAATTCCTTCTTACTGAGGTTCTTCATAACGCGTTGCCGAAGTTCTTTGTGGGTCAAAGGTCGAGTGTCATCATCATCTTCCTCTTCTGATTCTGCTAAACTTTCAAGGTCATCTCTGAAAAAAATCAGTGAGAAAATATTGAGGAGGATGGCGTTTTATAGAAAGTCATATGAATGTGATAATGCTTTGCAGTAAATTCTACAAATTGTTTTGTTTATAGACTCTAAAATTATTATACTGGGAGGGATACTGTACACCTGGTAATTTATGCGCGCTACTATATTTCATGAGTTTTGAAAATATCCTTATCAAAGATAATAAAAAAAAATTTAAACGTAACAAATCTGAGAGAATTAATAGCAGCAAAATTTTGAAAACTGAAAATTGACGAAATTTAAAATTGTTACTCTCCCATAATGCAATTTTATGAGCAGACGTTCTGTACTCACCCAGTGGTTGGAGGGTTTATTTGAGGTTGTGTTGAAGGTTTACTTGCTTCTGTCTGGGTCTCAGTTGGTGCAGCCAGAGATGAGGGCTCTTCATGCTCCTTCGAAAAGAGAAATACAGATATATTTAAGATTCTCAATTTTAATGTATCCCAATTGTGAGAAAGATTGGTCTCTGAGACATTTTCTTTTCCCCATGATGTTATAAATGTATAATGAGAAAAACAGTATTGAGAAACAATTTCTGATGTTTAGAAATTTTAATAACTTCTAAATGGGAGTCCCTTGGTACTTTATGGACCGTACACATTGACTCATCTTTCAGTTTTGCACAAGGAGTATAAATGGACCTAGATTATTATTAGAGGGGTAATCATTTTCTGCAATGAATGAAAAATTTAGATAATTCAGTGGCCTACTTTTTAAAAGGATAAAAATGTAGGTCGCTGAATTATCTCCTTTTTATGTACAGTATCTAGAATAACTACAATACTTACCTTCATTTTCATGAACTCCTGAGCTGCTAAGAGCTCATTGACCCTCTGTTCTATAAGCCCTAAATACAGCATACAGTTTGTATCTTGTACACCCGATGAACTACCTAAATAAGTCACAACAAAGTTCTAAAGAAAATAGATGGCATCAAAATATAATTGGTTTGATTTATATACATATACATGCATTAATATGTTAATTTTAACTTAAAGGAGTACTACATCTTCTTTCACTCAGCTCCCATTTGTCGCCTTCATATTTTTAATGTAACATTCACGACAATCTATATGGTACCTTTACAACAAATTATAAGCAAATACAGGGAAGCGAACCTCAGGTTCAATTTTTTAGATTACAGTCACAGTGAGGCAGATGAGGCAAATTACATGAGGCTGAGGCAGTCAGGCAGATGAGGCAAATTACATGAGGCTGAGGCAGTCAGGCAGATGAGGCAAATTACATGAGACAGATGAGGCTAAAGTACATCTATTCCCTATTGGTAATGAGACAGGTAAGAACATATTTCTGATTCATACAGGGTGTTCCAAAAGTAACAGGACTGGTGCCGGCATTTTGTCAATTCTACACCGAGGATCACTAAATTTTCACAAGTTGTACTTTGAAGTTTTGCAACTAAAATTGTATAGTTTCAGAAAAAATGATAAAATATGGGTAGAGTTATGGTTACTATAGTAACATGATATCACAATACCCGGGGCAACTTTTTTTTTCTAACATGTTTGTATAACTTCAATAAAGTAACTAATTCACCTATTACATTACAACATTTCTTGTATGTTTTATTAGTTGATTTGTTGCAATTATGCAATATAACTCAGATTCAAGTATGATTTCACAAGATTAATATTTATCTAATTTCTTGGAATATCACTTTCTATAATCGCACAATTCACGGTTGAGTTTTATGAAACGACCCAATTTGAAGCCAGTCATCCACCTTGATAAACTGCCTGCTATAGGAATTCATGCAGCATTAAATACCATTGCACCTATAGAAGAGCTAGTTCTCAAGGTCTAAGGTCTACGAACATGGACCATATACTCTTCTGATTATGCAATATCTAAGTTTTATTTATATGGGAAATAGAATGATTATCAGTGTGGTAAGACCTTTAAAGATGAGAATGACCTTCTCCGAGTGAGAATGACCTTCTCCAAGTTGTCCAAGCGACCCTGCGATGTCCTCAAATGGGCTCACTCATATGTTTGAGTTATGGATACAGAGTGTTACTCTTGTAGTGACCAAAGAGGAACCTACTTTTCAAAGTAGGGGGACAGGAATATCAAATGATGAACAGCAAATGTAATTCCCATCAGTTGCATTTCAACTTTGATATATGGGATGTACAAAATATTTAAAGTCTGAGAAACTTTCTGCGTGGAATGTTGCCCCGGGTATTGTGATGTCATGTTACCATAGCAACCATAACTATACCCGAGCTTCATATTTTTAGTCGAAACTTTGCAGTTGTAGTGACAATACAGGAAAGTACATTATGTAAAAATTTGAAGACAATTGGTGCATATTTAACAAAATACCAGCACCAGTCCTGTTACTTTTGGAACACCCTGTATTCATTTTGTAAAATATGTAAAATGCATAATACAAATATACCTAGCATATCATCAATAGGTTTTGGATTACATCCAATTCTGCGAAACATGATATTAATGCCATCTTTCAGTTCTTGCATGATTTTGTTGATAGCTGTCAATTGTCTCGTAGATGTGTCAGATTCGTCCTTTGCCTGGCTGAGTTTAACCTAGAATAATGTGGTCATGGTTTTATATTCAAAATAAAGTAAAAAGTGTGGAATTAGTAAAGAATAAAGTAAATGGACAAGTATACATTAAAGTGAGTCACTCTAAATTGTATAGAAATGCCGAAATTCTGTCATCTCTCTCACTTTGCACTGCAAAGGACAGAAGGACATATAGTTGGAGAAGGACTGTGGCTTACCACGATGGTAATCTGTGTTTTTATTCAAATTAAGTTAGAAATCGAGTGAAATCTGCAAAAAATAGAGTGAAGAGACATACTCTAAATTGTACTGAAACGGCAAAAATTTGAATCCTTTAATCCTTTGAAAATTTAAAGAGAACTTGATTACAATTTTGCAGAGCTAAATTCTGAAGAGCTCAATATCTAGAAAATCCTATATACATACTATAGTGGTATAAGTTTGACCTTTTCTTAAAAATCAGGGCCTACTTTTTGACATTTTGGTCCACTTCTCCCCATAGATCCATCTTTTAACTCACCTCAAGTTTCCTGAGCATTGTAGATTTGGCAGATACAACGTCATTGTCTTGTGCCTTGTACAAGTCTATGTCAGTCTTTAGGCTCGTTGTCTGCTCTTGCATACATTCAACCTATGTACAGGTAAGTCAGGTATAATATTAATTTACAGTGTACTTTAATTTAATTTCTTACAGTTATTTTGTAATTGTCTTGCATCAAGTCTCTGATGCAAAAAAAGATTTCTATGGTTATTGCACTAAACTACAAAGATTTTGTGACATTTTCTTAGTAACATCAACCTATCATCTGAATAATCAAGATATAACTTACCTCAAAAACAAACCTCACTATTGACTTACCTCACTATTGGCTTACCTCACTATTTAACTCATTGACATAATTGAAGAGGGCAAAATTTTGATCCTCAGTTTTGATGAAGTCCTCAACTATTAGGTCAATGTCTTCATTGTTTGTGATCTCACGTATTCTCTCAAAGGCTTGTTCATATGTTGTTATTAATAGTTTGTCAGCATCTGCAGACTTCTCACCATCTCCTGTAATGTTTAACATTTCTCAATAAGCTGGATGCCAGAGAAAATAGATACAGTGAAACCTGTCTAATCTGAACATCTCTACTGGGCCAGTGTTTGGATTAACAGGTGTTCAAATTTCAAGGTTTTATAAATATGTGAGTCAATGGAGATAACAAAATTGGGACCAAAAAATTAACATTGAGAGGTATTCCGAGATATATATTCACTGTGCCGTATAAAATCTGGATTTTAAGGATTACTGTTATTCAAAATTCAGTTCAAATTATATAAGAATGCCTACACCGAAAATAGCACCTGTGGTTTAAAATGTTGTGGAAATGTAATTTTTCTATTGATAGGATGTTATCCGGTATAAAGTCATGGAAATAGTAAATGAATGGTAAAAACGTATTTTTTAAACTTTACACAGGGCTTTTAAATATGCTACACTCACCTCTTTTCTTTTTCATTGCTTCTTCATTTTTATAAAATATCCTATCATTCATTTTAATTAGCATGAATTCCTTCAGCTTGTTATCATGACTGATCATTCTTTCCAAGTCTTTCATCTCAGCTTCATGCTGCGCTCGCTCTTTAACACTTCGCTCCCGTATGGCAGCCATCTTGTTTTGGGCCTCATCTCTGAAAGTTCAAAACAAGACATAATCATACAAAATGTCACCACCTGCCATTTGTTACAGACACAAAACACCAGAAATGGTAAAACAATATCAATGAACGTGTGTTAGTTTAAAAGGCCTCATGCAATAATAGTTCAAATATTATGTTTATTTTATCCACACCACTGGATTGATTAAGTAAATATTTTTTATTATTTCAAAAATTAAATGTTATTTTTAACTTCATGCATGAAATTTTACAGCAAATTTAGGTTTCCATGTGTGCTACCTACAGAAGGTTAATGAAAACACAGAGCTAAGGGTTGATGTGAAAAGTCAGTCCACTCCTGTGGGATCAGACCCATAACCCCTCGTTTTCCAGGCGAGTGGTCTAGAGAACATTTATCCATCAGTATATTATTGAAACCTAACATACCTCTGCTCATATGCCTGTGTAGATTGTTGAATAACATCAGCAACCTCTTGTTTTGTTTCCGTCAGTTCACGCTGCAGCTTCTGGTGGAGATTGTTGAATACATGACGTGCCTGGCGTAATTTGTCAATCTCATGGCGGAGTCCTGTGTTGGTTGATAACTGGCGGTTGAAATTCACCATGGCCTGTTGCAATAAAAACAAGGCACACAAAGATATAATATTGCACTTCAAAGAGCAAAATGGAAGGCATCATGTGATTTACCCTTAATTGGCACTTTGAAAAATTCAGGAATTTTGTTTATGGATACTGTTGTCATGTATTTCGTCTTATTGGTGTGACGTCATATAGAAATGATATTAGACATGATGGAATCACGAAATGGCGGACACTTGGCAGTTTTGAGCAAAAAACATTGTCGTTTCTTTTATGAAAACCATGGGTCGGATATTTACCAGATATGTCGATTTGACTAGATCATGATTATTTCTATATATGTGCGAAATTTTGGTGAAATTCATACTAAACATCGATGCCTCTAAGCGCCCCCAGTATTTGTGAAAATCGGGGGGCGCTTAACCGCTATCTAAATCATGTCAGTAAGATCTTAGACTTGGTATGTGCTTAGCATGGATGTTGATCTAGTCAAATCGAACGGTTTCATGAAAAATAAATCAATAAAGCACGAAATATAGAAGATAATCTCTCAAAATCAAACATCTAGAGCTGGGTGGCCTAATTGTGACGTCACTACAAGATAGAATCCATTCGGTGATCGCAAATCATCAATTGACAGAAAATGACCGGAACAAATTTTAACAAGATAAACAAGAAAGGTAAATATGAGTCATCTCTAATCTCTGAGGTTTTCCCTCCTCTTAAGTACCCCCCCCCCCCAACTACCTTACCTTGTCCAGTCTATTTTCAAGTACAGCTATTTGCTTTTTCTTTGAGACATGCCTGTGTTCACTGCCCATGATTCCACCAATACTTTTCCTGGTACCCCCCCCCGAACCACCTTACCTTGTCCAGTCTATTTTCAAGTACAGCTATTTGCTTTTTCTTTGAGACATGCCTGTGTTCACTGCCCATGATTCCACCAATACTTTTCCTGGTACCCCCCCCCCCCCGAACCACCTTACCTTATCCAGTCTATTTTCAAGTACAGCTATTTGCTTTTTCTTTGACACATGTCTGTGTTCGCTGCCCATGATTCCACCAATACTTTTCCTGGTACCCCCCCCCCCCCCCGAACCACCTTACCTTATCCAGTCTATTTTCAAGTACAGCTATTTGCTTTTTCTTTGACACATGTCTGTGTTCGCTGCCCATGATTCCACCATTATTTTTCCTGGTACCCCCCCCCTGAACTACCTTACCTTATCCAGTCTATTTTCAAGTACAGCTATTTGCTTTTTCTTTGACACATGTCTGTGTTCGCTGCCCATAATTCCACCAATACTTTTCCTGGACTTGTTAATCTGACATTCCATCTTTCTAATCTGTTAAATTAAACATTTTAATAAGATTTTATAAAATTCATTTTTATAACTTACACGACTCTGAGTGTTTCATATGACAGCCCCATAATCTTTACAGCAGGGTGTTTCAGAATGACCCCCCCCCCCCTCAATCTACAGCCAAACCTAAATCAACTGGCTCCTTAATCTATTTATTCTAATATCAAAATAAAGCTTAATGAATTTTGGACTTATTGGCCAAATATTTGCAAGATTGATTGATACTCAGCATGATTTATGAACTTATGTTTGGTAGTCACTGTCACCCTAATTTAGATTATTTAAGACTACTATTTATATTGGATTTAAGTAGATGAGTATATTGCCTTATTTAAATCCATTGTATTATTTAGAGCACTTGGTAATATCTTGAAATATTTAAGACACTGATGAATAATTCCGTATAAATTTGGCTCTCACATTCGTATGATAGTTCAAAAATGATAGTGCAGAAATGAGCACTGACTTTCATATGATATATAGGGTATGCTATCTTGGATTGGCAGTTTAGGGAGAATGTCAATATAAAACACAATGTACATGTACATAGTAACTGGGCTACTGGGTGACTGGGTCAATTCAAGATTTTTATTTTTCAATTTCAGGAACTTTCTAATGAACACCTGTCCCTAATAAATGTCATTACTTGGACAAACTGCATTGTTTTCTGTAAAAAAACTCAGGATGTGCAAATGGAAAGAAATGCTCAAAATGAGGTCTAAGGCAAATAGTATATCCAAAATAATTAGCATACAGGTTCTACTACATGTCACCTGAGCATCGTAGTCTGCAATTTTCTTATTTTCTTCCTCTATTTGTTTCATATATTCATCATTTGCTTCTACTAGTGAGCGCAACTTCTTAGTGTTTTCTTTATCCTTAATCTTCATCTGAGGACTGTCCGTATTCATCAGGTTAGTTTGGATCTCACGGTTCTCAGCCTCGAGAGTTCGAATTTCAGCCCTAGAAATAAAGCATTTAGAGTGAAGTGTCTTTTTAATAATAATCTATTTCATTATTAATTAAGCATGTATATAAACAAAATTGATATAAGGAAATCATCTTAGTTCCAGCTTAAAATTATTGATTTATAACCTAAAATAATTTAAATAATTTTTCTATCCGTAATCTTTAACAAAATTGTACTCCATATTTTTTCCTCCTTTTCAAAGAAGTGAAGACCAAACAGGGGGGGAGTGGGGCCTGCCCCCCACCCCTGTAGTCTACTGGATCGGCCTGTGAGAGATCAGAATAGATATACCTTTGTTTTCTCATGAGGTTCTGTGCTTCTTCTGTGTATGCTCTTCTGTCACCTTCCATGATGCGGTACTGGCGGGACAGCTTTGCCAGTTCTTGTTCTTGTAATCCATCTTCCCCATCATTGTCATCTATCTCAGAGACTGCACGATTCATGGTGAAGTCAAATCTGAAAATGGACAAGTTACATAATCTCTTTTTGGTATTTGTCCTGGGGTGTTGGTTTACCAATTATCTATGTATAAGCCTTAAGAACTAAGGCTGAAATATGTCGAAGCTTGAGGCTGAGATGGGCATACAGAATACAGAATTACAGATACAACTTAGGGGGGGGCGGATCCGCCACTGTCCAGGGTAGCCGTTTGGTTAAAGATTTCAATTGAAACGTTGATTAAAAATAATTATTTATTTCAAAAGAATTTAATTTCAATTCAATGAATAAGAATTTGACTCAAAAATTTGAATGATGATTTTTCAATTTTGAAAAAAAATGGCAAATGCAGTGTCATAATCAATGTAACAATAAGCACGCATTTTCTCTCAAATAAACCATTGGAGCTGACAGATAGTATATTTTAGCAATATCACAAAAAATAGTTAATATTATTAAAGTAGCAGAACACTTACATATCGAAGAAAGATTTTGAAATTAGAAAATGCAAACTCAACAGATTGAGCGTGTCCTTGGCTATCATGAAACTACTGTTGCTGAAATAAAATGATTAATCATTGCTTGACTAATTTGTCTTAAAATCAGCTGAGAAAGTGAAATTTACAATCTATAATTAATATTCGAAAACTGTTTATGGGAATAATTTCTTTAAATTGAATTATTTCGGCAATATTGGTGCAATGAATGTACAAATACAGCAAAAGTGTTTCCTGTCATCGTCTTCAAAGCTCTACCGGATTACGCCAAAGTTCAAAACATCAAATATTGTCAAATGGTTCAAAGTTCGGTCCATATAAACATCAAAATATGTATAATCCGAACATATCAGACTAATAGGTCAAAAACGTCGTGTTTATGAATATACATAGACACTTTTGGAAATAGTAATGAACGTTTTTCGTTCTTGCATTCGACTTCAGAAGAGTCTAAAGATAGCACACATTTCCAATTTTCCTGAAAAGATCCAGCAGCAGAATCTAGCCAGTATACATGTGTCAGTGATACAGCCGAATAGAAAAATGGCAACATATAACAAAAGGAGATACCTGAAGGATGAAATTCTGACACTTGAAAAAATTGATGAGAACACATATAGGTACGGTCCGACTTGACTTACGTTTCTCCTTAATTCCTTATATGAGGATAAGGAAGTAGGAGTTTCGGTGAAACGCAACTCAAGTCCATGCATTGATATAAGGTACATGGTAGTCAGTCTGAGACTTACACATTGGCTTTCACCGAAGGCTGCGCAAAACATTTGTATATCTCCAAAATATTGTAGATAAATGGTATAGAGCTACTGTTGAGTGTCAATATTTTTCCAGTCAAAATTTCTTTTGACTTACAATTAGTCTGAAGAGGAGTAATATCCTCATACGATTGAGAGTATACTGTAGTTCCTAAGCGATTCAAAATAACATGGTCCATGACAAATTTCCATAAAACCGAAAAAGCCCATACTCAAGGATATTACTATCCTCTGACACCAAGCTTTACATACTAGTATTGGAAATCCTTGGAAATATAAAGAGTGAGCCAAAGTTCATCACCATTGTAGAGGTTTATGAATTTCTATTACATTTCAGGGCAGATAGCGATAATCTGTGGCATCCAGCAGGGGCTAGAGCTGTGTATGGAGGTCAGATATATGGACAAGGATTATATGCAGCTATTAAAACCCTCAATAACCAGGCACTACTAGCACATAGCATGCACTGTTATTTTGTAAGGGCAGGTAAGGCATTTATTAATCCGCACATACTCATCACATTTTCTATTTTACAATAAGCAAAGTTCCAGATAGGAATAAATAGAATGCAATGATCTTTCCCAAGTACTTACAAACTACTGTGCTGTACCAATCTGTATTGCTACTGATATTGTCTCCATTGATCATCTCCGTAGCTATACAGGAAATATTGGTACGGAGGAGAAAATCTCAGTAACAATACAGAGAATACAGAATATTTGGTAGGGATTATCTCCTAAGTAAAATGTATTAGCGTAAGATCTCAAGATAAAAACGTTATTGAATGATTTGAAGTGCAATACAGGATATATTGTGCTCTCGATATTCTGTATTGGCACTCGACTTCATCTTGTACCAATACAGATTTTCTCAAGCAAAACCTGTATTGAACTTGAATTCATTCAATAACTTAAAGTACTTTAGTAAGGAAAGCTCATAGTGAGACAATAAACTACAATGGAAAGTTGATTTATGTTGCTTGTAATAAAGAGTGTGTTCTTGATGTTTTCCTTCAACTACAAATCAGAAAATAATGAGAAAAGGTTTCCCATTCTCATCAAAGATGGTAAAAGAACTGCTGACCATTTGTCTTATAAATACATGTTCTGCAATTATCTTTATACAACTCTATTACAGGCAATCCCCACAAGCCCATTACCTACCATGTTGAGCATATACGTGATGGAGCCAGTTTTTGTACACGCAGAGTTGTGGCTGAACAACATGGCAAAACTATAGTGATAATGCAGTGTTCTTTCCATAAGCCTGAGGTGAGTCTGGCAGTCACAATGATGATCACTGCATGCTTCTTTGGGTCTCTAAATTAATCATTTATGTCTTTAGACCAAGACATCTTTTTGACACATTTTTTTGTTAATTTTTGAAACATTAGGGGTGGCAAAAATTGTCACTTACATTTCTAGATAATGATTTTTTGGGGTTATTTGGCAATAGTTTTGAAAAGTGGATGTCCCATTTTTAGATTCAGTAATTTTTATTGTATTTGATATTCATATCTGATCTCAATTTCTTTACATATAATATGATTAGGATTGCAAGCGAAACTATATGCTTTTTGAAAAGGTAGTATCATTATTTTATACTTTTTTCTATTCTTTGCTGCAACTTTAATGCAGTTATTATGTCATGCTGTTATTTCGGACTACATTATGACAAAAGACTATTAAATTTTGTACAATGCTATCTTGTTAGGTTGGAAAGCTTAACCATCAAACAGAAATGCCAAAAGTCCCACCTCCAGAAAAAGTCATGTCTATACAAGAAATAATGCACAACATTCTCAAGTAGGTATCCAGGTTCTAATATCTTCAAAACATAATCTGATAATTGCCACATTGTAAAGTTGCTATGTAACTCTCCCTTCATACTGTACTCAAACTAATATTTGATGCTTTTATTGTGTGTTTTTGCGATTTTCATGGCTATTAGGGCTATTTTCAAAACTTTGCATCTATTTAACCTTTTTTATAGAGAGGCTTAAATAGAGGAGTTGTTGTCGCCAACATTTTGATTGGAAATGTAAATCATTTTCAGAGATAACAAACTACCTGAGAAGAAAGCATATTACTTTAAAGAGAGACTAAAAGCATACAATGATGAATTACCTCTAGAAGTTAAACCTGTAGATATAGAAAAATTCCTAAAATTGAAGAAAACTGAACCCTCGTCACAATTATGGATAAGGGCTAAGGATAACTTAGGTAGGCATGTGCGAAACAAATTATAGTCCTCAGGGAATTATGGTCCCCATGTGACCTTTCTGGATCATATTGAATATAAACTACCGAGAAAAAGTTAATGGAGAGAGAAACCATAATTTGCTAGAACCAAATATGTTGTAACAATTAAATGGTCAAAAATCAAAGTTCTTCAAATATTTACTCACAGGGGTTTGGTAAAGTGAAATTTCAGTCATGTAAAAAAACTGAATACACTTTTGGTATACACAGCTATTAATTGATAATGGACTAGTCAGTTACAACAACAGCGTGACTGGTGTGGAACACCCCCATCTGCATTCTAAAATCATAGTTAAGTATGGTACATTAAGAGTATGGTATTGTATAGTACCATTTGAGTATGGCACCATAGACTTTTCACAGGATGTTATGGTACCATTTTAGTATGCGTTACCGTACAGTAACATATTTCACTGTACCATACAGTACCTATCCAAAACGGTACCATACGATACTGTTGCAGATTGGCTGTGTACACAACGGTTACATATTTATAACTCTTGAAAATTTGCATTAGGCCTATTAGGCTTTTTTTCTTTTTTATTTCGTCTGAAACTTTATAAAAATTTGAATCTTTATTTTACAAAATTTCAAAAATGTAAAGGGGGATATGTTAATAAATCATTTTATTCATTGATTTATTCTAGCTTATCCATGTTATTATGTTAATTAAAGTTATTCCCTTTGTTTCAGAAAATGCAAGCTGTAATATGCATAACACAGTAGTAGCCTGGCTCACTGATTGGTCACCTCTTGGTAAGTTACACACTGATCAGTCTTGTTCACAACCCAAGGTTATCCCATATTAATGATTTATGGAACCCCAATCGACCTTTCCAATAAATCCTGTTCCTGTCACTGCATCAAAGAATGAATAATGTGTAATTACGGTATTGCTTCACAATGTTACAATAAATGAATCAAACTAATATTTTTTTCCTTCTAATTTTTTTTCTTATGTGTTGGCAGATTCAATATCAAGTAATTTGATTTTATGTTTGAGGTGATCACAGAATAATTTTCTAGAGTAAGCAGAAATACTATCCTAGTATAGTATAGCCAGGTGAGGGAGTAGTAAAAACATTCACAGACGACCAAATATAAAACCTATTTTTAAAATAGCAGTTTTCATAGAGTATTTCCGCTCGTGCTCGTTGGAAAATACACTACATGTTTCCAGCCCCTGAAGCACACCCACTGAGTCTCATATGCCATCTATTGATGATCTCCTGTGACTGCATTTTTTAATTAAATGCAAATGGTCATGTATCAGCTTCAGACTCATTTTGTACAAAGTTTGGTCATGACTTGATCATTGTGTATGGAACAAATGAGAGCTGATGATTTATTCACTTCTATTTTAGGTACAGCGCTGCAGCCAGACACAGACTTTAATGTACGACTATGGGCTTCCCTAGATCATTGTGTATGGTTTCATGAACCAATGAGATCTGACGACTTATTCACTTCTATTTTAGGTACAGCGCTGCAGCCAGACACAGACTTTAATGTAGGACTATGGGCTTCCCTAGATCATTGTGTATGGTTCCATGAACCAATGAGATCTGACGACTTATTCACTTATATTTTAGGTACAGCGCTGCAGTCAGACACAGACTTTAATGTAGGACTATGGGCTTCCCTAGATCATTGTGTATGGTTCCATGAACCAATGAGATCTGACGACTTATTCACTTCTATTTTAGGTACAGCGCTGCAGCCAGACACAGACTTTAATGTAGGACTATGGGCTTCCCTAGATCATTGTGTATGGTTCCATGAACCAAAAAGATCTGACGACTTATTCACTTCTATTTTAGGTACAGCGCTGTAGCCAGACACAGACTTTAATGTAGGACTATGGGCTTCCCTAGATCATTGTGTATGGTTCCATGAACCAATGAGATCTGACGACTTATTCACTTCTATTTTAGGTACAGCACTGCAGCCAGACTCAGACTTTAATGTAGGACTATGGGCCTCCCTTGATCATTGTGTAATGGAACCAATAAGATCTCACGATTTATTCACTTCTATTTTAGGTACAGCGCTGCAGCCAGACACAGACTTTAATGTAGGACTATGGGCCTCCCTAGATCATTGTGTATGGTTCCATGAACCAATGAGGGCTGATCAGTGGATGCTTATGCAGTTTGATAGCCCTAAAGCAGGTGCAGAGTTATTGAAAAATTGAATTTTGTTAGTTAAAGTAAAGTTTTAAAATACCAGGCTCGTAGCCAGGGGGGTTCGCAGGAAGCCTCCGCCCCTGGCCAAAAATTCTTTCAAAATCATGCAGTTTTTCACCATTTTGAGCACTTCTCAAGTGATTTTAGCCATATTTGGGCCAAAATTGTCAAATGTGGACCCCCCTCTGGAAATTTTTGAAAAATTAACCCCCCCTTGGCAAATCCTGGTTACGGGCCTGAATACAGTATAGTTTAATAATTCAAATATATCTTTTCATGACTTGAAAAACCATTTGAGACACATTTTTGGAAAAATGTCACTCTTGAATTTCCCACCATTTTATGTCTGTAATAATTAAATTATGAAGATTTTGAATTTTTGGAAAATATGCATGACAATGAGCGATTTAAACTGATAGCCGCAGAAATTCAGACAGTTTTGGAAAATATATCTCTGATTTTCTCTTTACTGAACACTATAGAATTAAATGTAGATATTATCATTAACATCATTAACCTTGAAAAATTTAACTGACTAATGGATGGCTTCTGTTTGAGATTCTAAGCACTGATATAAAATTTAAAAAACCTCGAAAAACCGAAGAACCAACTAATGAATAACTTCCAGCTCTATCAATAAAAAACAATAAGATAAAAATAATAATCTGATATTCTTGCAGGCGGAGGTCGTGCAATAACTTTTGGGAAACTCTGGAGCCAAGATGGACGTTTGGTGGCAAGCATGTCACAAGAGGGCCTCCTAAGATCAAAGATTTGATGAGAACTTAGTACATTTAGGAAAATATAGGATTTGGATTACAAAGTCGAACTGTCTATTGATAAAAAACTTCATAGGGAAATTATTGTCTTACTGTACGCCCGGTATTATTCGCATGCGATTTAGTTTCGCGCTTTTCGCGAGGGTGTTAAAATCGCGAAAAATTATCGTCGCGAAAATTGCCAATTAAATCCCCGGGAATTTGTTTTTACCCGGGGCTCTGATGCATTTCGTTTTGTGTAGTTTGGATCGAGTTATAGTACTTCAATAGTACTGTGCAACTCCATGACTTTACTATGCGCATGCGCGGCAATGAAATAGCACGTGCGCACGATTGTTCACATGATCGTAGCCTGCAATTTGATTGGACATCATATACTGGGGAATCCCGAATACTATAAAATACAGTATGAAGTACGGTAAAGTTATTATGGGAGCCACGCACTTTTGCTTTAATATTAAAAATGACGATGCAATAGAGGTTGATATGCAGCTTGCCGATGATAAAGATCCTAGTTATTGTAAATCTCATCCAAATATGACATCAGGTAAGTGCAATTACTGTACATCTAACTTAATTTACACATGAGTAGCTCGAGAATTCCTGGAATAGTAATGAATTTCAAACTTGTGAAATTCACGAAATTTAATAGCCGCGAAATCGTGTTTTCGCAAAATTCGCGAAATTAAATCTCGCGAACAATACAGGGCATACAGTATTCATTTTAACAGGGCTTGTCCAATACGGATATTAGTTAGCTGAACTTCAAACATTGGCTAATTAACAATTAAAATTGGAAGAAAATAGACAAAACAAAACATCATTTATATTAATAATTGATTATGGACCTCTATCTACCATACTTGCATCAGCCGTCCAGCGCTTGCATTAGGTTAGAAAATTTGTGAGTCCCAAGGACGCAATTTTTTTTAAAAAGTGTGTCCTTTGAAAAAAAAGTGTGTCCCCTATTTCTAGCCTGTTTTGAGGTATAACTTCTTGCCGCGAATTTAAAACGGAAGTAAACGTTAAGTACGGACTGAATAAATGCATGTTCGTTCATTCGACAATAAATACATTTTATTTCATGAATAACCTGATATTTGTTTCTGAATAAGAAAAAATGTGGCGTGTCATGGTTTCAAATCTAAAAATAAACAAAGTCGAAAAAATTCGAGAGAATCATGATTATTTGTAAATATTCAACATGTTGAGCCTTATTTACGATTCAAATAAAGGTGAGAGATCATAATTATTTGTTTCTGTTAGGTATCGTTGAAAACACATTGTAGTATTGACCTAAAAAAAAATTGCGTCCAAAAAACAGAAATATTTTCAATTTTTGCGTCCTCCAAATTATTTGTACGGGACACCGTTAATGCAAGCCCTGGCCGTCGTTTTAGGACTGGCTAAATTGGTGTGACAAGCCAAGTAGCAAGAAAGAAAATGATGGGACATTTTAGTGTTCAAATTATATTGACTTTTTTACCATATACAAACTTATGCAGTATTTTTGTGTTTTTAATGAGGCCCTATATGATTTAATAATAAAACAAAAACAAATAAAACATAGTTCATGTCATTATTTTTGTACAATGAATAAAAAAAATGGTGCATGACCTAGAGTGCTCAGGCCCGTAGCCAGGGGGGGTTCGCAGGGTCCGGGCGAACCCCCCCCCCCCCCTGGCCAAAAATTCTTTCAAAATCATGCAGTTTTTTACCATTTTGAGCACTTCTCAAGTGATTTTAGCCTAAATTGGGCCAAAATTGTCAAATGTGCACCCCCCCTGAAAATTTTTGAAAATTGAACCCCCCCCTTGGCAAATCCTGGCTACAGGCCTGGTGCTTCATACTAGGATCTCGAACCAATGACAATGACCAAACGTTTTGGAAAATTAGTATGAAGTTGATTCATGAAAGGTCAAGTCCAGTCTGTATCCTAGCCAGTCATCAGGCCTGTAGACTTTGATTTTAAGTATGTTTTATTTTTCTGACTGGTATACATGTATCTGATTTAGAGGTAGAATAATCAGTGCTCTCAAAACCTTTTTCAACAGGGATCTGAATCCTAAAATATCGTAACAATGTCAGTAAACAAACAACATCTTCGTTTACTTGGTTTGTGTGAGTATTGTAAAATCTGGGTGTACAAAGATGGGTAAACAGAGAATCAAAGTCTACTGGCCTTAGCTGTGATTTCAAGTCTCCATGTCATCCTTACACTCCCTAGATGTCTGAATTAGATACAGTTTTTTGAAAGGGTGATTGTCAATATGCAGATAAAGTGAAGTCAAATAATTATATTACAATATTTTGTGTCACTAATTTGTAGATCCAGATAAGTTTGATTTCTAAAACCAACAAAAATTTTTTTAATTTCTCTTTGAATAAATATGATACACTAAAACTGATTGTCAATAATGAAAATGCATTTTAACACCTTCCCATGAGGCAGTCATTTAGTAGAATTTATAGCGAAACATGGAACCACGTATGAAGTGTGCATGTAGATATTGCAGTCTCTACTCCCATCACACTCTAACAAAACAACGATTTTTCTTAAATGGTATCAACACTTGGATTTTATTTTTATTAACAAAATCTTAATCTACAATCTGCTGCTAGCACAGACGCATAATAATACTGTAAGTATGGCGACTACATAATATATTGCCTCTTATGACACTTTTGGCTTAATAACTTTAGTTAAGCAATCATAAACTCTGTCCAATCTAAGACTTTATAATTTTGGAATCTTCCTTCTTTTAGAACAATAGTTTAAGATTGCTTAGGGGAACTAGATTATACAGATACATAAATAAATAAGCCTGACATGATTTAAACTCCTGGAACTAGCTTTAACAATGTATTTAAATGTAAATAAATATTATGACTTTATGATAATATTATATAATACACATACGATCATAATCTGGTATGGACTCTTAAAAGTTTCTTGGTGTAACAGATTTGAGACATTTGAAGGATTTTTTTTTATTTTCAAATACCAACAGAATGACAGATCAAGGGACTTATAGCATCTAAATATTTGATGGAAGAATTTTGTATCAATAATATTCCAGATGAATACCTCAAAAGTCCTATATTCATCTGAAAGTCATCCTATCTGTATCAGCAGATAAAACCAGTGGATTTCAGGGCTGGCCCATTTGAGCCCTGGGCTAACAAATTTTTATGGTGATAATGACTGACATATATACAGGGTGGGCCAAAAAACAATACCCAAGTTTAATTTTCCACAATTTGGAAATCCCATACTGTTTAACCAGTGTATTCCTTCAGTATGTAATGCCTCGATGGATCAAAATGGGAAATTGACAGTGAATCATTTTTGGTCGCTCATGACACCCCTGGTGTCAATTTTAGCCTCTAACTCCACATGAAAACAACAGTTTTTCAATCAGATGGTGTCATATTGTTAGAAGATGATTTATCTTTAAAATGTTATACAATACATAGCATGGGTTAACGTTATATCATATGATATTCATCCTTTAATTTGGGTATTGGTTTTTTGGTCCACCCTGTAAGTGTCATTACCCATGATGAAAAATAACAAGTTTGGCTCAACCCCCCATCCCCTCCAATTGTAATAAATTAATTTTCAATAAATCACCTTCAATAAATGAACTTCATAAAAATTACATCTTTCAGAATATAGATCCATGGATTATCAAACTACAAAAATAATATAACCATGGTACATGACTATTGAATACATTTATACATGTAAATTGTACAATATAAATAAAAAAAATACATAAAACAGAATCCATGAAATACATAATCAATGTTTAGCCAATCAATTGTGTGGCAACAGATCTTGGCTGTGAATTGAATAACAAATTTTGACTACTTTCTATACAGCAATATTTTACATAAACAAAATAATAAAACACATTCAACTGAGACAAAAAAAAAACATTTTTTAAAAGCTGTAAAATTAAAGCATAGTTTCTTATATGTAAATGCAGAGTAGGCCTAAGTGTAGAAGTCTGAATCATCTTTAATATCCACATAATCTTAAACTCAATAGACAAAACTTAAAGTAAGTGTACATCATTTGTCATTTTTAAGAATTATCAGAACCATTATACATGGCACATGTACATTATGAACTTTTTGTTTATTAAAATATACATATTGAACTTCTTATTGTAAATTGAAACAAAACTAAATGGCATATGGTTACAGCTATATTCTGATGCCGAGCAGTGAAATTACAAGTTTTATGTCTTATAACAACTCCAAAGACAAGGCATTACATGACAAAATGTCACCACCCAATTGCTCCTATTAATTCAATCTTAGTCAGATTTGAACTTGTAGATGATTTTGAAAAATCAGTTTAAAAAAATTGGTCAGTTTGAAGCAAGTTGAAAAAAGACCTCTTCACATTGAGAACGTCAAGTCTTTAATCTAAAAATCAGATTTGAATTTCTGAGATCTTAGTAGATGATTTTGAAAACAAAGGTCCATGTGCAGTATGGCAAGTGATTTTAGACAGTCATATCTTTCACCATGAGTACTTTCTTGCCATAAAAACAATAGTTTTTATTAAACCAATATGTTTTCTTTCAAGTGAAGTCCACATGATAGTAAAATATCAATCCAACTCTCTGAAAAATTATGGATTAGGGCCCCACCCTGGCACTTTCTAAAAAATGTTAGGCTTATTTTCTAAAAAGAGGATCTTGCTTTTCTCAATTTAAACATATCAAAAGTTTCTTCTACACTATATGAACAATTTCTGAAAAGGGGATGGCTTATGAAATGCGTTAAAGTTAAAAACCACATATCCCATGTTATTTTCCCATAGGGAAAACTCGTGCTATCCATTGTTTTCAGCATCATTTGAACATCATTGAAAATTGATATCTACAAAACTAGACTTTCAATACAATTATATTTTTGAAGATATTTTAGACCCCTTGTTGAATAATCTTTTCATGCAATAAAAATCAGAAAAAGGAGATCCTCTTTTGAGTAAATAGGTTCAATATTTTGAAAAAAAATGTTGACATGGGGTCCCTATTCATAATTTTTCGAATCGTTCAATTGATATTTTTATCATCATGGGTACTTGATTTAATACAAACCACTGTATGTATGCCCAGAAAGTACTCATGGTGAAAGATATGACTGTCTAAAATCACTTGCCATACTGCACGTGGTCTTTTGGTCAATTTGAAGCAAGGTGAAAAATACCTTTTTGACCTTTTTTGACTTTGAGAAGGTCATTGAAGGTCAAATCTCAAATCAGATTTGAACTTCTGAGAACTTGTAGATGATTTTTGAAAAAATTTGAAGTCAGTGTTTGTTAATTTATTGGATGTTTTTAGAATTTGTTACCAAACACCAACCACCACCTGCCAACCGTTGTCACAGGAAATGGAGACTAAAACAAATATGTCACCACTTTTGATGGTGACATAAAAACTACAGTATGTATCAAATAGAGACTAACTTTTCTTAAATACCCCAAAAACATAGTAAAGTAAGACCTGTCATTGTGAACACCTCTTTCTAATGAACACTTGTCTCCAGTGGACACCCTTCATCCTTACATACCCTATTGACTACTGTATAAATTACCCTCTCTGCAAAATGTTCAATATACATAGGTTTTACTGTACATGTATTGCTGTTAGTTAATAGGTGAAACTGTTGAGGGTCTGGACAGCTTCTGAATGACAGTAAAAAACCTTGTAAGTTGAAACACACAATTTGTGATGAGATTTGCTTATTTCTTTCTGATTCAATTTCATCAACATTGAGAAGGTTAAACCATGTAAATTGCACAATTTTAATTGCCATGTAATATTTAAGAATGGTCCAAGTGAATATGGATGTTACAAACACACAATTTATAATATGATTTGCCTCTTTCTTTCTGATTCAATTTCATAATTGCACAAATTAATTGCCATGTAATATTTAGTAATGGTCCAAGTCAATATGTATGTTACAAACACACAATTTATAATATGATTTGCGTCTTTCTTTCTGATTCAATTTCATCAACCTTGACAATGTTAAACCATGTAAATTGCACAATTTAATTACCATGTAATATTTAGTAATGGTCCAAGTGAATATGGATGTTACAAACACACAATTTATAATATGATTTGCCTCTTTCTTTCTGATTCAATTTCATCAACCTTGACAACGTTAAACCATGTAAATTGCACAATTTAATTACCATGTAATATTTAGTAATGGTCCAAGTGAATATGGATGTTACAAACACACAATTTATAATATGATTTGCGTCTTTCTTTCTGATTCAATTTCATCAACATTAACAACGTTAAACCATGTGAATTGCACAATTTAATTACCATGTAATATTTAGTAATGGTCCAAGTGAATATGGATGTTACAAACACACAATTTATAATATGATTTGCCTCTTTCTTTCTGATTCAATTTCATCAACCTTGACAAGGTTAAACCATGTAAATTGCACAATTTAATTACCATGTAATATTTACAGATTTAGAAATGGTCCAAGTGAATATGGATGTTACAAACACACAATTTATTATATGATTTGCCTCTTTCTTTCTGATTCAATTTCATCAACCTTGACAACGTTAAACTATGTAAATTGCACAAATTAATTGCCATGTAATATTTAGTAATGGTCCAAGTCAATATGTATGTTACAAACACACAATTTATAATATGATTTGTGTCTTTCTTTCTGATTCAATTTCATCAACCTTGACAACGTTAAACCATGTAAATTGCACAATTTAATTACCATGTAATATTTAGTAATGGTCCAAGTGAATATGGATGTTACAAACACACAATTTATAATATGATTTGCCTCTTTCTTTCTGATTCAATTAATTTAACCTTGACAACGTTAAACCATGTAAATTGCACAATTTAATTACCATGTAATATTTAGTAATGGTCCAAGTGAATATGGATGTTACAAACACACAATTTATAATATGATTTGCGTCTTTCTTTCTGAATCAATTTCATCAACCTTGACAACGTTAAACCATGTAAATTGCACAATTTAATTGCCATGTAATATTTAGCAATGCTCCAGGTCAATATTTGATTTGATAGACAATTCCAACCTAAATTACTCCAATTGTTTAAGCATATCCCATATAAAGAATACTTCACCCTTTTCACTTTTCAAGATTCATGACATTGATGTCTGTGAACATTCAGATTACAGATGGCTTTTATAACTTCAATTTATCATTTTTTTTTTTTATGTACTTATAGTCAAATACATGTGTCATTATAGCCGTTATATATTACTGTGCTGCATCATCTTTTGCCACAATGGAGTCTACACGACTACCACAAATTGTGCTTTCAGGTTCCTTAAGAAATACTGGTTCACATTCAGTTGGGTTATTTAGCATTTTGGTTTGTAAGTGATCAGAAGAAGAATGGGTAATTCGAATGTTTTTGTGCATACCATTATCAAATGGTAGATCATGTTCATTCACTGTTTCAATTTCATTCTGAATTTCTTTATCTGATTTTGTTATAATAGCCAGTGCCAAATCATTCTCCTTTTCTAGGTTATTATCATCTTCTAGGTTTGGTACAGGGTTACCAATAATGGAGTCTTCTGGCATCACCGTTTCAAACATATCATCATCTTGTTCCATTCCTGCTAGGTTCTCTTCCAAATTGCCATTATTATGATCTTTAGTTGAGGCATATTTACCATCCAACTCATTAAGAGATTTGTGTGTATCACCTTCAATTGTTTTATCTATTTCAATCTTACTCACTTTGTCATCATCTGGTTTCATCTTTTCTGGAATACCTCTTAAGTTGTCAAAATTCAATTCCCTAATTGGCTTGATATTTGCTTCATGTGTATCATTTTTAATCTTATTCACTTCAGTTGTGGTACCTCCCTTGATATTTATTGAATTTAGTTGCTGGTGTGTGGTCTCAAGATTGCCATCTATAATCTTAATTATACTAGTATCATGAGATGTAGTTTTGCCACCATCAACATTTTCACTGCTGATACTGTTTCCATCAATATGTTCTATTTTATTTTTGTCATCATGTGTAACAGCATATATACTGATGGAATCAAGTGGTGATAGATCAGCATTGTCTTTACATACAGATGGTTGCTTCAATTCTTGTGTGCTTTGGTGGTCAGTCTTCATACCACTCACAGTATTTATACTAATACTTTCAGGTGTATTGTCCTTTGTTTCAGAGTCAGTATCCAATGATAAACCAAGTACTGCTTTTTCACAATCAGATTCATTAACAGAACTGATTGAGATATTATCAATGAGTGATGCCCAGTCAGTCTCATTGTGACCCATCAGCGCTGTCTTATTCCCTTCTTCTTTGTCAATGTCACTTATCCCAACAGCACTTCCCACATTTGATTTCGCTTTGGGGCTATTAACACGAACAGTTGTTGCTGCAGATATTATAGTATTAGCAATAGTACCGATATTGATTAAAGGTTTAACAAGTACCCGACAAGGCTCAATACCATAAAGACCTGCTAAGTATTCATCAGAATGTTTCTTCTTTTTATTACTTTCGGGACCAAAGTCGGATATTTGGTAGACATCTTTTATTGTTATATTTGGCTTTGATTCACTGTCTGAATATCCAGAATTTAGTTCATCTTCATTTTTTAGCATTTCAGCGTAAATATTACCATCACCCTCCTCTACTTTGACGACTGTAAACATGGAGTGAGGCTCCAAACCATTAACAGGGGATTTGTTCTTTGTGTGATCAGATGATAAAACAAGAGATTTGGAGCATTTGAAACGGTGATTCTCAAACCATTGCCTACTTCTGAAAACTTTCTTACATCCTGGACAAACAAACAATTTTGCCATTTCTGGACATTTCTTCTTGTGCGTTTCAAACCACATAAATCGTATAAATGATTTTTTACAACCCGGGCAGCTGTAGCGTTGCACTTCATCTTCTAGACAACTTTCATTGGGTCTAGCTTGTATTGATGTCGATGTACATGTTTCAATGTGTCTTTCATACCAACCTCGAACAGCAAATGTTTTCTGACATGACTTGCATGTATGCGGCTGAGGGCCCTCTGTAAATGCTTTAGTTACAAGTTGGGCATTTTTCATCAGTCCAGGACATATTCCTTGATGCTTATCAAACCATCCAACTGCAGAAAACACCTTACTGCACCCTTTACAAGTTAGTGCTTCATCCTCGCCACAACTTTCATTTTGACATGCTTTAGTGTGCTTGTCGTACCATATATGATTTGAAAATCGTTTTCCACATGTAGAACATGAAAGATCCTGATTTTTCTCATCCTCTATGTCTCTGCATGCTTCAAGATGTTTTTCAAGCCATGCTTGTGATGAAAATACCTTTTTACATGTTTTACATATTAAGTTTGCATGTTGAGTATGTGGCAAAGGGCCATTTCTACTCGTGGATTTCTTTGCTTTTGCAGGCCCATTCTTGCTGGTACTCATAATCATTCCTTCACACACATCCCTATGTTTAATCCACCAATCAGGATCTGAGAATACCTTATTGCACATTGGGCATGTTTTAATTGGATTGGTGCAGTGTTTTCTATGCATGGAGAACTTGCCATAACTTGTGAAGGTGGCTTTACATGTAGGACAAATCAACTTCTTTTGAGTTGAAAAAGCCCAATTAGGACTGGAAGATTTATATTTTTCAGCTTCAGTACTAGTTTTAGTTTGTTGTATTTCATAATCATGACTTATCTCCTCTCTAGCTTTTATATTGCCACATGTTTGTCGATGTTTGTTGAACCAAACTATGCTATAGCATACACGACCACAAGTACTGCACACATATTCACTTGGTTTCCTATTTGAAGAAGTTTTAGTTTCTGAACAAAGTTTACGATGGCTTTCAAAATTACTCAGACAATTTCCAGGAAATTGTTTTTGGCATACTGGACATGTTAAAAATTGCTTTCCAATGGCTACACATGTTAAAATGTGTTTTTCATACCACCATTTTACAGCAAAAACTTTATCACAATTTTTACAAATCATTTGGTCGGTAGGCTTATTTGTTTCTGATGATTCACTCTGGACCTTTTTCTTAGGACAATAAAAAATGTGTCTGTCATACCTCCATTTTGCAGTAAAAACTTTCTCACAAGCTTTGCAAATCATTTTTTCTGTTGTATCACTATCATTGCTTTTAGACGAATCAGAACTGGCTTTTTCCTTGGAGACACATGATAATATATGTCTTTCATACCAACCTTCTGTGGAAAACACTTTATCACAATTTTTACACTTCATATGTCTATATATATCTGATCTTTCAGTGTTAATATCTGCATTTGGGCAATATGCAACATGCCTGTTATACCATTTTTCAAACATAAAAACCTTGTCACAAGTTTTACATGTCCATTGTGTCCGTTGCTCTGGTATTTCAGTATCGTCATCATTTGTACAAGTTATGCTATGTTTTTCATACTGATCCCAGGAAGTAAATACTTTCTCACATGTTAAGCAGGCCAATTGCTCTTCCATACAGGATTCAACATGTTTATCATATTGCCCATGTGTAGTAAACGTTTTATCACACGTGGGGCATGACAACTGGTCTTTCATACACAATGTAACATGCTTGTCATACTGTCCTTGTGCAGTGAAAGCCATATCACATGTTGAGCAGACTAGTTTTTCTTCTTGAATTTCAGGCATTGCTGTTTCCATAGATGCTGTCGTACAAGGTTTATTACTTTCTGGCTCTTCTCTACCTTTGTTTTCTTTAGTACATGAAATAACATGTCTCTCATACCAACCCTCTGTTGAAAAAACTTTCCCACATATCTTACACTTTAATGGTCTATAGGTTTCTGATGATTCTGTGTCTGTTCCATTATCAGTGCAACATGCAACTTTGTGTCGATTATACCATTTTTCATACATGAAAACCTTGTTACAAGTTTTACATGTCAAAGGATTATCAGTAGCTGATGTCACAATATTTTCATCTTCTGTACATGATGCAAAATGTTGGTCATTATGGTCCTGTGTGTTGAAAGTCTGATCACATAAGGAGCCAGACAAATGGTTGTTCATACATGATCTGGTGTGTTTTTCATACTGGGATTTTGTAGTGAACATTTTGTCGCATGTTGGGCAGGACAGCTCATCTTTCATACACAATGCAACATGTTTGTCACACTGAACCTTTGAAGTGAATGTTTGGTCACATACGGGGCAGGACAATTTCTCTTGGGTACATAATGTAATATGTTTGTCATATCGACCCTTTGTTGTGAAAACTTTGTCACATAAATGACAGGGCAAATTCTCTTCCGTCTCAGATGCTGATATTTCAGAACAATTTTTCTGGTGCTTATCTAGTTTGACAGGTGTATCAAATGTCTTATGACATACTGGACATACATATTGCCCTTGGTTAGCTTTATTTAGAGAACCTTTTAGTTTTTCTATCTGCTGCTTCAAAAATTCTGGGCAAACATCCTTATGTGTTTCTAATGTAGCAGGTGTAGGAAACACCTTTAGACAAGTTGGGCACACAAACTGTCCTTTGTTAGCCTTCTCAAGAGAACCTTTCAACTTTTCAATTTGTTGTTTCAAAAAGTCAGGACATACATCTTTATGAGCTGCATATCGTGCTGCTCTGAAGTTTTTCTTACATCCGGGACAAATACACTGCTGGCTTGCCTCAAAGGGACAATTTTTACTTGCAATGGGACTGTTCTTACCAGTTCCAGGAAAGCAATTATTTCTACTAGTTGATTTTCGAGCTACATGTTTGAAAGTAACATTCTCATTCAGTTTTTTGGGAGATTTCTTTGGAGATTTGAGAAATGCTAAAGATATTTTCATTTTCTCTTTTGATGATTGCGAGTGTTTCTCAGAGATAGTGGTGATATCTAAGTCAGGTGATTCACGCCTTTTGGCCTTTTCTTTAGATTTCTTAGCTTTTTTGGCAAGTTGTGTGATAACAATGTTCTTAGCTGTTGATTTCTTTGCCACCGGCTTATTGGTTGATTTCTGATGTTTTGAAATGGTTTGGGGTTCGTTCATTGATATTTGACTCTTTGGTATGTGTATGTTTTGCTCAGCTGCATTAGTGCGACTGATTGGATAAGTTATAATTTTATTCTTTCCTTTGATATGTATCAATGATGGCTTAATTGTTTTCTTGGATATTGTTGGTATTCTTATTGTGAAAACATTTTTGTTGGTTGAGGTTACCAAGCAATCTGGTAAAGGCTTATCGCTCCTTGACATTTCTCTTGTGGATTTAATAACTTTTTTCTTGATGGGTGGTTCATAGTCCTCATCATCATCATCTGTATTGGCACTTGAAAGGTCTTCATCATCAATTTCAACTTTAATGTCATCAATGACAGTAACTTCATCTGACACTTCTTGGATTGGCTTTTTAGGACTGTATTGTGCAATGATAGATTGATTTATCCTAGTTAACTTAACCATAGGCTTTCTTAGTACAATGTCCAACCCAGGTGTCTTGTTTTCCTTTTGTATGAAGGTCTCTCCTGGCTTTTTTGTCTCTCCCGGTGGCAATGGGATAGGCTTAAGATGCTTTAGATCTAAGTGTTTTGAAACAAGTAACTCAGGTAGTTTGACTGATGTATGGGGAACAATATCTGAGTTACCAATTCCAGGTTTTCTTCCGTATTTCAAAGCATCTGGTGTGGGTGTAGGCCTTGGTCTATACTTCTCAATTCTAACAGCTTCTTCCATAATATTGTTTCTTGGGGCAGAACCTGGAGCTTCTTCCTTATGATCAACTTGTTCAGTTTCTTCACCATGTACAGCTGGGCATTCAACATCTGCTTCAGCATTTTCACTCACTGCTTGTTGTTCTTGATGCAAATTATCCTGACTATTCAAATCATAGTTGGATGATGTTCCATGCTGTTCTTCAACATTATTCTGTCTGAGATTATCTTCATGTTTTTCTGCATCTACGACACTATCTTCATCCTTTTTATCATGTTTTTCCACATTTACCACACACTCTGAGTCTATTTGTTCAAGTTCTTTAGCATTCATGTGATCACATTCTTCAGCTTTTAAAACAGACCTTGAGTCTTTTTGATCATGTTTTTCAGCATTTACCACACTGTCTAAGTCTCTGTGATCATCTTTTCGTGCATCTACCACACCCTCTGAATCTATGTGTTCATGTTCTTCAGTATCGATTTCATCTTCTGAGTCATTCTGATCGTGTTTTCCTGCATTTAACAGACAATCATCAACATTGTGGTCATGCTCTATCAATGATGCATATGAATCAAAGGTTTGTGCACATGTCTCACATGTGAATGACCTATGACCAGTGTGTTCCACCAAATGTAGGTCAAGGTCAATTTGTGTTTTATAAATTTTGGCACATTCGAATGGACAACTGAACTTTTTCTGATTTGCTTGATTACAATGTTTTTTCATTTTCAATTGTCCTTTTTTATGACTGTAATATATATGGACATTAAGACCAATGTTTGATTCAAATGAACTTCCACACAGCGTGCATTTGTAGTGATTTTTCCTATGCAAAATGTAGCCAGTATGGGTCTTAAGTCTTACACCACAAGTGTCACATTGGTACCTTGCATGTAATACCTTACCCTTATTGTGCTGATCTTTAAAGTGACAGCCTAGAAAATACTCCGATTTAAACCTTTTCTTACAGAAGTTACATTGGTATATCTCTTGACTTTGTATCAGGTCAGAATTAATAGCATGACTACCCTTTTTCGAAAAAACATCACGATTTGGGGATCTGAGAAAATTTCTAACATTTGTATGCTCATTGATTTTATGTTTTAGCAAAGTTTTGCCACTTGGAAAAAGTTGCCCACATAATTCACATGTATGTATTTTCTCACCTACGTGCGTCCTTATATGGAGTTTGTACTGTTGATAAACTGGGAAGGAAGCATTACATTTTTGGCAATTGAACGGCTTTGAAACTCCATGAGATTCTCTATGTACTAACATTGTACTCTCAAAAACAAACCTTTGTTCACACAAATCACACACATAGCTTTGCTTACAGTGTTTTCTGGTGATATGTGACTTCAATACAGTGATTCGTACACACCGAAGTCCACAGTTTCTAACAGGACACACGATTGGTGTCTTTTTCTCCAAGTTCTGCTTACGAATACCACAAAGATAGAGGTTTCCGAACCCTGAATAGCTTGTTTCTAGATGGCGATCTAATATACCTTTAGATAGGAAGTCATTTCCGCAATGTTCACATTTGAGCTTATTCAGCTTGTGTTGAAACTCATGGTTGTAGAGAGTATCTGAAAAAAGAAGAAATGCCATTGATTATTAATATCTCATGGTCACTTACAGGGTGTCCGGAAAGTAAAGATACAAATGCTCTAATTTCAATAGATTTACCTGTTGTGAGATGAAATTGCTACAGATTGTAGAATGACATTGTAACAATTTATCCTGCAAATATCATGACAAATAGTTTCAAAATAAAAAAGTTATGGTTGTTATGGTGACAGGAGTCGCGGGTATGTGGAGCAGCGTCACAATTATGTTTTATAAATCTTTTCTCCAGTTCATATCATCTTGACACTTTGTCATCTGTTGCTATTATATATCAAATTATGTACCGCAGCAGCAAAAGGATTAGTACTGTAACATTATTTAGTCATTTGGCATTACTTCTGGTATCTGGTATTATGTATTTCCCACCATTATCTTAACATTCTTGGTGCATTTTGACTGGTGATTCCAAGATCTGACAAAACCGCCGCTGCCCATCTCTAAGATTCCTGCTAACATTGGTTTCCAGCCGAATCTCATTTTCATGTTGAACTTCTAAGAAATATTGCTTTAAGATATTCATTAATGTAGAAGTCCAACGGGACATTATCAGACCAAATATTGACCATTGTACAAAAAGGTTCAATGTTAAGACATTCAATTGTGAGATTTGTTTTCTTTGCTTTGTGAATTGGTGCATTTACTGTGGAGGTGGACTGTTGACTCTTCTATTAATCCTGGGACCCTTTTCCTAAGCACATATACTTTTTCTTTGATTATACTGGTGACATTACATAGTTCTGATATATATCAATGATATCATTAAACTAAAGAGAATACTATGGCAGCAAGAATACAATATTGAACAAAACAAAACATTGATAGGAAATACCAAAATAAGCACTGTTTCAAATGGTTATATTTTAGCAATTTATCGCAATTTAGTGATATCCTGGAACTGCTCCACATACCCCTCACCACCGTAACCATGACAACTGTAACTTTAACACGTTTAGACTGTATGTTATAAAAGTTGGCAGATGTATTGTAATATGGTTCCTCTACAATCTGTAGCAATTTCATTACAAGAAACCTAAATCTCTTAAAATTAGAGTGTTTGTATCTTTACTTTCCGGACACCCTATATCTCATATTATTTGAGCATGCATCACATGACATTAACATTAAACAAGGCATTAACATGTAAATTGTTACCACCTGCCAATTGTAACTGACTGCCGAAAGCCAAACACCAAACTCAGAACCCGGTCCACAAAATGGTTGGAGACTATAACAATACTTCAAATATTCTGTTATATTTCCCTGTGATGAGCAAATATGGTGAATATTAATCCTCTCTCTTAATATCTCTCCCCAAAGGCCTATTTCAATCCTTAGTCTATCTAAATTCAAGGCCTATTTAAATATGACATCATGTAGGAGGCATGCATATATCAAGTTACAGAACGTGAAACATAACATTTGATAATACAGTCAAACCTGTCTAAGTGGAAAACCTTTGGTAACTCTAAAAAGTGTTCCACTTTGGAGGTGTTCCACTTATAGAAGTTCATTTAACATTAAGTCAGTTGGTGTTTGGGCTCTGAGAGGATTTCATTTTGGATTACATTCGCTCAATGATATATTGGCGTTATATCCATCAAGTACTCAACTTGTTTCATTGTAGTTCAGTTTAAAAATGTAAAAACAGACTTCATGTCTAAATATACCAAATCAGAATGTTGAATTGACTCTCTTCCGCCCAATATAATATTACAGAAACACAAGACAGATAATCTATACAGAAACTGAGGAAGAATAGAGTTAAACATGGGAATATATATATATATTCAGAGGTCTTAGAAGCAAGAGAAAACATCAAGGGGTGGAAACACATAGCATAGCCCAATGTATATGCCAAACTGGAATTGAATTGAAATTGAAAAAACATTCAAGAATGACAAAATAAAGCTACACCCTCCTAATTTTTGGATAAATTTTTGTGATATTTTTCCTGTTGTACTCAACAAGAAATAGTCCACATTTCCACTCCCTGAGCATGCCATTTTGTTGTGTTGAGCAGTTTTGCAACCGCTTCAATGCTAATTGTGTCCAATAGTTTTCTCTGTTGTTTTCATTGATTTTCTATATGTTGTCAGAAATTCTAATGGACACTAAGAGAACACCTACCTTCTGTGTGATATGTCCTGTTGCATTGTTTACATGAATAGAGGTGTTCTTGACTAGATGTTGCATCCACACAATGTTGTTGTAAAGCATGTCTAATTGCTTTGGGTTTTATACTGTTTTGATTTCTTGCTTTTTTGTTTGGATTAGCAGATTCATTGATTGGATTAGCTCTTTGTTTGTCTAGTTGCCTTTTGTTTTGTTTAGTTACACCTGGTAGAATCTGTAAACAAAGACACACAGGGATAAATATTACACCTGAAATTCAAAACAGCCACCATGTAAATAACACAACATGCATTAAACCTAATCAGATGTTGGCACCATGCTACCCTTGCATCGGTGAAAAAGTTAAATCAGGGGGTGGAATGCATAGAGTATTTTGTCGAGTAACACAGTTAGATGAAGTATTATTGGGTAGTCTGTGAATGTTTTATAGTGTTTCCTCACCTGGCAAAAGGGCTAATCACATTCCCAGGACTTCGGAAAAATTCTCAGTCATTGTAACAAATTGACAGTCACTCATCTAGTTTTTCTAAAGTGTGGGGTCAAACTCTATGGTTAGCTCCACATTTTTGAAAAACTAGAGTGAGAACTAGAGCTTTACCAGGAATACAATTACATTTTGTTTTGTTTTAGCAATAAAACTGAAATCATCAAGTTTAAGAAAGCTAATAAAAGCTTACAATATTTTGATCAGTGACATCTTTTGATTCTAATGTGTCAATCTCTTCTATAAGTTCCCGTTTTATGGATGAGTCCAATATTGCAGATATTTTGACTGTATCAGATGTCTTGACTGCAGCAGATGTCTTGACTGTATCAGGTGTTTTGACTGTAGAAGATGCCTTGACTGTATCAGATGTTTTGACTGCAGAAGATGTCTTGACTGTATCAGATGTTTTGACTGTAGCAGATGTCTTGACTGTAGCATATGTATTGACCGTATCAGATGTTTTGACTGTAGCAAATGTCTTGACTGTATTAGATGTTTTGACTGTAGCAGATGTCTTGACTGTATCAGATGTCTTGACCTTAGCAGATGTTTTCACTGTATTAGATGTCTTGACTGTAGCTGATGTCTTGACTGTATCAGAAGAGATTGTAATTGTTTCTGGGATGTAGTTGTCAGCGTATGTTTCTGATTTGCACAGTTTCTCGTGATTCAGTTTGGCATTTTCATATACTGGAAAAAGATATTTTAAAGTTCATTTACTTCAGAGACGAATATAATTTGTTTACGACGTCTCATCAGTTATGTTATATTATAATATATTATTTATTGTATTATATTTACTTATTATTAAAATTATTGTATTCCTCTCTGAAGTAAATAAACTTGAGTTAATTAATGCATTACCAGAGAGATGAATTCATGCAGAATTGAATTTGATCAAGGGCACTTCTACATGTAATTAAATTTAAGAGTTATTTTAGGATAAGAATTATTTCAGTAAAAATGGCCATGATCTTGGCAACGCTGGTACCAAATTGAATTTTTATTTTTGATTAACTGTTTCTATTTACACGTTTGAATCATTTAAACAGGGGGCAATACTCTACTTACAAAAGGGCTTCTTGCAGGATCCACATTTAAACTTGGCGTGTCGTTTCTTGCTGTGGTTCATGACATCAGCAGGTGTCTTGCCGAGATATCCACAGTGAACACATTTCATACTTGGCAATTGGGAGTACTTGAATGGTTTAGACTTGCTGCGATTCAATTTATGCATAGCAATGACTCCAGCATTTCTTTTTAAATTTGGGTCAAGTGTTGAGGTATGAATAAATCCAAGCTGTTCATTGGTTGATTCTGTGACCTTGTGTTTCATCTCTGACATGGTACCTCCTGGGTTATGTTTTACTGTATCTTCTGGGGTTTTATTTTGGAGTTCATTTTTGTGGCATAAATCAAGTTCTAAATTGTTTATATCTTTCTTGTCATGTTGATTGTTAGAAGTGTTTGCAATGTAATCGATGCTGGTGGTGTTTTCTGGAGCATCTTTAGATTCAAATTGGACATTTCCTTCTACACACTGGATCTGTATTGCCATGGGGGTATCATCTTCAGCCACTGAGACACCTTGAAAGGAAATAAAGAAATCATACATTACATAGTGCAGTGAAATCACCAGAAGCTAAATTTGCAAATTAAAAAAACTGGTAAGATATGGTGCAAAGCATGAAAATAGGCACATTTTGACCAAATTTTGTCTAAATTGTGAAATCAACATTTTTGCATCCACTAGAGAAAAACTCCTGGGGAGAAAACTGCGTATAATAAACTGCAAATTGCTTTAATTTGGCACTAATTAATTTGGCAGATTAGGAAAATACTGAAATTTTAGCTGCTTGACCCATCAGTAAAATACTGATATTGGACTGTAAGCTAGAAAGTCATATGGCCCAGTTACTCTTGGGTGACAGGTAGGTTTAAATTTCATGTACATGTAAAGGTACTAGGAGCTGAAATGTGATAAAAATGGGGTTACAATCAAAATATTGAAAGAATTCTCGATGAGACCATGGCCTTTCAATTTCTATTGAATGCCCATTATGAGACTTTGTCCTGATGATTTTTTCAAAAAATTGACATAGACTTTATTTTGCATTTTTTATCACTCAGCCAAATTAAAATGGCTGTCAAATTAAAGCAATTTACAGTAGTATATTGCAGTGAAGTGTAGTATATTGTAGTGTAGTTCAGTATATTGCAGTGAAGTGTCATATGAAATCATCACTTGGAAAAAATAAAGCAAACTGGGCCAAAAAAATTACATCCATGAACCCATCGTAGCACAACCCGACTCATTATATAGAATATGTGTCATACCTTCTGAGTCAGCTATTATGCTTCGTAGTTGGTTAACATTTTGGTCAGACGAATTGTGGATATCTTTTGGGTTATCATTCAAATCCTCACAGGTGCCTGTAGTGGCATTCCTATCTTCAATTTCACTGTCATCATCATATGTATTGTCAATGATGACAGTATAATCGATGACACTGTTATCCTGAATAGCACTGTTATTCAAAACAGTATTGTTTTGCTCTGTGACACTGTTATTCCCAGTAGCACCATTATCCGTTATAGCACCATTATCACCAACAGTATCATTTGCAGAAACATCACATTCTTCATCAGTTCTCAGTTCCGATTCCCTTGGGTTGTCACAATTTGAATCAGCATTAACCAGTTCAATGTGAGAAAGACCTGTGGGACTATTTTGTGATACAGTAGCAGTTTCGTCAACACAGGAATTTTCTGGTATTGATACACTGGCTTTGTGATTCCCCTCACCAATATCCATAATAGATGAATCTGGATGCCCATGATTGTCATCTTCTAATCCCATTATTGATGAACCTGAATGCTCATGATTCTTATCTTCCACTTCCATCTTAAATGTTCTTTGAAGGCTAGATCACGATCTAGGCATTAATCGTATACCCTAAAAATTCAATAAAATCAATGACAAATATCATGTGAGTACATATATGTATTAACGCAAAGCAAAGCAAAAAACCAACAAGATTATATGAAAAGAATATCAATACACAAATTTATGGGCTTTCAATTTAGAGTTGAAAGCCCATGATAAATTGAGAGCCCATGTACCCACAAACACAAAGTTATTCAGAACTTGTCTTGCAAGATGTGGGAGGGTGATATAGTTCGATAAATGTGGGTGTATGAAAGCTATGTAATGACCCATAGGCAGTGGGCATGTTCGTCCGGGGAGCTAGAGTGAAACAACCCAGATATATACTAGATGTGCTAAATTCAATGCCCCGTGCGAGAATCGAACCCAAGACCTTCCTCTCCATAGACTGATGTTCTAGCACTCAAGCTAAAGGGGATAGCCATAACAGCTAGGCGCTATCAAGGGTCATTACAGCTCCAACCACAGGCTTTCAAGAGATCATGTAGATATTACAATATTGGAAACATAGTACTTATATACAATGGCAAATACTAAGATGGTCGCGGAATTATCGAGATCTTAGTCAATAGTACAACTTGATCGCTTTCCGTTGTTTTTATCTTGAAGTAGTCTAATAAAATTTGAATATGATAATAAGCTGAGCGATAATATGTGAAATCGAACATTCTTCAGAAAGAAAACGACATAGCTTCATTTCTTGTGCATATAATTCAAAAAACCACATACCTATGGCATCATAAGTTCAATTATAATCTCCGGCTAGGAGGATGTTTTTTGTCACTTAGAGTATAACTGAAAAATTAATGAAAATCGATATGATTTTTTGACCCAAATATTTTAAGCCGGAAGTATGAGTCACGTGGTACATTTGTAAAAGTAAAAAATATTCGAGGGCATGATTATCTAATTATTGATTGGGAATTCAAGTTTGCATTTGTCATATATCAATCATAAGCTAGTATAGATTGTGGCTTATTATATCGGTAAGTGTCTACATAAGAATCGCTTTAATTACCGTGAAAACTACTGTTAGAAGAAATATTATTTTAAAAATAGACTCGTGGGTGATAATATTATATATCTACACTCTTGAAATCATCGGAAAAGCCTATGATTGGAAACCTTTTGAAAAAACATAGAATGGTCCCATTGAACACCATAAGTTATGAGGTCAATCAAAGTATAAATATTCATCATAATCCAGAATCTCGCCCATTCAACAACCTTGAAATGTGAACACCTCCTAAACTGAACACTTTCAGCTGGATTCAGTGGTGTTCAGATTAGACAGGTTTTACTGTATACAAGTATATTGTTAACTTTTTCAGATTTTACTTATGATATGTGATGAATTCAAGTGTTGTTCTGGCAGAGACTAGGCTTATATTGAGACTTCACAGAGCTACATGTACAAAACTGATATCTTTGAGCCCCTGTAGCCAAAGGGCTCACTCAGACAATTGGAGTCATTCTTGGACCGCCAACAACAGGTCTTACAGCACCACAGGTTCCTTTAGTAAGGCAATTTATTATTTCAGGTACAGTACGCTTTTTATGTCACCACCAGGAATGTTGACATTTTGTTATAGTTTCCAACTCATTTTTTTTATTACACATACATGCACATGTACAGTGTAACTGTTTGTGATGTTTACATTTTCTATGTACTCTCACTGTGTAAGCTTTTCAGTCGATGTCTATGTATATATTTGCCTTTTTTAATACAGTTTGAAGTCTTTCATGATACTGTTAACAGTGCCAGAAGAATGACTCCAATTGTTTTAGTGATGAAAAACACATGCATGTATTTTAAAAGACTCCCCTTGTGACTCCATGTACACATGTAAATCTCCATTGTACTTCGTTTCCAGCTACCACACTTCAAATAGCGTTAACATCAGCACTGGAAACAACATTTGTTACCCTAACAGCAGTTACCCTGACAACAACAATCAAGAAGATTTCAACAAGGCAGTGGTTGCCGACAATAGTGACAATTCAGTGATGAATCTCTCTACAGTAATCTCACGATTGAATAATTTTGCCGCCACAAGTCTTGCAGAAAGCTGGGACAATGTAGGACTGCTAGTAGAGCCATCACCGCCCTTTGAAGTCACTAATCTCATGATTACAAATGATTTAACTGAACTTGTATTGGAAGAGGTAATAGATACAGCCTTGAGGTCATTTCTCAAACAATATTGTAACTACAAAATATGATATTGAGTTGTAGCTACAATGAGTCACCCTTTATGGAAACTTTAATGAATGTGAATTTTTTTTTTCAACTGCAAAAAGGTAATTTATTCACAAAATGGTGCATCTGCAAGTCAATGAAAAGAATGTTAATCAGTTATGTATTTCTGACTTCATATTCTGGTTTGATATGAGGTAGTATAATTTGAATTTGTAGTTTAAAAGAGGGCCTTTATTTCATATTGAAACTAAAATTAAACTCCAGCTACTTATTTATGTCAATACCAGAAGTGGTGACAATTGCTAATAGTCTCCAACCTTTTTTTGGATGGTGTTCGGCAGTTGGCATTTAGCATTTGGTACTATCAACAGACAGGTGGTGACATTTTGCATGTTAATGACTTGTTTGGTCGTTTGGAATGACCAGCATCAAAACTGTTTGTTTATTTGTCCTACTCAGAGAGCCTAATTTTTAGGCTCTTGACTCAGGGTAAGACTAAATAAAAGTATTACTTTGAATTTAACTTATGAAGGGTACTTTGTTTTCTCTTGTACTTTCAGGCAATTGAAAAGAACATAAATCTAATTTTGTCGTATCATCCTCCAATATTTGTACCACTAAAGTCGCTCACACAACGAACTGCCAAAGAACGAATCATTGTCAAGTGTCTAGAAAGAAGAATCGCTATATTTTCCCCACACACGAGCTATGATGCAGTTGAGAATGGAGTCAATGATTGGTTGATATCTCCTTTTGTCGCAGGTAAGGACGTTTATATCTTATGGTACATCAACATTAACACGGTGCTTAAATCTAAACTCTGATTTTCGAGTATTGTTCATGATGTCTCAATACTTTTAGAGAATTTTAGGAGAGTGCAAAATGCAAATAGATTTCAAAAAGAGTAGCATGTAGTCTAGCTGCAAGTTCTAGTGACCCCCCCCTGCAGTACACCCAGTCACCCTTTGGTTGTGAAGTAGATGGGGAGGGGTCTAGAGACTTTGAGCAGGACATATGGGTTGCCTGTGATTGCCAATAGGGTGCAGCACTTGGTTGCTATGGTGCAGGAGAGATCCTGCAATAATCTTTATATACATGTATATTCAACCCAACGTACAATGTACTATTGAATATTATGATTACTTATAATTATTTTTGATTTATTATCGTATAGAGGGCAGTAAGGTGGAACCATTGCATCCTGTAACTTCTAAATGTTACGCAACCCCAGGACGCTATCGAGTTGATGTCATATTTCCAATTGAGGACACTGAAAAGATTTACGATCAACTCAACTGTATAGATGGCGTTAGTCAAGTCTTCAGGTGAGAAAATATTTTCAAGTCTCATTCATAGAAAAATGTTTTAAATACAGCAAACCTGTCTTCGTGAACACCTCTCTGCTGACTTATGTATAAATAACCCTTTCTGTAATGAACACCTACCTACAGTGAACACTTTTTGTGGCTTCATAGAGCCAGGGCACAGGAAAATGGTTTTTATCACAGGTTTTTCAATATTTTGAATTTTCGTTTATCTTAAAAACTTAAAGCACAAAAAGACCTTTCAAATGGGCCATGGCTTATGTCTTAACAACTTTTCATTGCAGATACAGACCAAAAAGATGGATTTGATTTTAGCACATTTTCCTCTTTACCTTGGGGACATTTTTTGCTCTGTAGCAAAATTGGAATTTTTGTGATAAGACCAGTTTTCCTGTGTTGAGGCTCATACATTTTTATGGTATGCCATGTTATGTTATTTTGGAAGTAGCCTGTAATGATTGAGAAAAAAACACATTTTGTTGAGATTTCCTACTCTGTTGAGTTGAGATGTCACCATCAGAAGTCATCAGGCGGTCTGGTCTGTAACAAATGGCAAGTGGTGATGTTTTGCACGTCATGCCTTGTCTAGCTCTGCATTCCTTTTCTGTGGTATCATTTGCCAATTAAACTGAAACCACAGTCGTGCATATACGATGATGATGATGTAATCATTTATGTATGTGTGATTGAATTAAAGTTTTACTTTTCAGGTTGACAGTTGTGAACACTACAAAGTTTACCATGAACTGTACAGACAGGGGTCTTGAACGAATTGTGGCGTATGTTAACTCCAGTAGCTCTGAAATGGCGCAGCAATCTGTGGAGATCATCACCCTTGATAAGGTTAGCCGATTTTTAGTTTCATTTGAATACTTGTGTCTTACTCTTATGAGTGTTAATGCAAATGGAAAAAAAATTCATGCAGTTTGAAGTTCAAACTATACTGCATAAAGTTAAGAAACATTTGGTATTGTATTGATTTAATATAAACATAACAATTTGAATGATGAGCCCACTGTTCAAAAATCTTTTGTGCGAAATCTGGAAGTGCTACTGTATGTTGAAGACTAACCATGACATCATTGAGGTTTGCCTTGCCAAATGCTATTCCAATGTTCTAGCTTATGAACCTAGGTTCCTAAACAATCAATGTATATTAATATTACTCAAGGATTTATTTTTAACCTTCAGCCTCCAATTCCAAATCATGGTATGGGTAGGAAGTGTAAGAGGAAACAACCTATCACATTAGAGAATGCAGTTGCCATGGTGAAACAGCATCTGCAGCTAGATCATGTTCGACTGGCCATTGGGGAGAAATGTGCACTGGGTAAGCCAGGCTTCTGTAATGCACAGATGCGTTGTCAAGTTCTCAGAGGTTAAAGTAGTCTTTCAAATTTTGTTAATTTGTTCTTAAATCAAAAAAGAAACATAACTCACAGTACAAAAGGTGAATCATATTGCATGAGTAATTAATACATTTCTAAGCACAATTGCCAAAATTGGGAAAAGACCAAAAGTTGTAATACATGTAGCTAAGAACCTAGCAAAAAAAGCAGACTCTAAATGTATACATGTCACATGAAAAACAAACCCCATATATCCCAAAATCATATCTAACGTGAAAAGAAACAATGTCTAATACCCAATTGAAAATTGATAGCAAATACTCATAACATCAAAAACGTACTCATACAAGATTCAGCATTCAGTCTCCAGTACATATTTGCGATTCGTTTTCTTTATTCCAGATTCTCCTATCAAGTCTATTGCAGTATGTGCCGGATCTGGATCCAGTGTACTGAAGGGGGTCAAGGTCAATATGTATGTGACAGGTGAAATGTCTCATCATGACGTGCTTGATGCTACGTCAAGAGGAATCAGCGTCATACTGTGTGACCACACGAACACTGAACGCGGCTATTTACATTCATTAAAGGATAAATTTACAGAACTGTTTGATAACAAAGTGACAATTCATTTATCAAGTACAGATACAGATCCTTTGAAAATTGTTTAGTCATTAAGAAAAATAGTCGTAATCATGCGATTGAGTGGAATGGACAAAACTAGAGGCCCGGTGTGAAAGAAATTATGGTCCCCGGGGATTATGGTCCCCTTTCTTAACGGCCCTTTCTGGACCTGAGTGTGTATACGAAAATAAGGGAAAGGGGTCACCATGTAAATCAATGAAGAGAAGGACCATAATTTGATAGGACCTCCTACCCTTTTACACCGGGAACATATATAAAATTGAGTCTGAGTCCATATCTTAGAAGACTGAGTCCATATCTTAGAAGACTCAGACTAGATCATTTTATACATATTCTCGGGCCTATGGGCAGAATCATTCTGCAAACTATTATCTGTACCAGCACATGTAACATGTACATGTGTATTGACAAAGATACTGTAAGTTATTATGTATATTCAAATTTTCAGAATATAAGAATCGTAAAATGTAAAAAAAACATCCCTTTGTTTGGAATGACAGGATGGACGAAATGTTTACTAATAAGGACATGAAAGAAGCAGCCAGGGCATAGGCGTATCCAGGAGGGATGCGATGGGTGCGCCCCATGAGAGAGAAGAAGAAAGGAGCTTTAAAATGCTTTTTATTTGATGCTTCAAGCTCAATTTTAAAGGAAGTTGCATCAATTTTTGTAAAATTCAAAATAAAGCTTATTTTGGCTTGTTTATGTCACATTTGCACCCTCCGGCTGAAAACCGAGATATTTTTGGTGATCACACTCCCCCCTGACTGAAAGCTGGCTACGCCACTGCAGGGTTTTATAGATTTATTATAAATTGCCAGCATTCGAGACAAACTTGAATAAATCATGGGTTTTAGTGGCGTAGCGTGGGTATTTTTTGACTATACGCCACGAGTGAGAAGCGAGGGGGGTCTAGGAGTGAGGGGGGAAATCCGACTAATATTGACTAATAAACATTGGCCATTTTTAAAGTGTTGGGCATTTCTATAAATTCAACTAAATACTCTAAATTTTGAGAGTACGCCATGGCGTTTTATGCGTTTACGACACTACGCCAGTGGGTTTTCTCTTGAATAATCTAATAAAGTCATTATCCCACCAAACGAAGTTCGAGGGGAATATAGGAAAGCTGTCCGTCCGTCGTTTGTTCGTCTGTCCGTTTGTCCGGGCGATAACTCAAATACCGGTTGACTTGTAATTCACTGCTTACAGTGAATTTCATAGTTAAACCTACACAAAAAAACTCCGAATGTAGTATACAGTAAAATGCGTGGGTAAATTCATCTGAGATACGGTAACGCAAATTCCCAAGTTGTTCAAGTTGTGTTGTAACTTACCGTAGCCACGCGTTATACCGTATACTACATTGAGAGTTTGTGAAGGATGAACTATAAAAGTCACGGTCAAGTTTACTGTCTGTGATGTTGTTACAGACATTTACATAAAAAATATCTAGAAACTAGTTTGCTCAAATCATTACCCTCGTGTTGTACCTCACCCCGCGCGTTCAACTGTCGCCTAATTTGGTACACACCCTGTGTTAATACAATATAATGATTAAATAAGCAGAGTCACATATACACTTTGGCTTTAATACATACAAGGGCAGCCCCCCCCCCCCTCCCCGACGATAGCAATGAAAATATAACCATTAGATAGAGGGAGAAAAGAGCTTTAAAATGCTTTTTATTTGAACCTTCTAGCTCAATTTTGAAGGAAGTTACATCAATTTTTGTAAAATTCAAAACAAATCTTCATCTTTTTTGGGTTGCTTATGCTTCAATCTCGTGCCCATAAGCACTATGTATACATGTATCTTTGCCCAGTAGCCAATGTAATTTCCTCTGAACGTTAAGAGACATGTTCATTATTGCCTTCACGTGCACTCTTTAAGTTAGAAAATAAGACAGAACGATGGGAGGTGAAATATTGACATAACAGTAAGCAGTGGCCGGAAAGATCATCAATCCCTGAATTACAAAACTGGCATAATCCATCACCTTGGCCCCATCTTTTCAAATCTGCACCAACCATGAAACATCCTGTCCTAGCTCGAAACTTTAAAACAGCAATGTGCGTATAACGTTCAAGACCCCAATTATGGAATTTATTTTGTATCAAAATTGGACATTACATGATCTATGGGAAAAATCGAACTATATGATGCGATACTCGAACTATATGATTCGAAACTCGCATCATACTATGCGAAATACGCACCATTGTATGCGAAACTCGCATCATCGTATGCCATTTTCAATCCATGTTATATCAACAGTTAATATTCTTACATAACCTATTTTCATTCACACACGCACTGGTTGTATCAAGTGTCACACAAAGAGTTAGCACTAACTCCAATCACTTTCCAAAAATCCAAAAGCAATGTTGAAATGTCACACGGATTGTGTTATAAGTTGCATAGAATACTGAAAGAATTACACATGGATCAAACGTGACTGATTCAGACTACATTGCCGTTATCCCGTGCCAGGACTATAGTCCTGAGATAGTCTCAATCTTTTGCCTGTACGATTACAACATGGGAGACTATTATCTACGCTTCTTACACTTAATATACCTACTCCAATAGATTCCTTGGTATTTTAGCATTCTTTTCGTGTAGTTGAATCCACAATTGTCTGGGTAGGAGTTGATTGCCAAGGTCGCTTAGGCCTAGGCAATTACGGCTCCAAGCTTCTAGATAAGACCCCGAAGGGAAAGAAAGACCGTCTGGTAAGGCAAACATGAAAAGCTCAGGAAGAAGAACGCCTTGTAAAAGCTGCCGGGCTCTCCAAGGAGGGATCCTGAACCCAATGGGAGACAATCCAGGATAGGTCTCCTACATGGAAAGATCTTTGGACAGAAGACCAAGCAAGCCTCAGCTTCATATTGCGAGCATTTACAGACCTTTTACCAACCCCAATGAATCTCAACACTTGGGGTTAGAGAATGACAACACATGCCTTCTATGCAAAAGACCAACCCCAATGAATCTCAACACTTGTGGGGGCTAGAGAATGACAACACATGCCTTCTATGCAAAATACCAGGATGTACCCTCAACCACATCCTATGCAGCTGCCAGACAGCTCTAGCTGAATGGGTTGACAGATCAAGGATCCACAACAACGAGCATGCAGCCCAAAAAAAGTCCATGTCCACAGCATTTCAGCAGGAGGGAAAACAGCCGACTGAACAGGAAATTAGTCTTTCCCCAGAACATAGCCGCAACAACACTACGTCCCGACATGCTACTCCTATCTAAAGGCACTGAGACAATACTAGTAATAGAACTAACAGTACCATTGGAGGAAAGAATAGGTATTTCCCACCAACTCAAGTACAACAAATACCAAGACCTGATCCACGAAGCTGAGAACAAAGGATGGCAAGCAAGACTTTACCCTGTATAAGTAGGATGCAGGGGTTTCCCAGTTGTGTCTCTGCGATCAATGTTTAAAGACATTGGTGTACATCCTAGACAACTCAGACAAGCAATGCGTGAAATAGGAGCAGCTGCAGAATCATGCTCCAAATGGCTCTGGATGCGAAGATTCGACAAATGGACCCACCAATAGCATGGCCATTAGAACCAATGAAGAAGCTTTCCATTTAGTCTTCAAGAGATAATCAGTGTCTTTTGGCTCTAGTCTCTGGAATGGAAGTGTTGGTCCCGGGGTGTTGGTACCATAAAAATATCTTAAACCAGCCAGAGGTCAGTCGCAAGCCTGACGACAGAGACAGCCAAGTCAACACTACCAAAAGCTCCATCCCACATCAATCCATGAACAATTCTATAGCTGTAGCAAAGCACTAGATGTTTAAACAATGAATGGTCAACCTTATTAGAAAATGAAAATCAACAAACTGACCGAATGATTTATTAGTTTTATAATGAGTAATAAAACGTTGTTCATATCTCGCATTAATTCTATAAACCAAGAGTTGTATGTACGTAGTAACATCTGTTGTTTGGATATCTGATAGATAATGAAATCTTACTTCTTTGGCAAGGTATGCTTGATTCGTGCCATTAATGTTTATACTCGTCCTTGTGTCTTCCTGATTCCTAATCATGTGCTTGTTGTAACCAGATGAGTTCATCGGCAGAATTGGGAAAGATTGCAATGTAATGTCCTTTATACTTATTTGGTTTGAAGTATTCCAGCCTCGTTATGATATGATAATTCTATTGGATAATAGGAGATAATTTGGGGAATCTCCTTATAAACTAATTTGAACCGGTTCTGAATAATACCAATTCTATTCAAAAATATTGTTTAGTTTTGCATTTTTTAGCTATGTGTATAATGTCCATGTTTATCTTTATATACTTTTAATATTTTTATCAGTAAGGCTGTATTTTTTTGTAAACCCATCAACCATAGCAATAGATAGAGTCCATTTCAGTATTTTATTGCGACAGTAAAACCTAAAAAATAAGAAATCAAAATATCAAATTGCAATAATATATGGAAAAATATATTCCTATTGTACATGAATGACATTTGTATATCTTGGATTGCTTCTAGTTTGGCTTATAAAGTATGTGGCCTCTTATATTTGAATGCTTCTCTGCCATGGTATTTTCAATAAGATTAACATGGCTGAAATTCTTCAAATTACAAGAGGGCACAGGCTTATTGCACAAAAAATAAAAAATCTGAAATATACAAATGTCATTCATGTACAATATGAACATACTTTTCCATATATTATTGCACAATTCAATGGTCTCTTTTCTTATTTTTGGGGTTCTACTGACGCAATGAAACAGTGAAATGGACTCTAGTATAGCCGAGAGGTATATAAACGTATCTCATACTAAAGTGGGTTTGGGGTAGATATCACCTGGGAATATATATCATATCTGAGGAGCGGGCAGGATATATTGTATATGTCCCGCTCCAGGCCAAATGCGGGCAGATATAATATATCCATCAAAAAGAATATTACGAAATGTTAAATATAAATTGTGCTTTTACTAGAGGCCTATCTTGTCATTTGAAAAGGTGGAAAAGGTTATATCTACCCTAAACCCACTCAAGTATGAGATACACTAGTTATGTACGGACGGTTTTGGATATAGGGTATATTCAAAAC